GTTTCGTCTGTACCCCCTACCCACGCTCCCAGCTTACCTACACTACCTACACTTCGCAATTTGGGCTGCCAGTGTGGGCGGCAGGAAATGTCAGCCTTCCTTCCATTCCTTCTTCGCCTGGGTTCGGTCCACAGGATTCAATCACGATCTTCATAGCTAAGTAAGCTCTGTTCTCGTTCTACACTACGCTACCGTAGTGCCATTGGCCCTTGCAGAAACAGTTCAGTATCTGGTTGAAGACAGAGATATAGTAAGTACCGTAGTAGTATATTTAACTGTCCCTAGGTAGTTCGATGACAGCCCTACCAAGTTATACTCTGTACAGTAGGCAGTGTGTGCGCTCGTGTTAGTGCACCCGTGGCATACCGAAAATCTACTATAGGTAGTATACACGTATGGGGATATACTTGCATAGCCACCAACCACCACTCCACTCCCTCTGCAGGTTGCAATATTTTCTTCCGTGTTCTACCGTTTTGATCGCCAAAACCAGGCATATTCCGCGCTAGGTACTATAAAAATGTCACGAACTGTCACCGAGAAAGGCAGCCAAGCCGTGCCTGACTAGTACCGAAAGAGACGTAGATTCTCCTCGGCGGCTTATAGTGCATAGACTATAAAATAGGTAGGTACATGAATCTGGGTGCTTTTGTGTGTGTGGTGTGTGTGTGTGTGTGTGTGTGTGTCTAGGATTAAATCCTTGAAGATCAAGATTTGTATAATGTAGAGAGGATTCAAGAAGGGCTCCAACTTGCCATCCCAATCGAGATTCTGATGAACTCGGTGCCCGTACTAGCATCTGTTTGTAGGTAGGTAGGTGGCGTAGAGAATCTCAACGAAGCATGGATGGATACTTACACCAAGCGATCGAAGAATCCTCTGGCCGAAACTTTCAGGGCCCTCGAGATTTTCTTATTGTCCTACTGTAAGTATCTTCATCCAGCCTGCCTCTGCTGTAGTGTACGTACCTGAATTGGTAGGAGGGTACCCAACTGTAGAAGGTCACATCTTGCGCAGCCCAACGCATGCAATAGCCCACATATGTATGCATAACACTACAGGAAAAAAACATGTCTACTTTATTATTAGAGTCGCCATAGAGAGATGTTGTAAGCGTCGACCGCCCATTTGCCTACCGGCAACCGTTATACTTGCCTTTCCAACAAACAGAGTAAGTAGAGTAGGTATGTCGGTAAGTAGGCACATCATCATTTGCTCTACAGGTAGCCAAGACAACGGTAAAGGTACTTGGTAGGTATGCCAAGTTCGCACAGATACAATCTACTCGCACTACAGATGCGCAAAGCCCTCGCTGGTGGTTGCTCCTCATGATGAGGGCAGTGGGTGCTGATTCGTCTAGTTGTGCGTGTGTGGCATTGGCCAGGGACTTTTGAACGCGCAATTCTCTCCAAGAGGCCACATAACATTCGCAGCCTTTTTGGTGATGATGCCCTACCCTGCTACCCGCCGCTGGGCCGAGAAGAAGTGGTGCTACCGCACCGAGATGCAATGCTTTGCCGATTGATTGATCAAGGAGTTCCGCATTTTCGGAACCAAATATCGGCTGTAGTTTATATTAGCTACCCAGTTAGATACCATGGGCACTACTCCAGTTGCTATAAAGTAAGCTCGAGAGATATTACATGCAGACGGGTGATCACCCATGCCGTGTGTCGGGAATTGCGCGTTCCAGCTTCTGTAAGAACACTTCGACTGGTGATAGGAAGTACATATGGCCGGTAGCTAGATAGTTACCTAGGCAGAGGAATACGTAATCATCGCGAAAGAGCAGGATATATTCTCCAAGCAGGAAATTTACAGATAACCTGCAGCGCCATGTAACCCTGCTCTAAAGAACGATCGGCGGTGGTGCTGACGATCTTATTGTTATACCTCCGTTTATATCGCCGGGAGCATCGTCGTTCGGGCTACACTGCTATGTTGGGTATCTAGTCGCCTGCTATAGAAAGCCTAATCTCCCTCAATCATAATCGGCTTGTAATATCCCGCCCACCCTTCATTCGACCTTTATTTTATGTGAGTGGCAGGGGGGATGGAGTCGACCCTGCTACTTGCTGCAAGCCGGTAGTTCTATTAAGTACCGACTGAGGTCTAATGCAAGGCTCTACCCACTCAACCCTTTTCACTCTTTCGATTTGAGTATGCAAAATGTATGTAACTCTAATCAAATGTGAGTGCAGATAGCCCCATTAATACAATGCGGTGAGCAGCTTTTTGATTATCAAGAGGTGGACTCCCTCAACGGTCGTTCAGGGTTATCTTTTCTTTTTCTAGTTTTTAAGGAGCCAGAACTTCTAAAGTGACTACCTATGTAATTTGTTGTATTCAGCTGTGTCAATAGTCAGATGTGTAGGTTTGTTCCTCTAGGCGCTGAGGGGTCAGGAACCAGCTAAGCGGCGATCATTCGTTCTATTGCTCCCCGGAAATGGTTACCGTGTCGATGCATGAGACCTGTTTTGAATGGCTGGCGTCCAGGTGTTTCGTGCAATGATTGGTGCTGACCTCTCTATATTCCCACAGTTCAATCTAAACGTAAATTAAGATTCATCGGCATGACTCGTATATTAGATGTACCTCGCCAACTTATTCTGGCCTAAGTCTTATCCAGTCCGGCAAAGTGAGGTAGAGTACGGTATAGACACTGAGAATCATATTGTAGCATTATATAATAAAGTTAGGTCATTCGTGCAAATTTGGAACATGGTATGCTGCCATAGAGGTGGGCGTAAGCACAAAGGCAAGGGAAAAGGAATAAAGACGGATATTTCTTAAGCTACCGGTAGTTTAACGCCAGCGTTTATACATGATGCCTTCAGGCAACTTATCACTTGACTGTAACGTAGTATAAAGCATCCCAGCAAGAGCTGGAAGAAGATTTAAGTCTATTTTCAATATTTTCCGTATGGAAGCTTAGTATGATCAGACTTGTCGCGATTTCATCGTTGGTAATTCATAGTCTCATTTATAAATCTTAGCTAGACATATCCGATCTTAACAGTAGCACGCCATACAAGAACGCAGTTGAAGGCTAGAATAAGAGATAAGGGCCACTTGGTCGGTGTAACAATGTGTAGTGAGTTTAAGCACATGTCGAATGTGTTGCAATTGTGACGTTGGACAGCTAACTGATGTTCATTCAACCTGTGTCTTCCGTATTGTATTTGTAAAGAACTAAGATATCAGTAGCATAGCAAGGAGTGCGCAACTTATGGCTTCACTTAACTAAATGTAGTGATGATTATAAAGTCAGTGATCTTGAATTAAGGTCTTCCCATCGGAAATTAACGCCTCCTAGTTAGCTTTCGTAGGTGAATTTATGATTTCCCTTATAGTCTTAAAGCTGGTGAAACTTAAAGAGACATCTAGGGCTACAGGCAAAGTGACTCGCTATATATAACTCTAATTTAATCATAAAGGTCTCAAGACCTTCGTGTAATAACAAATGCTGTACAGTAGCCCCTATGGTTGCAATTTTCACATGTCTGACTACTCAACTGTGATTAAATGGCCACCAAAGAGCCACTGGAGGATTTTATACGAGGACTACATTTAAATTAGATATCTAATACTGAAATTCTAAGGCAGAAGCTACCTCACCTTTGCCAGGCATAGCGAACTACACTTATGTAGACTTATTCTTATGCAGATATATGATGTGTGGCTTCATATAAGAAGAGTTAGACTGTAAGCCTTAAATTCTAGTGTAGTTGATTTTCTATTATGTACTCCTTGAATCTTATATTGCATGTTAACCCTTCATTCGTAATAACTGAAACTTTTCTCTAGGCTTATAAGGGTAATCGAGCCATTGTTAAGACGGACTAAAATCTTCTACAATGTATGTCTATTCTATGAGTATCGAATGAAACTTGCCATGGCGTGAAAGTAGCACTTTGATATTAGGTATTACAGCTCAGAGTTAGTACCGTTAGTTGTTATTGCTTCAAATATATTAAGGCAAGCGAATTGAAATAAGCTGAGATGATCGCCTAATTCTCTTTAAAATTCTGGTTATGAAATGGCTTAATATAACAAGGGCAGATAACTGGGCTTGGAACTTGATGCTATTCAGATTAAAATGATCAACTAGGGCTGCATGAGTCCTTGACCAACCAACTCCTTCTCGGCTGTTGGTGGCTTGACTTGACTTTATATCTGGTCTGCCAGCCGAGACCGCCTGTGCCTCTAGGGTCTGTTTCAAGAAGCGAAGTCTGTATAACCTCACTTTCCAATATTGGCTGCATGTATTTCACCATGAACAGCTTGTAATGGCGGTTCGCACGGCCGAAGTGCAAGGCGAAGTGTATGTTCAGCTAGTACAGCTTGTATAGCTTGTACGCGTGTAAAATTAAAGTCAAGTTTGGTGTGAAAGAACAGCACAGAAACTGTTCTAACAACCAGAAGCGCAAGGTAATCATAATTAAGCTAATGACACGGGCTGAAGTCATGACTCTATTGGTGCTCGTTCTATGGCTGCTAAGGTCCACGAAATCCTTCACTTGGATCCCTTCCTGGCCTTGGTGACTACTGACTTGACTCTATGTGTAACTGGGTCGGCGTTTCCAAGGTCTGCCAATACTTCTATCTCATATAGGCAAGAGATCAATAGTCCTATATCGTAATCTGAACTGTATGTCTTATCAGGGTTCTCGTGTATATCGTTGGATCGGGGTCTGCGGATAACACGCATACGGAGTGCTCAGTGCATGTAACAAAACCACAACTAGCTCTAAGAGACCGCCATCTAGCTGCTCTAATCGAATGGAGTGGAATTCAGCACCGAGGATATCCAAAGTGGCATTGAGTTGTCAAGAACAAAGGAATTTCATGATTATATATGACATGAGGGTTTGATGAATAGTCTTGTTAGGAGAATGAAAGAGCTGAGGTTAAAGCTTCTGTGGCGAGAGTATGAAATATTGACCCAATCACCTTTCTTTTCACGCAGAATGAAGCCTCTCAAACACAAGACAACCTCATCATATCAATAGCTTTATTACAGATTAAACCGTTCATATTTTGAAGTCTACAAAATATACACGTGACGGAGGTCTAGTTCCCTGGATTGAAACATAACTGAAACTTTTTTCTTGCTATCTAGGTGGATACGGGATAGTAATTTTCGAGAGGTTGAAGGTCTTCACGAGTAAAACTGTTAAGGATAGTAGTACCGCAATTGTTCCTGGTGCTATTTTATTTAAAGCCAATGCTGGACAGCTTTTTGGGCTATGGTGCTTGTTTCCACCAACAACAAACCAACTCCATAATAAAGCACGAATCTGCTGCACATCGAATACAGTGAGATTTCTAAGCCGGCGGGACTTCACTATTGCACTTTTTTCAGGTGAACATCGCTGAGGGGCGAGTTAGTTTCCGTGGCGTGTGATATGTCAGAACTCATTAATGCTAGGAAACGACTTACAAGATCAAGTCGGCATTGGGTGGGATGTGACCAGTAAAGCCACTGTTTCAAAATCCTACCGGTTAGCTGGCTGACCTGAAGGAAAATGCTGTACCAAAGTGCAAAACCGAGACTGGACGTGATCATAGCTCAGTGCAGACGGCGATAGTCATGTGTGAAAGCATGGGTAGTATTTTGTCCTGAAACATACCGGGCGCCGTAGCCGTAGTCACTAGATGAATGTGATGTTAGTCACTACGTTTAGATGGCAACGCCATAGGGGTCCATACCTGGTAATGTCTAGAGTGGCTTTCTCTCCCACCTTCATTTGGGTAACACCCTCATCCCAACCTGACCATCCAAATGTAAGTAAGAGGTCTGTGATACGTCTTTGTCTCAATCCTACCTTTGATAACCCGGCCAACACCAATCCTAGTGACGAAGTCGCCTCGGCCAACAGAGGAGTCGAACCTATCATGGTGGAGGTAGATCAGTAAATATGTCGGTACCTAGTTAGAGGCATAGAAGAACTCGGGCAGAGAGAGCTGACGTCATTCAGAGAACAGGCAACTGGCATGGGGGAATAATCCTAGCAGGAGTCGTTCCACTTATGTAACCAGAGGAGAAAGCTGTAGTGACGGTGATGGTGCTGTGTCAGGAATGGAGGGGGTAGGTGGATATATCAATGGATAGATCAATAGATAGACAGATAGCTATAGTTAGATGGACGTAGACGGAGGAAGACGAATTGATGGGTAGGGCAGCTTCGGGTAGTGCCTAGAGCAGCAAACCGAGGTGACGATACTCACTGGTCTCCCTTGTTGTCGGGTTTGCTGGCGTCCTTAAGCCAGCCAGTGTACTCAATGGTGACGGTCTGGCCGGAGGTGGGCACGGCGCCGTCACCCTCTTGTAGGGTTGTTTTGGTGACACCCATTGTGGAAAAGAGGTTGTGTGAGAATGTGGCCTTGGAGCTGTGATGCGTGGACGATTTGAAGTATGCAGATGAGAGCTAATGGTCGAGTTGCCAGGACGGGCGAGAGAACTGGGGACTACGAGGGGATTAAGTAGGCGTGTAAGCTGTGTACGCACGGCTGTGTAGGAGGTGGGATTCTGGTGGGATGTTTAGCGTCCTTCTTCTTGACCCCACCAGCCCACCCACGTTTCCTCACCTGCCTGCACACTACCTAGGTACTGCATAGGTACATGTATGCGCTATGCTGAGAGGTATCGCAATCTGGGAGATTTGCGTGCTCGATACTTCATCCATGTGTAGGTACGACTGTATCATGCAAGTACTGTGTATGTAGGTAGGTGCGCTTAGCAAGTCACCTTGGTGCGTGGTTACGGGTGAGGGTCTTGTGAGGGGTAGGGCAAGCTAGGAAACTCTAGGTACCCTTAGCTACCCTACCTCTTTTCTCACAATTACGATGCTGGGGGACTATAACAAGCATCTATCTAGGCTCGCCGGGTATCCAGTAGAGAGTAGGCAGTAGGTAGTAGGTAGTACACAAAAAGATGCGAGTACCTACATTCATATTGGGTCTGGTCTGGCCTGGGAAGTGCCGGTGAAACCAAGTATTAATATAGGTACTTATTATTCAGGCACTCGCATTCTCAGCGTGGGATGGATGGCCAGTTAAAAGGTTGACCGATCCTTTACCATGTAGGTACTTACACAGCGAGAACATGCGGGGCTTTGGAAGTACCTCCCCACGCCCACACGCCTTCATTGCAGTTCTTTTGTTTTCGATACAACTACAACATGTACAACAAATAGGAGGGTGGTTTTGTTGGGGATACTGGCGCTACCTGATACGTTACTTATGTTATGCTAATAGTCATCGGAGGTGTTCAACACCTTGTTTCCCCTGAGAACAAACTGGTGCTTAGGTAAGTATAGCTACCTACATATGTAGGTAGTATAGACCAGGCACTGAATACGGTGGGATACATCCATGCCATGTATAAATCTCAGCAACATGTCGCCAGAAATTATGATGCTCAGCTATCAGAAAATACATGGATACCTATATATAGATACCTCTCTAAAGTGTTGAGGTCATGATACTACCTACGTACCTATCTACCCACTTCCGGTGAGATGCTTCACTGTGAAGTTGTAGTACCTGTAATACAAGGTAGGTATTTACGCTGGGGAGAACTTGGAATTAACCCATGATACTCCTATTACATTAAGTACCTACCTAGGTATATAAGTAGCAAGTATTCAAACGACTTCGTGTACTTACGTACATGATATTTGCTAATATGACACCATACATCGTATTAACGTCGATCATCCCCCCGCCCTGCCGAGGATGACTTGCAGCACTGCCCGCGTCGGAGACAGGCTTGTGCAATCAAATCACGTCTTCTTCACCGCAGTGGTTGTGCCGTTAGTACCAGGTACTGCCGTAGTTCTCGGTAAAGCTACGACGTCTAAGGAGTCTGTCTATGTCAGACACCACGCGAAGCCGCGACGTCGTAATAGCAGTACTAATAGGAGTACTTACGCGGGATTGGATCAACCCCTCACCGTAAGACATCCCCGGCGCGACCCCGGGTGCCGAAACCTCGTGCGCGTATGGGGCAATCTATTTGGAGCTTGGCTGGTCCGACCATCACATAGCCTTTTGCCATGGATGTCGTTATTACAGCAAACAAACATTCTGGTTCAGCACTACCTCCCTTGTTTCCGCTAGAGGAGGCGCTGATTCTCATGTGCTCGAAAGGGGAAAATTCGCGAGATAAGCGAGGACGAGTATATACTTGTGATCTATAGTCTAGTATTAGAGTGAATCAATTCAACAGAGTAGTATTTTCCGGCACCTGATACATCTTACACTAGGTAGATGCATTAGTAATGACATTTGCTTTTCGTCCAGAGCGAGCAGAGAGCAATAGACCTATTGATTCTTCGTCCATTCCCGAGGGTATAAATACCTTTTTTAATTATTTTAATGCAACCGCTACACGACATGCTTTACCTGGAACGATTTAAACAGTAAAGCCTGGACCTCAACTGCATTCCATGCAGGAGATTGAGTACCGGTGTGACAAATTATAAATAGAATTATGTCTCAATATCTCCTCATGCGAGCAATTGAGAACTCGTTTAATTCTTCCCAACACATAGGTAATACTTGGGTTACCTACCTAGTCCAGGTGACCGATTCACCATGCAGCTTGATTCTTACGCAGCGCCTTTGTTTTAACCATTCAACCCCGGGATGGTCGGTAAATTCCACTCGCAGATCTGCCTCACATCTGCAGGTACCCCTGGGAGATTCTACAGTTGTACGATTCATATCACCTACACAGACATCTGAGGGGGCTCAGGGCAACGTTGGGGTCCTGCATCAGACTAAACTAGACAGAGGAGGTAGAAAAAGAAAACGATTTAGAAAGCTGCCGTGTACCGTAAGTGCTCTCGTAGCAGCTAGTGGGATCAATATACGTCCTTATCACGGCCAGACCATGGAAAAGGGGCCTGCTTCAGGGATTGTCTCGTACTACCTACACTACAGCCTACCTTAACAACGAGGCGCCGATCGAGAATTGTAGGCATCCTGTCTGCACGAGACTGATGTGGCACCTGCCCTTATTCCAAGTACCAGCACCCGAATATGGCCACTGTTGAGCAACCCCAATCCAAAGCAAAGCTCAGAACGACACGAAAGTTTATGAGCTTACTAAATAGCCCTTTACTACATATAGTGACCATGTTATCCATCAAGCTTTTGACTCTCTTCCGATGTAAGTCCATGCCCCTGTTTTAGCCACAGCTTATGAGCTGCAGGTCCGGGAAGCAGATGGCTCGACACGCACCAGTATCTGAAAAGGGGTTACGATACGTAAAGCCCAGAAGAAGAAGCAAAAAGCAACGTCCAAAAACAACGAGATTGGCCAGAAAATGCATACACACACACACATACACCTACGACCATTACACATCCTCTACAGCTAAGTCTCAGACCATGTGTGTAGGTTTGGCCCTCTAGACCTTGATGTGCATTCCTATTGGTATACGCAGGGCATGGCGTGATTCAAATCACAAAGATCCTGACAAGCCCTTTGCTTTTGCAAACCTCGCTAGAGGCCGCAACCACCTCAATCACGTCTCATGGGAGACTTGCCATTTGCTACGGCGAACACCTGCACCCGTGATGATGATGATGATTCTCATGGTTAGGTACACGCATCATCTTTGTCTAAATTCGAGCTTCATAGGTTTTGAACCTGGACCTATATATTTGTTATATCTAGTATTAACGGAGTATTATTAGCAGTCATCTCCTTCAATGATACAAAGGCGTCTACTAACCCTATCACCAGAACTGTATTATATATTGTTTTTTTTAATAGGCCAGAGGTGACAAATGCTGCGTTCTACTACACTCTTGATACATTACCTGCCATCTCACCTAAATAATAACTCTTGATTACACCTTACACACCGTCCCCCAGCTCATACTACCTACGGTTGGTGACATGGAGCTGGCCAGCTAGCTAGCTGTAACTACCTACCTACAGATACTATCTATGTTAGAACTAAGCTCGACAACTCGAGCTGACTTTCTGCATGGATATAATCCCATAATTCGAGTAAATTCTTACAGTGGATTGGACTATCTGATTGGCTTGTTTTTGGCTCAATGGTCTAGTGGTATGATTCCTGCTTCGGGTTACGCCCTTCCATCTGACATGGGAATGCAGGAGGCCCCGGGTTCGAATCCCGGTTGAGCCCTTATTTTATGTTTTGATTATATCAGACTTGAATTAAAGTCCTTTTCATTTTGTTTTGGCCCCCTAATCCTTTACAAAATGTGTGTGCAAGGAGTGAGATTGGGAAGATTGCATCATCATATCTCAATAGAGTGATTCCGCCTTCTTTTACAATATGGAAAGGTGGATGGGTTATGAAAAGAGACAGTGAAGGACACAATTACTCTATTATACTTTCGACAATAAAGGTTTAAGATAATACAAGATAGTTTCATAGCAAACGCTATCACACTCATATCCTCAAATAGAAGTCAATATGATGTAAAGTTTGTAAACTAGACTGGGCTTTGATCATATCAGGATTGTCTTTCCTTTGTCTCCATATTGCCAGAGCCTGATAAGGAGGCACTTATATGGGGGAAGGCATATTTACAGGTAATCGAAGATCGTAGGCATAAGCAGTCGCAATAGTACCCACTCCGTCATGGAGACTACTTGGCTTATCGCATCTTTAATTACAGCATATTTGCAGCAATAGAACCTTTCTCTAGCTTTGATTCAGCTCTCATAGAGCATCATCCATGATCTCTACACTAGCAGTTAGCCAAGATAGGGCATCGTAGACAGAGTTAAGAAGGGTCAACATACCATCTTCGTCGTCATCATCCGAATCCGAATCCGAATCTGAATCTTTATCATTGCTCCCATTGGGCCAGTTTAGCTCCATATCACTAATGATATCCTTGGCGGACTGGGCGAATGCGGTCCCTTTCCAGATCTTCACGTACTGCCTTTTTGACCCGTTGAATGTGACGAGGGCACTTCGCGTTCCGTTAGACTGCCTTAGATATGAGAGTAAAACCATTTTGAGCTGGAGGTCAGCCTTTGCCATGGTATTGCATAAGCGAGCCCAGTAATTGGCCTTTGTGCCCTTTGGAACTAGTATCATGGTCTTATGGAGGCCAACGCCTTCAAGAGTTGACTTAAATCGTTCATATAAGGTGAATAGAACGGTTGCCTTCACAGTTGCCATCCCAATCTCAATAACCTTCAGCTTCGGGAACTCTGGTGCACATGGGAAATGGAGAGGTAGAGAATCGGCGGTCTATGGTGTTGTCAGTTTCATCCTAGAGCAGTATATCTATGTGAACATTACATTTGCTGATTCCAGTGGGTCTACAGGCCTTGAATTAGAGCTTTTAGAATTCTCATTCGCGTTTGCTACCCAAGATAGGAATTTCTCGACGGAACCAGGAAGGTACGACTGGAAATTGAGCCTCAAGTGCTCGAGAGCTGGTGTTTTCAGCAGGAATCTGGAGAGAAAGAACCCTCCTGCAGTTATGGGTTCGAGCTGGTCATCGGTGGCCTGGACGTAAAGGGGTGCATCCTCAGCGAGGTTGTCTAACCATAAAGTTTTGAGCTTGCCGAGGGCCAATGAAACCCCGACGTCTAAACGCTTAGGTATCTTGAAAGACTGATCTAGAAGTCGACAGTTATGTAAAAGAATCTCCATTCGGGTGAGGTTGGGGTTCCAGCCAGAAACTGTATTTAGTAGCGTTAGCATTATAGTAATACTCCGGTAAATTATCGAAACGGAGGGCATTCACACACCTGCACCATTTGCCATTGCTCTCAAAAGCGTCAAAAAAACATGACGAGTGTACTCGGCGCCACGAGAGTCGGGCGTGTTTCCTGGAAGCCCTAATTTCTTGCGGGTCTTTCTTTCGAAGGTTGGACAGCCATAGCTCTTCCAAGTGGTTTCATCTCGATGGCGACTTGATGAGGGGAAGTCTCGTATGCCAACGGCTAGATCACACGAAAATGTTAGCCCAATTATTTACCACATACCCACTTCCTATGATTACTCGGGCTATGGTGACTATGGCCCAAGATCAAAAGTTCACATACTATGACAGCAGTTAGCTCTAGCGCAGTCCCATAGATGTTGCTGTCAACAATGAATGTCACAGCCGACATAGTAGATTTTGATACATACCTCTCGAGATTAGGAAGGTGCTTGAAGGCCTCTGACAGCATCTCAACATCGAGACCTGTAGAGGTGAATTCCCAATGATTGAGGTATTCGGCATGGTATTGATTGTGACGAACCGCTGCTTCTTCGCTGGGACCATGGGTTGAGATGGCGAGAGGGTGTTCTAAAGAAATGATGACATGTTTAAGGCTGGGGCCGAATTGAGATTTGGATATATCAACGAGAGCCTGGATGCTAAACTCGATCAGGGCGAACTGTCTCTTAGAGAAGTACTCTCTCGCGAAATCGCGACGCAAGGCTGCCTCAAGCGGCTTACAGGTGCTTCGAAGAGATCCGAATTCGGGAGTAGTGAGATAAGAGGTGATCTGGAGGAGGACCTCGAGAGGCACGCTGGTCAGGTGAGCCATCGTGGCTGGGAGCCGTTGGTAAAGTGAAGGGGAAGGGGAGAATGAGAATACGCAATGGTTTTTCCCATACAACCTTGATTGCTTTGCAGATACCCAAGTCCCTACCTACATGTAGGTTTTTAAAGGACCTGTGTATCAGAGTACACAGATAAGTTAAGCATGTAGATATGTAGATATGTAGATATTCTGCCTATGGTGGCAGGCAACAGACCTTACCTTAGCAACAAACAAATGTTGCCGCCATTCGTCCTGCCTACCTCACTTCTAGGCAGGCACTGGCTATTGTGTACTAGGACAGTACTAGGACAGTACTAGATAGGTAAATACGGTAGGTAAGTAGGAAAGTACATCAGTAAGGAGCGCTAGGCACCTGTGCTGTACGGTACCTGCCTAAAAGTACATGTAGTGAATGAGATATGATGTCTACAAAGCAAGGCACCCGGGAGCCAATTGAATTCATGAAAAGGTGAAAATTAACACGACCACACGTCACGTACCTTAATGTTGCTCGTGCTTAACTGGCTCGTGACACCTTGATAGATTTCCATCGCCTTTCACTTTTGATCAAAGTGGGGATTTTGATATGGGTGTCTTGGTACCTGTACCGCGTCAACCAACAATCCACCGCGCCCCAATGCAGGATTCGGTCCACACAGACTCACATCTTACTGTAAGACCGTAACATTAATTAGCTAGGTAGGGCTGGGCAAAGTCTTCATCTTCTAGTTACTTGATGTATGGCCAGAAGCTCAGATGAGATGCCTTTATCAAAACGCTCAGATGAACCCATTCTATACATCTCTTTAGAGGGCATTACTGAATATCAATGCCTAAGCCAAGCTTATTATTCTGGGCCGCGCGGAAACTCGGCTGATGTGGAAGGCTCACTTGAGGTTAGAAATTTAGGGTTCATCTCAAATTATGGTCCCAGCAACGGAAAAAGAGGTACAAGGCCAGGGGTATCAATTGTTATTGTTTCGCAGAGTCATTCCATCCAGAATACATGTTATATAAAGTCACGGCGTCGCAATTCATGGGCATTGGTTACTTATCTTCAAGATCTTCATAGTTTAGTGCCTTTTAGCTCGAGACTGAGGTCCCCAATTCTCCGTGGGATTCATCTGATACCGGATCAGACCCGGCTTAGATTGATCGCGACCAAGTCGTTGATCAAAGACGACCTCCCTCTTGTCAATCTCGTCATCTTGGTTTTCAGTACCGCCTAGCCTCAGCAATCTGTATGCAGGACTATTTTCTTTGATGTTCTCAATTTTCACAGGCCTCTTCTGGCGTGTCCACTCTCTCATGACATGCCACACAGCAGACCACGGGGCATTCGTCCTCATGCTCCCACCCTTGCAGTGGCTTCGAGTGACCTCGTAACCCAGGTGGCGGAGAGCGCCTCGAAAGCTGTCTTCATCTGGGCAGATGCAGCGCATAGCACCCGCGAGATTGGTGGGGTGGAAATAGAATGGATACGGCTCTAGCATCGCGAATTCGTCCTCCTTGCTCTGTGGCACAAGATCGTCTGGCAATGGGAGCGATTCTTCTAGTGCAGTCTGTAACATGCCTTCTATCCGTGGTTTTGTACCATAGATATCGTCTGAGGCATTGGGTAAGTCATCCAGGATCTTCTTGATAAACTCTGCAGAATGCAGCGGCCCGGCATACATGGGACCAGCAATGTGCGTTCTTGAGCCACAATGCTGGCAGTCCATACCAACCGTAGGGCCTAATGCGCATCCATGTTTGTAGAATGTGCCTGCCCCGGATTTATTGGTAGCTTTCTTGTTGCGAGCCAAAAGCTGGGTTTCCCATGCCCCACAGCCATGGTCGCAGTTGTATACGACCATTGTCTTGCCTGCAAGAAACTTAACCTGGGCCGGAGAGCGCTTGACCTTGACGAAAATCCGGACATAGTAGTCGATCGATAGGCTGAGAAGAGGTTCGATCGCTAAGCCATAGCGTGCGGCAGAGGTGGCAATGGTGTGCAATATCAGCCGTAGCCCGACTTCATGAGAATGAAACCCTTTAATAGGCACTCCACCGTAGAGTGAAAATGCTTTTTCTGGATAGCCATTTGAAGCCCATACGGCGGAGTCGGTGCAGGTCACACATAGCAGGCCACCATCGTCACGAACAGCATTGACTGCAGCATCGAGAAATGGGGCTGCTGTTCCGTAGGGGTCCAGATCAATGACATTATATCTCCTGCTCTTAGACTTATTCTTCTTGGGATGCTTTTCTCTTTCGTGGTCACGAGCAGCTTCCTCGCCCGATATAGAGTACATATGACTACGTGCGTCACCCAAATTAGCGATGACTTTTGATTCCACGCCATTATGCAGAGCGTTGCGGCGAATAGCCTCGACAGCAGAAGAAGAGAGGTCATTGGCCGTGACAGAAGTAACGAAGGGAAGTTCCCGGGCATATCGCAGGGCCCTGAGCCCGGTTGCAGAAAGAGCATCAAGAATGGTGAAGCTACGCGCATGGGGAGCATTGGGCCGAACTCTGTTCTCCGATATAGGTTCGGTTTCCCTGGCAGTCTCAAGCCCGGCCGCATTGGCGACAGTGCTGGCCTCTTCGTTGCTTAGGTCCATCTCACCGGCGCTTTCCTTGATACTCTCGTTCATGTCGGACCTTGGAATACCGGCCTGAGCAAAGTCGGCCATGTCTGTGGTGCTCGATTTAGCACTGTTTTGCTGTCCTTGCTGCTTTTTGGCCTTCGATCCATCAACATCGGATTTATCGCGTTTTCTTTTTGCAATATGTTTCGCATTGGCCGAGCGCGGTTTAGCCAAGAAATCGTCGGCGTAGGCTTTGATAGCAAGGACAGTCAAGTCTCGGTTGAATTGCTGAATAGGGTTATAAAAGACCTGCTGTTGCTCCTCGACACTTTTATTGTCCTTCCTGGAAGGGTCCGGTTTCAACAAGGCGACGCGGATGAGGGCTAGGCCTTCTTTGATCTCTGTATATTCCTGGTCGTCGCGGGGCAAAGGTTGGACACCAGTGGTCGTGGTCGCGATCGCGGTCGCGGTCGACCCGTTCTGGAGGTTCGTCGCCATGCTATGCACAGCTTGGCAAGAAGATTTCGAGATGAATACACGGCTTACATTCCTGGATGATAGGCAAAGAGCAGAATAGGGCAAAGCACGAAACATGCAGGGACCAACACACGGGTGAGGTGAGGTTACAATTGTCGCAAATGTTCAATCCAAATGGTGATAGGCCAATCCAGTCTGCCATCCTTTTTTTTAAAAATTTAACCTCGAAATGGTGCCCCACCACGCAGCTAAGCTACCTACCTACCTACAGTAAGTAGGTAGAAGCTAGGAGCCCCTCCCTTAACGGCATGAATCGAGCATCGCCTAGATACCATTTGTATGCTTAGGCCAGCACAAGTTAATTCGAATCTCTCGAATAGGTTCGATTTCCTCTTCTCCTTACTATCATGGTTCTTTGTGCACACAGCCATGAAGGCTGCGGGGAATTTCACAATCGTTATAGGCAAGTATTTACCCCGGTGTCCTCAATCGCCTGGACGTAGACTCCTCATACACAAGCAGATGTGAACTCGAAAAGAAACCGAAAAACAAATATCTATTCTAGCGAATTGTCCTAAGGGCGAGTGGTGTGCGCCATCTCTTCTTTGCTGCGGTGCAGCCTTTGTTGCTTAAGCGCTTATTTCCCTGCCATCCAATTCTATAAATTCCTCGCTTGAACAATGATCTTGGCTTGATTTTGATTTTATATAATTACAATTTGACTATCAGTCTTAACTGCCTAGGGTCTCATTGATCTATGCCACGCAGCGAGGTTTGCATAACGTCACTTTCAATATCGCTAGCATGTCTCTGGAAGGTCATGAAAAGACTGCATAACCCTCGTAGCTGTGGGCAAACGGCATGTAACAGCGTTAAGGATATGAGGTTGGCTATCCTTAGCAACTCGGGGCAAAAGAAGAAAACAAGAGTTAAAAAGGGGGAAGCATGAGAATGACCGGCAGACCTTGCGCGCACCAGCAGCCTGCCTGCATTGCATTGCAGTGTCTTTCCTTTTCTCCACATCGGCTGATTTGTCTTCTCTCTCAAGCCGCCGCATCTTAACATCTAATTCACATGACACTTCACAAAACGATTGCCAATCTGCCCCTCTGACCGGATAGCGCGGTGATTACTATCAGATGAAGGCCGTCAGCCGTCAGCCTATAGAAACGATCTTTCCTGAGTTGGAAATAGGTTGGTTGTAAGATGATATGGAGAACTCTGCATATCATAGCTTGCATTCTCGGAAGCAAACGAAAACATTCTCGTTTTCCATAATGTTTGGAGTACCCAGTGAGTCCCTAGGAGGTGCTGAGAGCGTCTATGTTTACAAATATATGTTTTTAACTACTTGAACTGGATAATAATTAATGTGAACTTCGCAAATTTCCACTGTTTGGAGGATTGGGTGCGTGCGTCACAATCACACCGCTAGCTTCTAGGTTGAATTTGAATTTGATATAGCCAACTAATAATTACCGAGCGCAGTGATACTATTCTCCTGCTCTGAGGCTGGGCTCTATTTCATCGATAACTACTTCGGAATAAGGTAGCGGCAAGAGATGATCCCCAATTGATATCACAAGAAGATAGACTAACAGGACGACGCAACTCAAATCCAATCATGGAATTCAAGGAGTTTTGACCAGGGAAATATTGGGTTCTTTTTAAGTATCGCCATGACCCAAGCAAAGGAAGCTAGGTGAGTTAATTGAAGAACCAACATAATTCGAAATACCACTATAGCTGGTACTGATGCTTCAGTGTCCGTGACTCACTCTGATTACTGGCTTATATCTCTTATGCCTGAGGCCCCTTGACAATCTGAACTTATGCAATAACGTCCAGAGGCTCAAGATAGCACCAGGCAAGCCAAATCTTCTGTTTACACGGATTTCAGATCCAGATAGAGTCTACTGAAGACTTCCATGCAAAGTGGAATGGCCTCACCAAGTATGTTTGTGACCTAATGTTCTAGAACTAAGACGCGTGCAGCTAGGGAGATAGTTTCATGAATATCGTAATATTCTGTCCCGAGGTAAAGCCCACAATATAACCATCATATCGAATTCAGGGTGGTTTCTTTCGCCGGCACTAGTACTGCGGCCTTGCTCTCCTGCCATCGCATCCGCACATCGAGTAATCATGTATCGAAGTTCCATACAAACCGCCCGCATGTTAGTCTATAACGTGATCGTATTGTGTATTTACATGACACAACTAGCCTCCCATTCACTATACCCCTATCCATAACAGGACCATGATCCGGGGGTGGGAGTCTCGGAAGACAGGATGCCGAAGGCGGATACACTTCGCTGAAAAAGGCCGTTCTTGGCGAAACGGAGGACAATCCCGCACTCGGGCAGGCAAAATGTCCCACGCTAGACTAAAGACCGCGGCGTATACTATCACGATTCCGACCTCCTGGGTATGGGACCCTTGTACTGGTATATGCCAACGTGGTGTTGCAGACACAGTCTACGGTACCTGCTAGGATATAATATTCCGCGACCATACTCTCTGTACATGGAGTCCCGCGAATTCTACTTCTTAGTCGTTCGGGCCAGCAGAAAGGGTCTTGTTCTATATGTTGGCTCTGATCTAGACGGACTAAGCGCGGCAATGGTGATGATGGACATGCAGTAGCAGCCCTAAGGTTCTATTCCGTGTCCTCCCCTTACGAGAGACTTTACGTATGACTCGGCAAGTTCCATGAGTACCTAGAGAAGCTAGAGTAGCAATATTAGCAGAAATCGTCATATGTGCTGTGCTGTGCAGCAGTGATTGAGCGCGGGATGAGGATTTCCTCGTAGTCGCGGGGTGTGCTAAATAAACTGGTTTCTCGATTTGCATGACGATGTATCTTATGTGTGGTACTTACAGGTATTCCGTGTTGAACATCTACCACTTCGGGCCACGCGCACTCGTTTCATGGAAGGTTTGGAGATTGCTTACGTATATGAGCTAAAGAACAACGACCCATACAATGCCTGACAGAATTTATGTATTATACTTTTGAATTTCGGTAGTATGTCTATTCCAAATGTCGGTGCGAGCGCCTGTGAGTCAGTCAACCCCACAGTAGCGGTCGTTATGTTCTAAATCTCAACTTGCGTTTCCTCCAAGTGGTGTGATCGGAATACATGGCACTACGTCCGGTAGTGATGGAAGTTGCTCCCCAATGCTATTTTTTCCGGATACTCTCCACGAAGAAAGACCCCCAAAATGTTTCGTACGACCCTCGGTATTGCCGCAGTGCTATTTCACCAAGAGCCCGCTATAGAGGGTTGCTTCCCACAAAACCATGTACTTCACATTATTTTAAGAAGCTAAACGGGCTAGTCTTCATTTCAGGGCTATAATAGACAGTTAGTGACTGTCGATTTGAGCATGTGGCCGTGAGAGTACTGGAACCCGAGTGGCCCGTAAGACATATTTACGGCTTGACGGGTCGTTTTAGCTCTAGAAATGAGTACAACGAAAGAAAACAGCTCAAAGATATTTTACCTTCGTGGACTCATAGGGAGAGCAAATAACTCGTCCTCAGTATCTCTGATCTGTGGCGCTGATGCCGCAGGTTCAGTATTGTTGATAACAGCATCGAGTGAAGCGACACCAGTAGAATTAGGCTTTGGCGTGGTCAAGTTGGGTACCGAGGTGACATTCAAAGCACCCCGTGAAAATGATTGAGGCGCCTGCCGCGGTGTAGTGCCTTGAGACATATTAGAGGACGTCTTGAGTGTTACGCTGTATTGTGTTGTGTAAAGAAAAAACACCTTCTGATCATATCAATTAGGAATTACTTACCTGGTGTCCTAGCGAGATCTGCCGCCGATGTAGAGAGCTTAAGGCCTCGTAGCATTTCTCCTAATCGTCCACCCACAGGGGACCGTGGGCTTTGGGGTGTTGCGGGAAGCGCCGGACGTCGTTGTGTATCCAAGTCTACAAAGCCAAAGTGCTCTATTAACCACTGTTTTTCCTGAAGTGCCATCTCCAAGGCGACGCCTTCGCTATTAGTCTGCAGTTCTTCATTAATCTCCTCTTGGATTTCAGCTAGACGCTTTTTGGCCCATATCGTGTGTAAAACACCTCTTGTACCAGAATCTGGTGGGCTAGCTCCAAGACCTGGGGCGAAGATTGCGGGCATACACTTTGTTGTGAGCGTGCGCCCTGTGGGAGAATGTGTTATAGTAACCGACGGAGGGATTGACGCATTCTCTGGTAGAAGAAAATATACTCGTAGCAGCGATGATGGGCTTTTATCGTTGTCACTGAGCCCGTACGCTGCCGATTTGTCTTCCCACGACACCACCCAGCCGATCCGATCCTCGGGACACATTTTACGGCTGTCCATGTGTGAACAATCCCACTCGACCATTAAAATTTTACTGCCATCGTTGCCCCTACCCGCCTCGAACTCGAATCGCGCTAGAGCATTTGGAGAGGATGGAGATATAGGCGAATCTACCTCTCCAACTGTCTGAGCATTGGCCTCACCTTTCAAAGATGTAGCTGGGTTATCGGATACGAGTTGCACACTCCCGGACGAGTCCGAGCCGACTGCCGAATTCTTGTCCATACTGGCACGCACGCGCCTGGATGGTATACGTTGGTGTGGAGTACGAATACGTGGGTACTTGTAAAGGTGTGTATCCCACCTACAGCCTCATTCCCAATCTTCTCCGTTTTGAGTATGTCAGTGAAGTCTCCAGCAAGCAGTACTCTTTAGGCGAAGAGCGCGCGTCCCGGCGCACAAGCGTGTAGAGCTGGCCAATCCTGCTGTCGGGTGACCGAAATCTTAAGCTCATAAAGGCGGCTAGACGCGCGGAGAATCGCTTAGGGAAATTGAAAGCAACCGGGTGATGTGTTGGGTAATGTATTAGAGCGGCAAAATGATCACTAACAGACGGTTGAAGTCGTCGAACCCGGCAATTTGCCGCTGCCGCTCGTCTTTTGGCGGCTGGTTATCTCCAAAAGCTCGCCCGGCAGAGAAGGACCTAGATTCCTAGTTGTACTGTAGACGCGTAGGAGGGAAAGCGGTGCAGCACAAATGTAGATAGGCTGATAGCTCGCTTAGAAGGCAGGACTCTTCCCGCTGACCTAATCCCAGGGGCCCAATAGGCCTTTCTGCACAACGAAGACGACGAGGAGCGGAAAGGGCAGGGAGTGATTGACAAGGCGAAAAGAGCCTGACCAAGCTAGTTGCCTCCAAAATGACGATGAGTTGGTCGAGTTGGCGTGGTTCTAGGCTTGGCTGTTCACGACCGAAGCTGAAGACGCCTGTCATTGAGGAGAAGGCAGGTCAAGCGGGGAGAGATTGCCAAATCTTTTTTCCCTTTGCGCATGATGATTATCGCTAAAAGGGAACGCTCGACATCTTGGCATTAGGTTTTGGGCATAGCAGGACGTGGTGGTACGTGGAAAAGACCTCTTCTTCATCTGAGAAAGCGGTGCAAAAGCCGCGAAAGCCGCGTGGTCAGCCAGCATCTAACATGTAGCTCGGAAGTACCATGAGGCAAGAATTTGTGCGTGTATGGTGATGCTGGGACTGGGATGGGTACAAGTGCAAAGCAAAAGGGCCGCCTGGGGACTGCATACTCTACTGCATGAGAATCTAAAAATAGATCGTCAAGTCAGCAAGCGACGGCTGGTGATTCGCCAGGGAGGTTCGCAGATACCGGTGCTAAGCAGAGTAGCGCAGAGGCAACCGATCCCATCCCATCTCAGCCAGTGAGTGAGTGAGTGAGTGAGTGAGTGAGTGAGTGCCCAGCCGGCTGGGTGGAGGATGTTCGATGTTGATTTATGACCGAGGCCCAAATAATGCATCTACTGTTTCCAATGGCATGGGATAAAAGGATCTTGTTCGATAGGTAGCCGGCTTCTCTTTTTGATATGCACTATATCGGTACATGCAAATATCCAGTCTGGGATCGAGGGGGGCTTCCACTCATAGGATGTACATAGGTAATAGGTAGGTAATAGTAGTATTGGAACCCCAGTGCTACATCATATCTACATGGTAATTTACATCCATCCATACCGTTGTACTGTAAGGGACGGCTTGATTGTTTCAATCTATTGCGAACCTCTTCTTCTATTGGAGGGAGCCTGCCGTAGGAATCACCATATCCAGATAGTCTTTTGTTATTTGGTTACTTCAGCGCCGTGTCCAAGGTAAGGTTGGCATCTACCTGGGCTCTGACAGTCTGTAGAGGCCTTGGGATGCATGTTGATCGGATCGTTATGTCCCGAGTTCCCGGAGTCCTTTGCCGTCCTTTGCGTGGGAGACACGCACTAGGTCGCTGATGGCATCCGGAAGATCGTCGTTCGTCGACATCGCTGAAACACCGGTCACCCAAGCCGGCACAGATTGATGGGTCATATGTGGTTCTGCCCTCTCTATGCGTGTCTACTATGCATGTCTGTGTATGTGCGCTCAGTAGTGTGCGTCTGAGTCCCAATCGGATTTTTGACCAGATCACATACTAGATAGGTAGGTCGGTAGCGTGCGAGCAAGGACAAGGCTGTGTGGCTTGCCTTGCCGGCAATCTCACGAAGCACTAATAGGTAGTCAAGACACACAGACTAGAGTTTCAACACTAGCTGCTCAATCAACCAAGGCGCATCAAGGCGCATACATATACAAAGTTTATCGTAGGCCGTCACGTGGGGTTGGCGAGTCACGAGATGCGAGCGATGCCGATCCCAACCTTCATGCTGTGCAGATACGGTATTCTCCGAAACCGCAAAATGCTGTCGCTGAGAAGTGACCGGATGATCTTTGTTTTCCCACTACCTAGGTGCGATATCGACTGCCATGTATTCACCTGAAACGAGGTATTGGAACAGGATAGCATTCGCTCATCTCCGGTCCAACTCAGCAGGTATTCATCTGAGTAGCTAGGCTCGGCACGTTTTGTCTCTCGAGCCTCAGATACAGGTCTTGACACGGCCACAATGCCAATGGAGTCTCAGTATGTGGCCTCCCTGGCGCTTGTTGCCGAAGTGATGGGACCGAACGGCGCGTTCGAGGTATGCACATGACTTGGGAGAACTGCGGCGCTGATTGTTGCTAGGGAGCAGAAGTGAGCAGTTCTCACTTCGTTGAGGAATGGTCCCATTGAATTGGAGCGGTCAATAAATGAGACGACATTCTAGTCGGATATTACACGTGGTCTCACTTGCAGGCAGTAGAAGCCGTTTCTTTTCAATAGTGACAACATCACAGTTTCACAGGTATAGTAGTAGTGTGCTTAATACCGTGCTGTTACCACGTAGTTCAGACCTATATCAATTATTTCCTTAATCAGGCATCATCCAAATATCACCAGCCATGGGCTACGGAAGACCGGGCGGCATACCTTATGATTGTTCGGCTTCTGTCTGGGGGAACAGTGGTTAACCGAAACAATGCTTCCATTGGGTTGATGAATGAATACATGGCTCCTGGGTTTCCTAGGTAGCTTCTGACGTACTGTATGCATCACGATAGTTTGTGTGTAGTACACAACTATAAGTGATCTGCTTTACTATCGCCTAAGTAGGCACTGTCAGCTCCCCGAAAGCTAAAATCATCATGGCGACGGGAAGCATAAAATATCTGGCAGATTACGTCACCTAGGAAATTGACGCATTAGAGGTTGAAGATCGCCGGATGGAACTTGCTGGGCTCGCTGGGCTACTACAGCAGTAGTAAGAGGAGCAGATCGTCAATTCCCCCAGACGGGGAAACTCCGCCCACCCTATTCCATACAGTGTAAGCATGTACGCACTATCTTGGTAGTTTGGTCAGATACCTAGACAGACAGCTCTTCTTGGAGAAGATAATAACCAAAAAAGAGAGGAAGAAAAAGGTCGCCCAAACTTGCCGGTCGCAAGCCCACCAATTGCTGTGATTATCAAACAGCGGATGCACTGATCAGTGATAACGATGTCTCAGAGCCCTCGTCGACATGTGAGACGATGAAATCTCCCATTGGGCCTAGTTGTTAGACATACTCGAATGCATTATGTGTCGTGACACGTTTCATGGACGATCCTAACAACGCCACTATCAAAATGAACGTGGTACCTGGCAGACGGCGAGATGGTCGTGTGTAACGAGCGACGCCGGCAGTTTATTGGCAACGGAAACGATGAGACGTCCCCTTTGCACCCTCCACCCAGGGCCTGGGGCCACCGGTAGGATACTGTAGATAGTAGGTCTGGGGATTGTGACGGATATACAACTCCTCTAGCTCGCCTCTGCTCGCCTTGGCGCTCATATGCAACATCGACTACCTATGTAACCTGTGCGTGGTACTGGCGACTGGTAACCCTTTGTCGAGGGCGAACCGAACTGGCGAGCGACTGGATGGAGGGTGATACTATGTAGACTCGAGAACCTACTGATGCTACTGCTTCAGGGATAGCTTTAGCCGAAGCTTTGTCCGAATGCGGGAAATCTTTTCGTGGCACAGCCAACCAAAGTGATGCATACAGGGATCCGGATGTGTGGAGATTCGCCGCAATAGGGCCGCCCCAAGTATACAACACCAAAGCTAAGCGGCTCTATCGCGGGGAATTTCAGTTATTACCAGCTAGCAGGTTCTGTGGAATACCGATGGTCCCCAGTGTACCAATGGTTGGATGAAAATATCCGTCAATAGGAATAAAAGTCAGGAAGAACCAGGACGTGGTACGATAACGCTAGGTGCTTGGCCGAATACATGATGTTTCCTCTTACCTAGTGTAGGTAGATATCGAGGGGAGAGAATAGATAGGAGTTACAGCGAGTTATCTAACTAAAATCCGATTGAGTCTGAGTGTGATTATTTAGTAGGATCTGATGTGAAGACGTCGAGGTTGTCTTCGCTATACAATGGGTGCCGTCACAGCTACGACCAACGATGTGGCCGAGCCGCCTGTTGGATAGACCGCTTGTGTATGTCGTATGTCGAGTGGCCCGCGTACTATGTACACATGAATAGAGATCTGTACAACGTTCAACGCCACCGATCAAGCGGTTCTCTATAGCTTACTCGTACTGGCTATTGTTAAGCGAGTACCCTAGTACATCTGTCAAGCACCAGCAACGTACTACACTGTCCGTGAGGGATAAACCCGGATATACGTGTAGGCTCAAGCATCACAAGGACTTTGCCTCGAGATGGTGAAGTCTACAGAAGCGAGGCCAATGTAGAGAACGGATCATTCCAGGATATGGGCTATGTACTGTAGATGGTGCTGACCTACACTATGTGAGACTGCGCTCCCTGGTTGGAGATGGTGCTCGGTACAGCTATTGGGATAAGCTTTTCTGATGTCTTGGCGCCTATGATGGTACCTAACGAACGAAGCCATTTCAACTGAGCTTCAAAAACTGGATCTGCTCTGTGCTTGTGGCATGATTCTCCCGAGGATTCCTTGCCTGCTTATCAGACTGGAGTCTAAGAGGAGGTAGTAAACAATACGTTCGGCGAATTCTAATGATCATAGGACCGAAGCCAACTTAGAGCAGTTGGCTACCTACTGTTATGTTGTAAATAAGCGCTAGAAGAATAGACGCTTGAGGAATCACCTAGGCATTGTGTGATTTGCCTAGTAGTAAGAGACTTACACTACCTAGGTACTCAGCATGAAGTAGCGGTCTTGATATACGAACCATGGACAATATTCATATGTTCGGTTCGTGCCAGCGGATATAAGTATGCTAACCAACCCATGCTCTGCAAGCTGCTGCCATGGCTAGTTGGCTGGCCATGAACTGTTCGAGGCATGGATTGATAAACCACTTTATGCAGGCCTGCTGTGATGCGCACCAATGGCGGTGAATAGGCTAAATTGGAGCCGGCTTTATGCCTCGATGCCTAGGCCCAGGATCTGAAGTTGATCGCCTACCGGTATACGCGTAAGTGAGGAGGAGTCAACCGAGTAGCGGGAATGAACCTGCACTTACAAAGCTGAGTCGAGACATCAAGAATCTAGCGGTGGAGTCCGGCGAGGACGCGGACGCGAGATAAGGAATCCAGGCCAAGATGATTCCAAGAATGACGGAGCCACGATGTCGTCTTGCGGCCGTGCAGTCGGAGGATTCAGTAACGGGTGGAGGATGACTGACGGCTGCGGGCCGATAGGTTGTGTCTAAATTGATACTCGCCCCTAGAGATCGCCGATAAACATAGTACATATTATAAGTCTACGGTAGAGTACCGAGCCACCGTCTACAGGATAGAGCGGGCGAGGAGTGACAGAGCAGATCAGACGACAGTGCCTGGTAGTGCGATTCTCGTGATTGTGGGAGCCTGTCTGAGCAAACTACCCCATCATATCTGTCGCGGTGGACAAAGCCCGTACAGCTCCAGATACACTACATACCGTGTTACATGGTAGATGTAGTCGTATGTTCACGAACTCGGTAGGTAGGTACCTACTTAATCGAAGATGGATATCATGTAAGAACCCACGAAGCACTGTGTTGGAGATGAGAAGTAAGTAGGTAGGTAGGTGATACGTGTAGCAACAGCAAGCGAGGGGACTCCAAGTCTTCCAACGAAATCGAGCTGGGTGAGCACAACCTCTTACTCTGTCTGCTCTTACCACGGTATCTCAGTGCTCTAGACTGTAATCTGTAATGGATGTACATGATACCCCGACGCTCCTTTCGATTCAACGGCACAGCCGCGGCGTTCAAGGTGTACGTACATGTAGAAGTTCACGATGCCTCAGGCTATATTGTATGTACTTATCAAGAACCTTGACGCATCTACTTAAGTGAAGGCTTGAAACGACCACTGGCAAAAAAAACCAATGTTCTACCACGAGGCATCCATCTACCGATACGCGTCAGGTGCTAGCAGTATAGCGGCCACATACTGGTGGAATAGTAGTGTGCGCGGTATTGCCGTCCTTGGATTGGCGCTCGATTAGGGGAGTAGGTAGGTAGGCATCTGTAAATACTAAGTATGTATGTGACGGGCTGTTGTTCGGCGCAAGGTGTGAGGGCGCTGATGACAGTGATGAGCGAGGCGGGCCCGGCGATGCCTCACTCGCTGGCCAAAGGTCGGCAGCACTCCACTATTTGGCCGGCCAAGTCGCCGTAACCAGCAAGAGAGACTGCATTCCAGAGCACCCCATTTCTGCCCCATCCCACCTTGGCACCGTGTCAATTTCCCCATACGTGCCTGCATGCTACAGTATCAGGAAGTAATGCACTATGTATGTAGTACTTAGTACTTACTTATATATGTATGTCCCAGCTGTCTTAAGACAACCTTTCATTGAGATACGGTAGGTATATCATTTAGACCCGCCGAGAAAGGTAGGTAGGTAGGTACCTGGAATTTCGCTACGCTGGACATGGTGAATCAGGTAAATCGTGTAAATCAGGTACGTGCTTACCAACATTACCTGATTCACTCCAGTACATGATGGCGGCATCGTCGACGACGTGCGCTCTGACTGCTTGCCTCACAACTGGCTGCCGGATCTTCTGTTTTGTGTCTCTGTCTTTCCTTTCTTCCTCGTCGGTACACGGTACACGGTACACATATCCAGCGCCGTACGTGATGTGATGTACGTAGGGTTTTGCACCACCGGTACAATTCGTCTCCAAAATGGCACCTACCTACCTACCTCACGGTTACATAGTAGGTAGTAAGATTGCTAGACTGGGGGTCTGTACTCACGTCGTATACAACATACCTAAGTATCAGTATACAACATATGTATACGTAGAAGAAGTGACTGGAGTCATGTAGTTGAATGAGTATGAGTATAAAGTAGGTAGTCAGTATTTACTGTAGATAGGGAGTGTCCATGTATTCCATGGGGACGTATGTAGCTACCTAACCTAGGTACAGGTAGTATGTTATTGTACCTAGTATGTTATTGTAGGTCGTTACATACCTACCTATCCATGGATGTACCTACCAAGTACTTACTGATACAGTGTGCTTTGTCTTCGAGATCTACTGTACCCGCTTTCCCTGCGTGCACTAAGAGTCCTCCCTCCCAGACCCTCCCTGACCCTCCCTGGCGCCCCCCCCATCCATCCCATCCATCCCATCCCCCCGTCCGTAACTGCCCCATATTGTAAGTACTGTACGCTATGTAGGCACTCCAGGTCCACTGAGCTGCCCTACACCAGCCAGCGGCCTTGCACCATTGCCAATCAAGCAGTTCCGCCTACCCCAAGCAGACCCAAACCCACTGTTCCCAGGCCCTCCGACCCAGCTTGCACGCCAAACTCACTCTCGCTCGGCCTTATTCATGACCTCCCGCCTCTGCTCCCTCTCCTTCACTTCCAAGCTTGGTCTATTACCTGTTGCCAATTCCACTTTGGTGGGAGACGTGATACGTGCAACATACGCCTCTTGCACTTTGCGTTCTCGGTCCTACCCGTGTAATTTTTCTTCTGTTTTCCTTTCCAATTAGGTAGCTCGCTCTCGGTTTCCTTGTCGTCTCCCTTGTTCAGCACTGGCCGCCTTCTGAGTTTGGCCCCCGACTTCGACTCTCTCCATCCCGTGCCATTGTCGTCTCCTCGCCCATACGTCCCTCAACAACGTCTGGCTCGCCCTCTTAACCACGACGTCGCGAACTGTGCATTGCCCTTTCATCGCATTAATCAGCCCGTCGATATCCGCCCGTGCTCATCGTTATCGTTTTTGATTTACCTCGACGAAAGTGTGGCTGTCAATCTGTTGGTTGCTCTGGCATTTGGGTGCACTGTTGTTGGAAACACGCCTGGGCGAACGCCGAAAAGCGAAAACCTCGAGTGGTATCTTGAGGGAGTGAACTGTGCCACTCTCGTCGCTCGCTTTCGACACCCAAATACCGAATTCGATCTTGTCGCTCGTTTGAATCGTAGGGCTATTGGTGCGGAAGCTCTGCTAGTTTGTGGTGCTGCGTGAATCTTGGGGCTGGGACATCCTATTGACCACCCTTTGATAAATTTGTCACTGGATTTCTAATGTATCAACATGATTGATGTGCGATTGCTGTCTTCTGGTACCGTTAGCTCTATCGCCGTCGCGCTACCTGCTTCTCCGAGGACAAGCGGACATTAGAGGCGCCGCCTGTCCTCCTACTCATCGAGGCGCATTGATCCATTCGCATCGCCTTTGATCACTTCATTGTCATGGACCCTCCGCATATTACTGAGTTCGCCTCCCAGCGATATTTCGAAAAGTTAAAACAACTTAGTGAATCGAGAGATCAACCTCAAGATGGTGTCGGGCAATCTCATGACGGCTATGCCGTTTCACAGTCATCCACATTTATCCTCCCAATCGGACAGTCGAAATTGCCGGATCAACAGATCTCACATGACCATCACAAGTCTGAGAAGCGTCGAGCGAACTTCAGCTTCCGGGCCATTCTTCCTACGCGCACATCCGTCGAGCACGAAACTCGGAGTTTGTCGAGTGAATCTTCACGGAAGAGGAGGTAAGAAGAGGTTATCAGTTCCGAGTCTCTTGTATCATCTTTACTAAACTATTTCTAACAGCATCCCGTTCGATCAACTTTTCCACAGCCTACCGAACGAGCTCAAGATCCAGATTATAGCCTCATTACCGTTGTCAGATATTTTGAGCATGCGAATGGCGTCGCGGTCATGGCTTGCTATGATCACGTTCAATGAATCGGCGATAACACGCTATCACATTGAACATCACATCCCAGCCTATGCGATTCGTCTATACCCTGCTCCTGAACCATCTTTGATGAAACTACATTATTTGTGTGGCATATGGCATCGTCTTCATGTTGCTAGTAAGCTATCATTCTTAATAAGTGAGAGAGTCACCAAGGAAATATTCCTTCGGACCACAGAAGCCCAGCGAAGCGAATTCGCCCCCCAGTACGAAAGAATGCGACGGCGACTCGTTCCACTATTATTCACCATATTCCACTTCTTCGAGACGTATCGGACGTTGCATCTCGAGTATATCAAGGAACACGGACACGGTCTGCGACTTGAACCTTATACATTAAATCCTATCGAGTTGAAGGTCATGAGTATGTATGACGATCAAACGTTACTAAAAGTCCATCAAGTGTTTCCTTTAGTTATTTCTTCGTTCTGTCGACGACTACGACCCCCTTCGTATGTAGGCAGATTCGAGCGTTCCATAAGGGGATATTTGAGAGACAAGCCCGAAGACGAAGTATATGTCACCGCATTGTGTGTAGGTGGTCTTCGCCGGGTAGAACGGTTTTGGGAAGTCAAAGGCTACAACGCAAGAAGGGCTGCTGTGGATCATTGGTATCATACTGTCACAACCGAGCCGGTCGAGCATGTCCCGAAGCAACGTCGAGGTTTTATGGGCCTGAGTCGAAAGAAGTCCAGCTTCAACGTTGGTGATGTTGGACGAGGCACGATGGATTTAAATGCTCATAGCCGTGAGCGACGGGGCTCTGATAATGGCCGACGTGGTAGTGATGTTTCAACCAACTCTTGGAGGGATTTTGTTTTCGGTACGAGTTTATCCGAAGGAATGCCGATGGGTCCTCTCTTGCGGGAGCAGCTCCAATTACTATTGCCCGACCTCCCGGATTTGCACTCTATCTGGATGCCCACTGCTGAGGCGCTTATTCTCGACAGAGGTATTGTTGAGCGGCCGCAAGATATAAAACGCAACGGCCCTGCTCTCTTGGATCTAATTCGCGAAGATGGTGCTGCCGAAGAGGACGAGTGGCTGTACGGTCGGACTGCACCTGAATCTGTGCGGCCACCCCTCGAAGCGATCGAAGAAGATCCCATCGAATAATTGGATCGTAGATTTCGTCTACTGGTTGGGCACTTCAGCTCATCCAACTCGTGAAGCATTTACGGGCGTTCTGGGACAGGTGGTTCATTTATCTTGCATATATACGAGACGAGGATTTTAAGTGTCTACAGGTTTTTAATGGAAAAAACCAAGACGGCAGCTTTATGCTAGCCCTGATACGATTAGTCTTCCATCTGAGCATTGTAATGTCTAGACGGGCATGCAATATCTTTTTTTTTGTCTTTGAAGTCATGTCACCACAGCCGTGCAACATTTACTTTTGTTTTTTCTCGTCACCAGGCCCTTCACACATGAACTGGGATGAAAGGTACGGATCAGGGGCATCATGGGTGGTTGGATATGCAAGGCGCTATTGGAGGATTCAGCAGAGGTTCGATGATTTTAGTTTAACATCATCATCATCATCATCATCATCATCATCATAGCGTGTATGAATCTCGATTGGAGATGATGTGTAGATATATATATATATATCTATTACCACATTTACAGACATGAATTTGTTCCCTCCATTTATGACTTTGTCGAAGAGGTTCGACTTGATTCTCGAAGTCTGCTTTTTGTGCGAGGTACGCGTAGCGCGATGTAATCTTCGCCGCTATTGAGTCTCAAAGTTCGTTTCAAGACTCTGACTATATATTCCGTTCGATGGATCCGGCAAGGTGTTTCAAATGGACCGTTGGTCTCTACCTAGGTAGCTACACATCATACCTAACACTTGCATATCCAAGGAGTTGTTTTGTTGGGTTTATGTAAACATGAGATGTGTGTATATGGGTCATTGGAGCAGGCAGCTAGCCGTCTCATCCGCATGCTCTTCCAAAATTGAACGTTCGTAGAGACACGATCTGCAGGAAGCCTGAACAGGAACTGCGAATTGATGCCGAGAAATGGAAGTGGTATATTCTAACGCCTCATGATTTATGAACTCGAAACCAGTCACACGCCCGCATGGGCCTCGCAGTAACCACAGCTAAAGGTACAAAAATCGACTTAAAGGTATGCGCGGATGGGCGAAGCGTCAGTAACATACGAAACGAAGAGTGTAAAGTAGAATCATATCGCCCACAGAGAAACATTGTGCTTTAAGGAAAATGGGAAAAAGGAAAAGAGAGTAGCTAAACGTAAAACCCCCAATACCACCTTACCCCTCCTATCTTTCCCTTTCCATACCCTTTTCATTTACCCTGCGATTCTTAACCTCATGCAATTCAAGCGTTCTGAGCTCAAATTATTCATTCAATACATCAATCATCCACGTGCGTGTCAACCCTAAATGTAGGTTTCGCCCGTGGGGTTTGTAAACCGTGCGCTTTTTGCGCATTCTCTTTTCCACATTCATACCATGTCTTTGAAAGTCCACCAAAACGAGGATTAGAATGAAACGACAATAGAAAACGCCGGATGTCATGGAAGAAATGGTTATGAATCCGAAAGAGTTTAGAAGTAAACCCATCGTTCCTCGCTTTCCCTACGCCACGCATTTTGCTCAATAACCGAATTTCCGTAATTATAGAACTATGTTTTGTTTCACGAGGCCCACCGATTTTGCTGGCCTGCACGACCCATATTGGTTGAACCCAGATACGTGCTATTCATACCTGAAGACGAGTATAGGGGTGCAGAATTTGCGCTCGACGAGCGCTGCTGCTGCGATACTGCTCCGTTGTTGAGCGTATATGAACTATTACTCATACCCATATTACTATGGCTTCCACCCGAATCAAGAGTCATATCAAATAAACTTGAATCGGAGAATGTAGGGAAGGTGGATGAAAGGCCTGAATGCGAGGTATTGTGGCCCGTTGAAGTAGTTGATGTCTGCCGAGCGCCAAAGTGTGGCGAGTGATTCGCGACTCCATGATTGGTCGCACTAGTAGACCGGTAAGCAGGGCTGTTGTCCATAGGAGACACCGAGGGCGGCCGCCGCGTTGAAAATGAAGTGTTATTATGCATCAATGACGGCGATCCACGGTAGTTGTTATCTGTCTGCATAAGAGGAGAGTTTGACTGCGTACTGAACTGGGGAGAATTCGTGACATGCTGAAGTCCACTGCTGGAAGAAGTGTTTGACATGTGCTGTTGCGAACGCTGTGTGGTTGAATACGATTGCTGCTGTGAATTGTATGAGGATCCTAACCCCTGGCCTTGAGAATAGTAATTCTGAGGTGTTCTGGATTGTTGCTGAGAGGTCAAGGCTGGCGACATCTGAGGCAACTTTGACGACTGAGCGGCGATTGGTGACGCGGTCTGGGTCTGTTGTTGCTGCTTTTGTCTCGCCGTATTGGTTTGTCTCGAGTTTTCGGATAAGCTTTGTAATGCAGCAAAATGGTCATAATGAGCATCTAAGCCACTAGAAGCAGCTGGGACTGCGGCTGTGGCTGGCGTTGGCGATACTGTAGAACCCATGGAGCTAGTTGACTGAGGCTGTTGCTTGTGCTGTGGACGGCTATTGTAGCTCTGAATTTGATCAGTATGGCTCTGCATCGCAGCATAATGTGCTTCAAGCCCTTCAGCTTGAGGTTGGAGTTGAGCTCCGTCTTCAGAACTAGGCTGCTGTACTGGTTCAGCATGAGTTGATACGGGTGGATTAGACGCCTTCTGGCTCATGTTATTAGGTGTCTGCCGCCTGACCGTGGCCGTTGATGACGACTCTTGAGATTTGCGCGCACGTTTGGCTTGGGGGATGCCAACACTACTAGGGGTGGCTTGGCGTACGTGCTGACTTGCCTGATCTTGATGTTGGGAAGATGATGCTACTACATTAGCATTTGACTGTGTATGCTGAGAATTTGACAACGTCGCCCCCGACGGAGGTATGCTTTCAGCCTGGCCTGCGCCGTTTCCAGTTGGTCTTTTGCGTTTTTTTGCCGTTACAGTTGAAGCTTTGACTTGGCTAGCTGGGGAAGGGAGAGGAGGCTTTGTGGGTTGAACAGATTGGTGGCCTTCTTCAGTATGCGTGTTAGACCCATTAACCGTAGGAGCAGTGGACCTATCTGCGAAATCTGGTGCGGATGTTCGTGCCTGGGTCGAAGAGCCCGTTTCCGTAATACTGGGCTCTGTGTGCTGTTGAGTGGCGTGAGCAATTGCAGTGTCACTCAGAACATCGGCAGCAGGTTTAAGCCGATTCTTAGTCGACTTTGACTTGGCTGAACTGGTTTTAGTTTTGGGATGAGCGTCCAGCATGGGAACTGGCACAGGGACTGGTGTCACTTTCGGCGGTGGAATCGACTGCAATACTGATTTATCCTTTGGTCTATTCTTAGATCCTTTAGGTCGTCCACGCTTTTTGGCACTAGAGCCAGGAGTGAGGCCGTTGTCGTTAATGGAACGAAAACCGGCGGCGGAACCTTTTGCAGCCGTCGCCGTTGTCGCTCCACCACCGTTCGATCCTGTTGTTGGGGTGCTTGGAGCATTCCTCAAAGCTGTCATGGCTTCGACCAAATCTCCATCATCGTTTAGCTCCAAGACACTATCCTCTACATCCACCCAACTGTCATCTTGAGGACCCTGTGCCTGATCTTCCCCTCCTTTGTTAGCTTTCTGAGGACCTTTCTTGATGCCCTTATCACTCCGAGTCTTGCGGGCCTTGCTACCCTTGGGTCTTCCTCTTCGCCGTTTCTGGCTAGAACTCTGAGCTGCTGCGTCCTCGACATATTTAGGGCGAGGGTTTTCTAAGTCAGGAAATATCTCGGCTATCCAGCCTACAAAAAGAGAACCCGAGCCGTTGGCTAGGGCACTTTCTGGAAATTTACCGTCCGCCGGAGGCGGGGCATCGGGTACTCCACCAAAGAAAGCGAGACCCCTGCAAATCTGATCGACTACAGTATAATGAGGCAATGTCCGCAGAAGTGTTAATAGGCGCGCTTGTTCAGCTTTGGTCTCCGCAACCGTCAAGGGTTGCGGCGGGCCAGGCTCAAGCACAGGTTCGACAGATCTTTTGGGGGATGTGAATTGCTTTAGGCCAGGTGGACGTGGATAATTCGCCCTTCGTTGGTGTGATACGTAACCGTCAGTTTGAGCCAATTTGGCCTGCAAGAGTGTACCTTCGCTGGTGCGCTTGGCGGCAGCATCTCTTCCTTCACTCGCGCGGTGACTTGCTACATCCATGTGCATTACACCAAAATTCCCTTTCATATTGTCGTTCACATTCTTCAGCTTGCTGGGAACAGGGTTTCTGACGCGTCCATCCCGAGGGTATATCCTCAACTCCGCCCCCGGGCAGCCATCAAGGTGAGTTGGGGCCCTTCCGACGGTGGTTACAAGGCCTGTGTGGAGGCCATTGATGATGCCATTTGCCGCCGTACTGGGCGCCGAAAACGACGGGGCCAGAGCATCAGGCGAGTCGGATAGTGATGGACCGGCTGTGTTGGTACTCGGGGGGCGCACAGCGCCAGAGGTAGGCGCGTTGGCCGAATGGGCGGGTGATTGGCCTACCGCGCAAACATGTTAATACGGGGTTTAGGAGCCGCTACGCGAAAGAGAGATGATGCTACCGCTTACTAGGAGCTGTAGCCATTGGTCTTAACAGCGACGACCATGGCAATGATTAGGGATGCCGAGGTGGAGAATAGCTGTTATCTACTAGGTATGCGCAGCTCGTTGTCTTCAAGTGGGCATCTGCCGGAAGGCCAGGGCCCATGCTCGTAGGGGAACGAACACAAAACGTATCGATGGCCAAAATCACTTGAGTATCATGACAGTCTGATCCGACGCGCAAGCGAGAGACACGGTACTTATGTTATGAAGGGATGCTAGCGGCTGCGAGTGAGGCGGTCGGAACCAAAGTCTCAGCCAGAAGGGGAGATACTCGAGGAGGGTTTCGCGACGCCAAGAGCACACCGTTTTGGAACGTGGATTCAGCTACACCCAGCCGGACGGGCTTTAACACAGCCCAGAAAGGATTGATCTCAAGGCGATAGGCTGGTGGCCGGAGTTCTTCACAGGACTACTACGTTGGCAAGCAGACGAGATTCGGTGCGACGTTGATACGGCAGGGCAGGTTAAGGGGAGGAGGCAGCAAAACGTAGGGATGGTGCTAGCTAGTACATCACATACCGGTACAGTACTCCGTACTACATGCCTACAGGTGCGTACGGAGGTACATACGTAGGCAGTGGGTACCTAGGTAGACAGGTAGGCAGATAGGCAGATAGGCAGGTAGGTAATAGGTAGGTAGGTACGGTAGTTACTCCGTAGGGAAGGCAGTAGGTACTTAACACAGATGGGGGGGGTGCGGGCGCTTGCAGTGTTTTGGAGGGATGGAGGTAGTCTGGAGGTAGGTAGGTAGGTACCTACATATAGGTAAGTAGGTAAGTAAGTACCTAGGTTACTTGTTTAGATAGGTAGCGACCGACAAGTGATACAGTGTGCGACCGTCTTGAGTGACGCCTCGATATCTCTCGTACGAAGTAGACAGGCGATGTTGCTATATCAAAAGAGTACTGGGGATGTAGGTAGTCATGGATACGTAGATGGCGGGAAGAGGAGGAGGAGTAGGAGGAGTAGGAGCAGAGGTGGTGGTGATGAGGGTGGTGGAGATGCTGATGGTGGCCTCGTCGTGTCCGTGGCGGAGAGAGAGAGAGAGAGAGAGAGAGAGAGAGAGGGGTTACAAGTGCGGACGACTAACCTGCCCCGTACCTGGCCGACCTCTTCTTGATCTGTTGACCTTTTGTGAGAGTTAATTCCCTCCTCTGTGTCCCGCCACCGACCTGACCTGGCCGTTGTTTTGCTGTCCTCTCCCGTCTGTGTGCCCCAACCCAAAAGAGCCACTGCAGCTGCGACCCTTCACCCGCGTCTCTCCCTTACCTCTTATGGTCTGCTCTCTGGTAGCTGTATCAGCCCAAGATTGCAGATAGACAAACAGGTATGTATATGCGTGTACCTAGGCGCTGGCCGGACACTAAGAATTACCCTCGTGCCCAGCTCCGACAAATGAGAGATGATGGCAGCGTTTCCAGGTAATGTATCAGGACTAGTGCCATACCTATCTACGAAGTAGTGCCAAGGAGGGGCAGAGGACCTTGACCAGTGATCTGATCAGTGACCTGTCTTTGGCTGGAACATCTAGTACTATATATACTATGATAAAGAGACGACAATAACTCATCGGCTTCATGATAGATCACGACCGTTAACGACGTCCAAATTCAGCTCGATTATGTGGACGGCGTCAACATCACGAGAGATCTAACCAATGGCGAAGAGATCCTCTGGAAACATTGTCTTCAGTCCTAGGACATCTAAAACGATCGTTGATAACCTGCAAGTAGGTACCTATCTATGTAGGTAGGTAGGTAGGTATGGAGGTCGAGGTCATATATATCCATCATCCTTAGTATTGGCCTACCGTGCCAAGCTTGATGTATATTTGCAACCCAAACCTATATGTACTTAAGTACTCACGTGGTTTGGAAATTATCATCATTAGGAACATAACCCCGGTTGCCCACAGTGGCTTCTACTCGTGCTGTGGACCGCCTGCAAGAACTTATTGTACAGGCTGCAGCTCCTGCTGTGAATGGCTGTAGCTCCCAGCTCCCAGCTCCCTACCTATCTACTGGGACGTCATTGTGATAGGTATATCCTCAGAAGAGTTGTTCTTCGACGTCCCTCCAACGTCGACACAATGGCCAAATACGTCCTCATATCGCTCCCTTCAACCTTCGACTCTCTTAAAGGCACTATAGCCGACAATGGCACCGTCGTACAATTCCCCATCCCTAACTTCAAGATCGGTACTTTGGATGCCCTAGTCCAGCAAGCAGATGACCTAGCCAAGCTCGACTCGGCTTGCCAGGCTTTGGTAGCCAAGGTTGGCGATTCTCTACGCACCCTATATGATGGCGATGACCAGAAGGCTTCTGAGCAGAAGATTGTCAACGACAGTATAGCTCACCCTTGAAAACCACTCCCCAACAAGCGTGCTGACTATATACTACAGAGCCGACCGATCAGTATCTTCGCTCGTTTTCTTGGAACACGGTCCGTTACAGAGCCGATAAACCAGTGGGCGAACTCTTGAGCGGTCTACAAAAGGTACTGGATTCCCTCCATTAAGATCACAGGACTCGTCTCGATGTGCTATACCACGATCCTGAGCTTCAAACGCTGATGGATAGATTGCACCAACAGGACCTAGTAACGACAGACAACGATGTCAAGGGCAAGCTCAACCAGCATAACCAAGTTAAAACAAATCTGACCGCATTACAAAGAAAACAAACGTAGGGTGGGCCCAAGAAAACCTGGCGAGGCTCGTGTGAGCGAATGAGCTAACTAATTCGTTGGGATAAACCAGTGGCAACCTTGCTACAAAGTCACTCACACCCATCGTCGACCCAGCTGTTCTTGTCCAAGACTCCGAATACCTCGAGACACATCTGATCGCAGTACCAGGAAACCTGCGAAAGGATTTCATCAAGAGCTACGAGACACTGACGGAACGCGTAGTTCCACGGTCAGCAATAGAACTTGCACATGACGATGAATTTATCCTGTACGCAGTCACGACATTCAAGAAAAACGGAGCCGAGTTCCAGCAGAAGTGTCGAGAGCAGAAATGGACGCCCCGCCAGTACAAGTACGTCGAGGGTGGCAAGGAAGAAGAGAAGCGTGAGTTTGAGCGCGTCGCCCGGGAGGAGAAGAAAGTCTGGGGGGAAGCTTTGCGCATGGTCCACACCGGCTGGAGTGAAAGTGTCATGATCTGGGCCCACGTTATGGCACTCCGGGTCTTCGTCGAGTCTGTCCTACGTTACGGTCTACCCCTCGAGTTTGTGCCTGCTCTTGTAGTGGTATATTCCCCTCCCTGAGATGCTGAGATGCGCTATATATGCTGACCAACCACTACAGACAAACTCTAAACTTGTCAAGAAGGTTAAAACAGCACTGGATACGTCATACTCGTACCTAGGAGGCAACGCTGTCGGCCGAGATAAGCGAGGGAAGATAACCAAGGACGATGCCGCTTTAACATCTGAAATGGCAGCCGCAGGTGTAGCAGGCCATGGTGAAGGGAACGAGTATACGGCCTATGTTTATTACGAATTTGAATTGTAGCGCACTTGCAGCAATTATCCCGCCGAGTAGGCTGGCCAGGCGCTTGTACCACCGGTGGATGACTCGCCATTATATATCACACAGTAAGGCAGTTAGCGGGAAGATGGTAGAGACCGGATGAAGTGATCCGTCTTAAGCTAAGAAAATCAAGTCTATTTCTACGTGAATATATTCAAGGTTCTACCCCTTCAAAACAGACCTCGCTCCCTCATTTTCGCTTCTTTTCTTGTTTCTTACTTGGTTGAGGGGATGAGCTCCTTGGCCTGTAGCCAAGCGACGATATCGGCGACGCACTCCTCGACGGACTTCTCGGCCGTGTGGATGGTAATCTCGGGGTTCTCGGGAGCCTCGTAGGGCGAGCTGATGCCGGTGAACTCCTTGATCTCACCCGTGCGCGCCTTCTTGTAGAGCCCCTTGGGGTCGCGCTGCTCGGCAACCTCGATGGGCACCTCAACGTAGACCTCGATGAAAGGGATTGGCTCGTCGGTTGACCCTGCCGTCTTGGCGGCGTGCAGGGTGCGAGCCAGGTCGCGGTCGGCTTTGAAGGGCGAGATGAAGGATGTCAGGGCGATTGTAGAGGAGTCGGCGAAGAGTTTCGCAACCTGTTGTTTCGAGAAAGAGAGAGGTGCATTAGTGAATCATTCTTTGCATTTCATGTTTTTCTTCTACCGCGAAAGATTCCGCCAACTGTCTCTTTTCTTTCTCCCACTCCCCTGATTGAAGGCGAGACAGGGAAGCTTGATTCGCAGACATGACATACCTCGCCAATTCGTCGAATGTTCTCGGTGCGGTCCTTATCGGAAAAGCCGAGGTCCTTGTTGAGGCCAAACCGCACGTTGTCGCCGTCGAGGCGGTAGGCGGCGAGCCCGAGGTGCAGCAGGTGCTGCTCGAGGGCTGTCGCCACCGTCGACTTGCCTGAAGCCGAGAGACCCGTGAACCAGAGTGTGAAGCCCTTCTGCTTACGCAGTTGGTTGCGCTCCGAGCGCGAGAGGGACGGGTGCCAAGTGATGTTACTGTGTAAATTACATAGTTGTTGTTAGCCAACATTTCTCCCTGTTAGAGTGGCTTCTGTTTTCCATCTGCCGCCATTTTCTATTTCGGCGTACGTGGTTGTGGGCGCATCAGATAAGTCACGGAGCAGACGGGGAGATTGCAGTTTGTCGCGCAACACACGCTTTAGCGACGGATGACGGTGCGGAGAAACAGTCATGATTTTCGGACGGTAAGATACAGATTCGGAATACAGTGAACAGCGCTAGCTGTGTTGCTTGCGACGTTCCTCTTCGATGCACTTGCAATCTGGCGGTGATGCTATGCGACAGCATCTCATCGGGAAATATTCGATAGCGGGGGAGGGGCACCAATGCAACACAGAATTGGAGCGAATAACGGCCCTTCGCAAGGCAGGTAAACGAACAGGGCGGGTGAAAATTAGAGAGCCAAGAAAGAGAAGAGAATGCTTACGTTGCCATAGTTATTTAATGAAAACGAGGTTAACGGTAGGTAACAAAGATACAGAAAGCTGATGGCCGTCTCTTGTAGGGAAATGCAGTATTTCTATATAGCTGTCGAGTTGGTAGTCTACCTATAACTTATAAGTAAGCATGCAGAGGAAACGGTTGAGTGAATGTGATCTGCCTTACTTTACTAGAATCGGTTGTCTCGTGCTAATACTGCTGCACCTGAGCCGGCAGAGGTGGGACCTAGAAACCCGCAATGCTCGCTCGTGATTCGGCTGCCGGTTTGACCCTGAATTCTGCAGCCCCGCTTATCCAGGAGGAATCGGTTCCTGCCTCAATGAGAACTCCGTCAGAGTCTGTGCTGTGTTCGCATATACCTACACTCTCGACAATGTACCTATATAAGGACGGGCAGAACGGGTTGCAGAGAAATGGGGATGATCGGGGGTTGTGGAAGAGGAAGCCCGCCCACTTAATTGGGATATCTGAATGAGGCATTACAGTGTCGTCACGAGGAGCCATTGTCCTATCATGTGTGACCTCCCAAGCAACCAAGGTACCACCGCGGATACCACTAGATATGCCGCCAGATATGCCATCAGATATGCCACCTACAATGTTGCAATAATTCATTGTCCTGATTGGTAGGTTTCAGTTTGGTGATAGACGTTCAGATAGCTTCCTATATTCGAACGGCAGCCTAGATAGTGTTGCAACCTGCTGATCCTATGGTAACATTTGTACACATCCATTGTTCAGAGACTTATGATCACTTTTTCAATATACATGACCTTGATAGAAGCCTCTCCCTGTCCCTTGGCGATTTTCAACCGATGGTGAAAATGCGTGTTTCAAACGCCACGCTGCATGTGATTCCCATAAAGTTTACAAATATCCACCATGGTGGGGAAAAGCAATTCTAGTAATGACACAAATTCGTCAAGGGCGCCTTTCTTCTTCTATGCATATTGGTCTTGTCTTAGATTTGTCTTGTCTATTCGTAATACTCCGGTCATTCGGTCTAATTGGACGGGTAGACATTGGCCATCAACTACAGAAGAATCAGTCTGATGTTCATCACAGTCAAAGTGATAATGGGGGCCAGGAAGCGTTACGAACCACAGCTTGTTTTGGTGAGATGAACAAGGCCGTGGCTTCGGCGAGAACCACAGGCGTCTCGCCCTCGCCAACAAGGGTCTCAATGCGCCCTTCAACCCACGCCTTGCGTCCCTCCACCTTGGTGGTTGTCGCACGGAGGACCACGTAGCTGTCCGCCTGGGCTGGAGCTCGGTAGTTGATATTGAGGTTGGCCGTCACACCTATCTTATGTGGGAGCGCGGCGAAGCAAGACCGCGCAAGCCCCTCGTCGAGCATGGTTGCCAGCAAACCGCCATGAATGATACCCGGGTGGCCGCAGAGCTCGTTGCCGAGATATGAGATAGCAGTGATCGATTTGCCGCCCGTCTCCTCAAAAACAAGTGGAGGCACCACAATGCGCCCCGGACCGGACAATAGTCCACCGGTCAAGTGATACGTCCGGTAGGGCTTGGGAATCTTCAGATGCGGCCGCGACTCAACAAAGCCCTCTTTTGCCCGCAGTTCTTTGGCCAAAGGATGGTTTTTTATGAACTCATCGACTTCACGCTCCTCGTCGGTCTGTGGCTTGTATAGCTCCAGCGACTCCTTGTCCGTTGTCGGATTCATAATGGCGTAGAGGATGGGGAAGGCAGGAGAAAGACCTATTGCGAAGCCAAAGGAGACACAGGCGATACCGAAGGCGACAGTTCTGAAAGCACGATAGAGGAAAGAAGGCCGACTAGCAGAGGTGTCTGGAGGTTGGAACTGATATTAGAATGGGTTCTAGGGTAAAGAAGAACTTTCATGAGGCGACAACAGCCTACCTGGAGCACCGAAAGAGCTAGCGAACCGGCGTGGGACTGCCCGAGGAGCCTCGGCGCGACCGACGAGATATATTGGCCTAGAAACGCGGGCCCGGCCTCGCAAGGATCGTAGGGCGAGAGACATGATGCGGCAGGATGGGAGATTGATTTACCCCGATCTATCGTTCGCTTCGCAGTCCCAACAAACCACGCGTATGTAAGCAAGCACTTGAAGATGGCCTGCACCAGAACAGCGCCGATGAACGGGTTGCGACACTGCCGTAGAAGGTAGATAGTCGCTCCACGGTGTTGGCCCAACGCTTTTCAGCGGTAGTTTCCTTGGTGTTTCTTGGACCAAACGTAAGCCGAGGCACGGCATCATAGTGGAGCTTCTAATCGCTTTGATTCCGTACCGGCTTATATAAGCATCGGTTACAACTTAGCAGTTGTCCGATTGGACACTGGTATGCGTTTTATGTAGAATGAGACAAGCTACCATTTAAGCATTTATCTAGCAAGGCCATGCTAGGTAAACAATCTGAACATGGATGATTCAGCTCGTTTTTCTAAAATCTCTCTGTCGACCAGCTCCCCCACCCAAACTTGTCTCTTCTAGTTCTAGGTGCTAATTTACCCGCGGTCTCCAGCCGCAATCGCTCAGAGACTTTGACAAGGTGCACTCTTATCACTAGGTATTATGGGAAGTTTCTCAAAGATCTCGCTCTATCTGCGACTGCCAACTGCTAGCAAATTTGTTGTTGCGTCATTATAAGGGGACTACTTCGTAGATCTGCAGGGACCAACGGGCTGAAGTGCAAGATCCATTGGCTCAGGAGACCCTTAGGTGACGTCAGTACTTAGATGCCAATTTGATACTTCATATTCTAGAACAGAGCCTAGGGCAGTACTACTAGGGGAAGCCACAACCAAGCAAAAAAACTGACTCGGAAGCGATAAGCGAAATGAAATCTGTGCTTGTACATACTTTTACTATCTCGTAGCAGTTCCCTCTGATTCGCAGTATTCGATCTAGGGTGGGAAACTCACGGGTTTGCCCCTCACTTTCTCTCAAGCTTGCCTGCCACGAAAACCCGCGCCGTACTGCGTACATTATGCAACGAATATAGGCAAGGGAGGCGGGTTGGGGATTTTGTGACACATATTGCGTCAGCTCAATGATCTTGTATAGCATGCCTAAGTAGATATATAAGCCTCCAACTATCTAGACGACAAGCTTGAGTGCTTACGATTGTTGATGTGTATCACCTCGAGCATCCTATAAGTGCATCAACAGCCTCTCCCTTCACAACTTATTGTAATCAAGAAGACCAGCTTAACCATCATGGCAAGTCTACAAGCCGAACATCTCATTGCATGTGTAAACTCCTGGGGTAACGACTAACTAAATACATTCCATATAGGCCACCGCCGACACCGTAGACCTGGGTCCTCCACACCCACCCAAAGAGGAATCTCTCAAAGCCTTCACAGAAGTAGAACCAGACCTGAAGAAAGAGCTTCTGCACCTAAAACATACCTATCTAAGTAAGCAGGTATCCAACCCAATGTTGCCCAGCAAGCGGCTGCTCTAACAACGCACAAAACTAGGACACGAACCTGAGTATTTCGCCGCTGTGCAGCATCTGGCCGACTCAGACCTCACGTCCTTCAACAGCGCGGACCTGGAACTCGTGCGCGTCGCCCAGTCCGCATACGGGATTCACTTGTTCGGCAAGATCCGGATCCCCGCGATGCCGGACAGCGGGCCGGCGTATCTGCACGTGCGAATTTTTGTGTCGGACGAACCTGCTAAGCTGCACTGTATCCACACTGAGGAACAGGAGGAACCGGATGGGACCAAACGGTACCGCGCCATCTTCACCAAGGCGGATGACCTTGAATGGTTTGATACGTAAGGGAAATGAGACAGCAGGAGAGAGGAAAGGGAGGAGGCCGTAGTATGGAGCACCTTTCGAATCGATTGTTTCACACAAGAATGGAACCTGTAGGTCCTTTAGATCTACAATTATGCGGGGAATTGGGAAGCTGACATGGTGCTGGATCGGGTATCTTGTTGATTTTTTTACGTATCCCTTATAAGACCTTCGAACCTTTGTGCTATATAAAAGTCCATCTACTATCTGTATGCTACATCCCGTCTGCATCCTGTGCAAGCATCTCAGCATAATCGTCGGCAGAGGCGAAGAGAGGCAGTGCTTTGAGAGCCTTCCTCTTCTTCGTACGTTCTGATTGCGGTTTCCCGTCTTTCTTTTCGTCCTTAGAGGCGGGGTCCTCAGCCTCATCATCTTCATCATCGTCGATATCGTCACCGCTAATCTCCACGTCAGAATCATCCAGATTGAATTCATCTTCATCATCTTCCTCCTCCATAGCTTGTCTGAATTCTTTTTCTGAGTCATCAAGACTCATCATATCATCGAAATCAGCTCCATCGTCCGAGTCTTCCTGAATCTCAGGACGCGAGTTGACTAGAGCATCCCAAATCTCGTCTTCCTTGGCCTCTTCGTCATCCTCTTCCTCGTCACCCGTAGCATCGTTCTTGGTCTTCCGTTTCTGCTGGCGTTCAGCTTGACCTGGCTTGCCCATTTGAGTGAAGTATTCGTGGAAGAAAGCATCCTCTACAGCTACCTCCCCACTCTTCTTGTTCCAGAACGATGCTGAGTTCACCGAGTCTATATCCTTCATCGATGACTTGCTTGACAGAAGAACCTGGCTTTGTCCACTGGCTGCGATCGGTTGCATAATAGAAGCACCTTTGGCCTGATCAGTAGCCTTGGCATTCTTGTAGACAAACTTGTCCAAAAATGCGATAAGAGTGTGGTTCGCTAGCTCCGGTTTCTTGCCAGCCTTTTCACCTTTGAGAAGGTTTTTTGCGTAGACATCGACCGATGGATGATAATGCTTGAAAAACGGCAGCAGCTCCCATAAACAGCTAAGGTGTGCATTGCTGTATTCAGGATTCCGTTTCCGTCCATCATAGACATTAACAGCATGTTTTTCATGAAGTCCATCGCTAGCGTCGTTGTTAGCGCCGTTTGGTGCCCCAGACGGTGCCGTCTCCTCGATGTCGTTTTCTTCTGGCACGCTGACCAGTGTATTGATATCGGGGAACGCCACAGACAGTTCGATAGCAAGATATAATATACCGCAAACGAAAGAAGGTTGGTGTAGATTCAGAATTTGCAACATTCGTTTGACGAAAGCTTTGACGCGACGAACGTCCACATCCGCTTTGAGACTCCGGTATAGAAGATTAAGATACAACGCTTGTTTTGAGGAGGTGATGAGACGTGGGTCTAAAAGTGACTCATATAGAGTCCGGTAGTACCGTTCTGTAGCAAGTTGTCTGTTTGCAGATAGCTGTTGTATTAACATGAGAGCTTGTATACTCGTATTAAAATTTGAGGAATGAGTAATGCGGAAGAGAGTATCAAGATGCGATTCAAGCCTAGAACATGTAAGTAAGACGGTTTATCATCTGTGGTCATACATCATAGTACTTACGTTGACTGGTCGGCTTGGGAGAATGGAACCGCTCGGTTTACTCCAGTAAGGATTGCTGAGACTAACTTTTCAGCTGCTTCTGTCTCACCCGCACCGGCCTTGGTCTTTTCCTCAGCGTCTTTCGGTAACTTGGGTTTCCTTTTATTTTTTCCCTTCTTCTCCGGTTTGGACCCCTCGAGTGCACCGTCAAGGTGTCCGAGCTCTCCGTTCTTAAGGAGTGACAGGAACATGCCAAAATAGACCCGGAGCAAGGAATCTGCAAGTTCTGGTTCTTTGGTGCTGAGTATAGTCTGATTGAGTGTATTAACTGCATAATACTTGGCGCGGTTGTTTTGTCCGGGACGAAAGATGACGTCTTGTTCAATTGAGCGTACGACTACTTGTTTCATGCGGGGATGAGTGGTCAGCAATTGAAGTAAGAGATATGATGATCTTGATGCAATCTTTCGGTCTCGGTCGCCAAGTTTATTTACTAGCAGACGAAGAAGATTGGACTCCTGTTCGGGCTTGTCTCGGAGCAAAGCAAAGACCTGGTCAATAGCCTTCGTTCTGGCATACTCGACTTCATCGTCGCACCATACTTCAAGGCTCTGAATCATCTTGAAATAGGCATCTTTCAGCCAATCCTCAAAATACCACAATATCAAGTGGGCTTTGGTCATCCTACCAGGCAATCCTTGCTCCGCAGACCATGTCGTGACATTGTATTTTTGCAAGGTTCCGATCAAACCGAGCTGGGACGTGAAGGTACGTAGTCGTCTGTCTGATGGCAGAATCATACCCGGGCCGAGAAGATCTACCAAAGCAGCAAGAGCGGCTAAGGCTGTCCCACGGCTACGCTTTGCCCCCAAGCTCATTAAATTGTCAAAAGCCTTAATATTATGTGCCGGAGATTCCTGTATGGCGAGTGTTAATGCAGACACTTTGTCAGACATAGTACCCGAGGACATAATGGTGGACATGAATTTTCGAGAAGACGAAGCCGCGAATGTGGTGTTATATGCAGCGGTATCCTCATCAAGGATAGTCTTTGCATAATTCTTCAAGCTTGTTATTGTTGCCATAAAAGGAGCCACGTCGTCTGAAATTGGGTCGGGCAGACTTTTCACTTCAACAGCATACCAATCCGGACGAGGCTCAAAGACCTTGATACACGTTAGTGCTCCTACGAGATAAGTGGTAGGTGTCAGAGAGGCTTACTAACCGTTTTCCCTTTGGGAGTTTGCGTTGTTAGACTTTCCTCGTCTTCGTCGTCGTCGTCTACTTGTGCCTCGTCGTCCTCCTTCTCGTTATTTGTGAATGCAATTTCACCGTCATAATCGCCCTCAGCATCAGATTGTTCGCTGCCAGCATCTTGTTGCACCTGATCAAAGCCAAGACCAGCTGCGAAGGTTGCCAGCTCGTCACGTAACTTCTTATCCGCGGATTTACTTGATGTCTGGTTGTTAACCGCCTCTTCATCAGAATCAATATCCCCAACTAGTGCAAAATCATCTTCGTCACCTCCTAGGGCCTTTATTTCATCGAGAAGGAAGTTCGGGTCGTCTCGTTGGGGGCCATTGTGTTTCCTGTCTTGGGGCTTGGAGGGACGATCTCTCGACTGGAAATTCGGTTTTACAGGATTTGAGAGTGATTTCCCGTTCGGCTTAGCCTTATTCGACTGATCGGGTCTGCCTTTGTGGTTTCTTTTCTTCGCAGGGGGCGACGCAACGTCTGCGGACTGATCCAGTTTCCTCTTGCCCTTAGAGCTCTTATGGTCAGGCCTCTTAGCTTCAGCAAGCTTACTATCAAGCCTAGCTGTCAATTTAGACAAAGCAGCTTCATCAAAGGTCGCCATTTTCGAGGAGAAGGTGGCTCTTCGAATTTGTGTTGATGTAGGTGAGACCACCAGAGACTTGGTATTCAAGAGACCAAATGTAGACGGAACATTTGTTCCAAGAAAAAATATCCAGGGACCCAAGGAAAAAAAGTTGAGCGGGGCAAGGCTGCAGAACTGTGGGTTTCAATTGCCAATCAGATGAGCTACCGGCATTGCGACACTGCTAGTAGACCCACCCTCCCTGCAAGGCTACTTAGACCGAAGCCCTATTCAGCGAACCCAGGTCTCTGCTATTCTTCCTCACTCTGGGAGGGTTCAATGTGACTAGTGTACGCAGTTTAGGTATGAAAATTGGTCTTCTTTACGATCTTTACGATCTTTACGATGATCTAATTGGGATTCAATTATTAAACGAGCGACCATTCTGTTGTTCTCTCGCTAGATTTCATACCCGCACATACATAGTAGATTGCACGAAATCCACTTCAAGACGCATCCACGACGGTCGATAGATAATGAGATAGTCAGGATGATATTCCCGCTACGAAGCGCGCCAAACCTCTACATTTCTTTGCAGAGACAGACTAGGATATTGCAGCGCCATCATCTGAGCACTGTATCATCAACAGACACCGGTGCAGTATGTCAAATACACTCATCAATTGACTTGTCCATCCTGACTATTTTTGTAGCCGGCGTCACATTTACCAAGCCGCTTTTCCCGCCTGTCCAGCTTCTGGCTTGCGACTGGTGGTATCACCCAAACTGAGGGCGAAGGTAGACCGCCTCAATTTGAAACAGCAAGGGCCTGAGCATGCTAACATTCAAGCCTTAGATGGCCATGCCAAGCTTATTCGGGCAGGTTATCTGCGACAGGTTGGTTGAATCTTGTTAATTATACCTATACAAAAATGCTGAGTTCCAACGGAGTCGCATGCAGGAATCTTCCATACTCTACCCCTAGGCGAAAGGGTGCAGAAGAAGCTGGAGAGTCTAATTGACAAGTACATGTCTCAATTAGGTATGTCCTCTCAAACCTGATAAGTCCATACATATCAATCGCTTACGCCTGAATTCGTCTAGGAGCCTCCAAGGTATCGCTTTCATCTATCTCATCACAAGCACTATGGCAGCAGACCAATCGATTAGAAGGCTATGGTCAGGAAGTATGTGCAAATAGACAAAGACAGAGAAGAGTGCACCGAAATGACTAACTATGGATGTAGTTGTTTCGCTTCACAGACCGAAAGGAAGTGCCATATATTCTAGCACCAACTCACGAAGAAGAGATCACAAAATTAGTGGCGAAGACGATTAAGTCGTACAAGACTTTACCCCTCAGGCTCTATCAGATTGGTAAGCCATAATGCCTTTATTGTATGACACCTAAACTTACCCGTCAGGCCGCAAGTACCGTGATGAAATTCGCCCACGCCACGGCGTGCTACGGTCAAGGGAGTTTGTTATGAAGGATCTATACACCTTTGATCACTCACTTCAGTCAGCCTTGAAGACCTATGAAGAAGCGTGTGCTGCCTATAGCCAACTGTTCGATGAGTTGAAACTGCCATATCTTGTGGCGGAAGCTAGTTCCGGCGATATCGGCGGCGATCTCAGCCATGAATACCATTTACCTTCGCAGATAGGAGAGGACAATGTAATAAGCTGTACGGACTGCGAGTACGTTGCAAATGAGGAGCTAGCTACTGCGCGACCTACTCTTCCTGAGGACCAGTCTGCAATTGAGGGCATTGATACCCCGAGCAGCGCCTCAGCCAAAGTGTGGCGAAGTATCTCGAAAGACAGACAAACTCTTGTTAATGTCTGGTACCCAGCCTCATTCACAAACGCCGATATCAATACCCATGCTCTTAAGTCACTGCTTCCAAGTTTAGACTCAAGTCTTGAAGATGCTTTGCCACTCTGGGAGTCGGCCCTCTTCCCTTCGAATCCTTCGTCAAGTGGCCAGCGGCCACTTTTACTGAACATTATAGACTACAGACTAAGGGAAACTTTTGCAAACACACTGAAGGCGGATGGTGATAAATTTTCTCTACTGCCCCATCAAACGTGTATTGACGTCTCGGAGCTCGACGTTCAATTTGTAACATCATCAGCAAGCGGCGAACCCCTTAATACGATTCGAATCCGTGACGGCGACCACTGCCCCCGGTGTTCGTCAGGAAAACTCATGATTCAGAAAGCCATAGAGCTTGGCCATACCTTTCATCTCGGTACCAAGTATTCAGATGCGCTTGATGCTCGTGTCCAAGTACCCTCTGCCATGATGGAAGATACCCAGACCAGTTCTGCTAAATCGGACAGCATGACTAGTGTACCAATGCAGATGGGTTGTCACGGAATAGGCGTCTCTAGGATTATCGGCGCGGTTGCAGACCACCTTGCCGATGAACGAGGACTGAACTGGCCCCGTGCCATCGCACCGTTCGAGGTAGTCGTTATCCCAGGGAGGAACATGGAGGAAGATGCCATTACTGTTGCGCGTTCTCTAATTGATTCTTCTGACACGTCTCCTACGATTGATCTAGCTCTCGATGATCGCGCCGAATCCTTCCCTTGGAAATTGAAAGACGCAGATCTGATTGGATACCCCGTCATGATTATCCTTGGACGTAAGTGGACATCGGACCGCCTATGTGAAGTCCAATGTCGACAGCTTGATTCTACCGAGTTCGTTCCTCTTAATGAGCTGCAGCAACATGTCAATGGGCTTCTTGCTCAGCTTTAGAGCAGACATCAGGGTTTTTGGGGGATTAGCTTTAGCTACACAATATTCTTGTACTACTTACTGTCTCTGTATAGCCTGTATACACAAAATGATCAGCATGTGCATCCGGAGTTAAGTATCTAGGTCTTTTTTGTATTGGAGGCGTCACCGGCGTGTCCCTATTACCACTACCGATACATCATCGTCCTAAGAGCCAATGCCGCATGAAGTCCACATATTGTAATTGATCTGTCTACACATGCCGTCTGCGTGCCCATTTAGTCAGATACTCCCGCCCCTCGATCCTATACGTATCCTCTTCTACATACGTCCCGCCCTGCTCCTCCGTCTGCAGCACCAAATTAAACCCCTTCTCACTCTCATTATACCGTGGCCATCGCGGTAAGCCTTGCGCATTCGGGTTCCCCGTATGCGCGAACCGAATCCACTGCTCGCTCATCATCCTACTGAGCGCGCGGTATCCCGGCCACGGCCCTACTGACCCCGGGTTCGCAAAGACGAACCCGACCTCGCTGAAGTGCGCGACGCCCTTGTATGCAGGCGCCAGCATGACTGTCATATTGCCAGTCCCGCTGCTCCCGCCTGCATTAGTACCGTTGTAATCCGTGTTGATGAATCCGGCCAGCGGCCGCGTATTAAAACGGTATATATACGTCGGGGCGTGCTTAGAGTAATGTCTCGCGTCGTCGAGACGCGGTGCATGGTAGAACACGTCTCCTACAATCGCTGCCACGCGCTTATACTGGTATCCCTTGTCCGCGAAGCGCTCAGAGCCCGTGTTCAGCGGGATCCCCTTTGTTGGGTCATCTGGATATAGCTGCATTATGCGTCGGATCGTCGAGGAGGGAAACCCGAAGCCTGTGTCCTGCTGCAGATAGGTGGATAAGTCTGCATCTGTGTCTATTACCCCAACTGGCGCATTGTCCGTGCCCTCGTCTGAGTTTGTCCCATATAAATGAGGCACATGGGCGAATCGTCCCTGGCGGAGAAGTTCGGTCGGATAGGCTGGGATTACATCTCCGTCTATTGATAGGGGTTAAAATCAAAGTGTTCATGTTTACTTGTCTTGCACTTCACACGTGTATTCCGTGTTTCTTTACCCTCCTCGAGACAACAAACAAGGACAAATAAAAGGCGAGGCCAAGAGAAAAGGCTACACTATTTAGCCGACTTACCGACAGTAGGATACCAGCCGGGGCCAGCAATGGCCGATGCGTTCAGGAAGGGGAAGATCACATCGTAATCAACGGTCCTGAGACACTTCAATGTATCGATTGCTTGCGTGCAGTTGGTCTGATCAACGATCTTGTCGTAGATGGGCTGATACCAATCAGACCCATTACACCAGGCTGTCGCCGCGCTGCCACTCTCTTGTATAGAACGGTGGAACAGTCCATCCGTACGCCCACCATAAGTGATCAGGAGCTGACCCTAGATTAGGTCCGTCTAAGTCAGTATATATAGAGCACATTTTGTAGATAGCTCGGTATGTCATAACAAAGATCATTGTCTTTGCTTTCTCGCTGTGGCCTTTTCCCTTGTGGATAATACGCACCACTGCAAATGAGCCTGCCGATTCGCCCCAGATCGTGACAGAAGAGGCATCTCCGCCGAAGGCGCCGATATTCTCCTGTATCCAGGCGAGAGCTTTCCGCATATCCCGGAGTGCGAGATTCGTGTTTCCAGATCCCTATGAAGCACAAATTAGCCACCTGATGGTGAGATACTCCCCGTACACCAAACCCCCGATATCCTGAAATTGCTCTTCCCAGCACGTCCAAGAAGGTGGGCAGACACTCCGAGCTTATAAAACCTGTCATACCTGGATCTCTCTCGAATACATATTCCCCCAAGCCCCCTTTCGATAATTAATACTCGCCGCCACAATGGGGAGCCCAACATCCACAGAGCGCTGCACGAGGTAGGTCAGGTTGTAATTCGGCAGTCCACTCGTGCCAACTTGATACCCCCCGCCATGAATCCACAGCAAAACCGGTAGTTTCGGCTTCGAACTTTGCGCTTCGTCAGTCTCTTCTCTCTCATCACTACCGCGGCTTCCATACGACCCCGCAGGTCGCACGATATTGATGCTTAGGCAATCCTCGCTCATCCCGTAATGTCCGTCGGCCGCGATCTCATGATCCGGACACGCGGGGCCGTAGACCTTGGCCTTGCGCACGCCCGTCCAGGTCTCTTCCAACGACTGCGGCACGCGGAATCGGTTCGCGCCCGCCGTGTCCTGTGCGTACGGCACCCCGAGAAAGACATCCTGCTGGAAGGACGGCAGATACAAGCCCTCGTAGCTCCCGTTCAGAACGCGGACAACTGGGCTTGCTGCCGTCAGGCCCACTACCAGCAGGGACTTGACAAGTGATCGTCCTACCATGACTGTTTTCTTCAACTAGGTATGGCGCCGACTCTAGGCGAACAGATGCATACGAAGTACCCTAATCACAAGAAAAAGTCAAAGTAAATAAGAACCAGCACATCCTCTAGCAACATCATAGGAAGAGAAGTGCGGGGAACACATTTTAACATGGTCTCTGATCCGTCGTACAGTAGCCATCACATGGAACGCGCGATATGTCATCCCCGAGGTGTATTGCACTTTCAGGTAGTGCTGGCGGCGGATCCCATGCATGCGTGCAGGCATATATATTTGTTTGTCAGCTTTACGCTCTAGTACGATACCTGGATCGGTCTCCGGTCCAGATTGGGGGCGGTGCGGGGATGGTTGGATTGATGGATGCTGGCGATCCCATCACGAACCATATTCTAATAGGGGACCATTGCAAGGGGCAGAGCATCAAGAACTGAGCAGGTATCTGTAGATGATGTTTATAGCGCGATCACGGACAGGGCGTGGTATATGCCCGTTGAAGATCGTTGGTCAGTATTTCGCTTGCTACCATCATGTCTCAATAACGCGCGTTTTTAGCTAGGTAGCGTTCGAGCGGTCGAAGCTCAAGACCAGAGCACCAAGTACTGACTTCGTAGCACATCGGCAATCTATGCAGTTTCGGATTATAACGTCTCATTAGTGCCACTAGAACATGGCAGAACTGCGTGGCTTAACAGGCACGCTCAATAGCATTCTCCAGCATAGTTTGTACAAGGTGCCATAAAAGTGATAAACATTTGGCCAAATCCCAGCGTTCCCCAACACCACTAATGCATATGTGATCGTGAACAACCCAAGTCCATCCTATATCTACAGTTGCCCCGAAATACTGAAATTCACTTAAACCGCCTTATCCTTAGCATTGCCCGTGAACCTTTCTTTCATAGAAATCTTCTTGCCGCCCATGGATTTAAACTTGTCGATCAGCGTCTTCCGCAGATCAAGCTCAGCAATGTCATCACTGCCACCAACACTCTTGCCATTAATAATGATATTGGGGACTGTCTTCCTACCCGTCTTCTCAGCGAGAAGGGCTTGTAGCTCGGTTCCGAGCGGGTGCTCGTCAAGCTCAACAACGTAGGGTGTGGGCTCAATAATGTACTTTTCAAGCAGAACGCCCTTTGCTTTCTTTGAATAAGGGCAATATGTTTTGGAGAAAATTACAACTAGGTGATAGTTAGTTAGACAAGGAGAGGGTCTGCTCTATTGAGGCTATACATACCTGGGGATCTTTTGAGAATCTGGTTCAAGGTAACTTCCGCCTCGGAATTCTCATCATCGTCTCTCTCATCTTCGGTGTCTTGCTTTGAGATCCTAGACTTCCCCTTCTTCTGACCACCCGCAGAACTACCAACGCCTACAACTTCGCTTGGGGCATCTGGTTTGAGGGGGGACTTTGCGTTTGCTAGGTCCTTAGCTTGTTGTTCAGCAGCCCGCAGTCGTTCAGCCATCTGCTGAGCTAATTGTTCATCGTCTTCGTCAACACTACCGTCTCCATCGTGGTCTTTGAGGCTATCATCTTTCGTCAACCCCTTCCCACCGATTACAATCTGTCCATCGTTTTTGTGCCGTTGGTCCAGCCCATTCACAGTCTTGCCAAAGAAGCTGTTCAATGTCCGAGGATCGCGAGACGTGGTATGTCGCGCCTTAGATGTGTAGAATAATATGGTGACAACGACAGCGAGAACTGTCACCATCAAGAATCGCACCCGTCTTGGAGAAGGCATCTTGTCTGGATAGGTGGGTCAACAGCCTCTTTCGCAGCGCTGTCTCCCTGGTTTTGTTGGAGAAGGGATGCTGGTAATTTGATCTTCAGGCTCGGTCAAAGTCGAATCACCAAAGGCGAGATACGAGCATGTCTTGGGAGGTGGAGGATGAATGTCGTGGGACTGTGGCTGCAGTGTCTGGGATGGTAACGCGCAATGAATCGCCAGGAGCTCAGGAGCTTCGAGAGTGCCGTGGGATGCAGGCGCCGAACGATGTCCGCGGTAGAGCACGCCCAAACTCCTATTAGGACGCGCAAATAGCAGACTGCCCTAGACACAACCACAATAGTGGGAGGCGCGATTCTATGCCACGTACAATACTGTACAGCACTCGATGTTGGTAGGTAAGGTACGACGTTGAAAGTGGGTGATTGAAACTGGCCCGGATTAGATGTAGCAAGCTGGCCAGCCAACACGGCTAAAATGAACAGCACATTGATATTCGAATTGAGATAGGCGTAAAACCACAGCAACAGGATTACAAGAATAGCAATCTTGTATGAATGTGTATGTAGGTAATGACAAACAGACCCAAGTGAGTGCTTTACATGTGCATCAAAGAAGCGCAAGAGGCATCAGACGATGACCTTTCTTGACAGAGGAATGACGATGGGGGGGATTTGGGAGTTTGATAAATGAACAGCTACCTAGTCTAGGTACCTACTTACTTACCTACCTTGGTATGTACCTAGGTAGTTGGTACCTAGTAGGATCTGGCTCCCTTCCAAGTATCTCTGCAGGGGACATGCACTAAATAGCAAGCTGGAACTTGCCTGGAACGGCTGCTGTCTTGAGTAGATACCTACCTAGGTACCCACCTAAGGTAAATAAATCCCTGGGTAGACTCAGCGTAAACACTGTCACATTTCCATGTCCATGATTATCGGAGCCTTTAAATGCAAGCAACGAGCAGAGTTGAAGATATACCTACTAGGTCATCTAACAATAACAATTGTAGATTAGCTCTTGCTTTCATCTTTTAGCATTTCATCCACAAGTAGTTGTGCTAATATTTATAGGTACAAGGTATCTCAAAATCCCAGTAACCAGTGACCGGGACCGCGTCGTATCCTCTTTGGAAACATTTACATAACTTGGAAGTATAGACAATATCAAAGAATCGGCGTATGAGATCTCAGGATCAATGAATAAGTATTTACTAGTAACAACCAATGTCTATCTAGCGGGTGCCAGCATCCATCTATCCTAGGTTTTCTTTTCTACGCTATCCTATCAATGCATTGAAGACTGTTACACACCCACCTACCACCATCTTAGTATAAATACATAGCTGGTTATATCGTATTGACCCCCTTTTTGCTTCGCGCTTCGGGCTTTCCAGCTTTGTCTTTATTTACCCCAACTTCTATAAGTTTTCCGAGCGTCTCTTCTACTTTCTCGGAAAACTCAGGTCCAGTTGCCCCTCCGAGGAGTTCCCTGAACCGGCCAGTTAATGTCATCTTGAGCCCATCCGGTCCCTTGAGAGCCCCGGACTCCCACTGCCTGAGTTCAACCCTGCCAGCATCAATCATGCAGCTAGCCAGTGATAATTCGCTTCTAAGGCACGCCCATACGAACCACGTTCCATGCCGTAGGACACACTCCTCTATGGTGGTCTTGACTTCCATGCTAGGAGTGCTGAACTGATAGCACGCCATCATCCCATATCCGATCAAATTGACCAACATATAGAGCCCTGCAACATCTTCCAGCAGCAGCGACCGAATGTACTCGATCTGTTTTGGTCGAGCTTTTGGGTTGGCCAAGGGATTGAGCGATTCATCAGAAGAGTACAGCGTAGAAGATGACAGTTCATCCACTTCTTCAAGAAGGGCATGATAGCATTGGGGCGGCAAGGGTGACTCATTTGCTGCAATGTCTGCAATGCGGTCGCATTGATGTAGAGCTCGCTTCAGTACGGGTTCTAGGCGACTTCGTGCCGAAGGTGGTAAAGGCGGGAACCACGGCGGCGAAACGAGGCAAAAGATGCTCGGGCACTCGCCAACAAGAAGATCGGACCTCAATTCGCGCAGTTCTAGCTCACGAGTCATCGCGAACGTATCCTTTGATATTACGTCGCGTTGGTCGGTCCTCGAAGAGAGGGCCTTTCCCAAAGGGGGTAGTGTGAACGCGGCAGCACGGCCCTTTGAAATGGAATGCTCGTGAGCTTCTATGAGCATATATGATTTCTACTCCCAAGTCAGAATCGGGTGAATCGAGGCTAGTACGATGTGGAAAGACATAGGGGAGAAATGCATAAAGTGTTATCATTTGCGGCAATACCTTGCTAGCCTTCATGAAACGCAAGCATGTCCAGGAATCCATATACTCGACAATCTGCAACACTATTTCGTTCGGTACGTTCTCGATGACTTGGCCTTGGAAGCCCATCATGGCCGCGCTCCTATCTTGTATCCAAAAGGATGGGCTAACTACCATGTTCGTGGATTGCTGGTCTTGCTATCATAAGGAGATCTATTAGCTAACATCGGAAGATTATGCATCCCTTTCAAACTTTGGCGTGTGCTAACCTCAAGCTTTCCCAATCAATTCTGCGAAAAATGTCTTCGGTGGCATACGATATGAAAAGTTGAAATTCGCCACTAGCAAGAAGCCGACTGGTCTCCGATGAACAGCCCGTAGAAGATATATTCAGATCTGGAAAAGCCCGTTGGAAGCTGCTGTATAACAATGGTTGGTGAGGCAATGTCAGAGATAACTAAACAGTGATTTATCCTAAAAGCACAGATGGAGGAATCGACAGCGAATCTATTACCACGCGCTTAGGGATCGAAATAACCTACGCAAGACAGCTGTGCGAGATGAGAAGCGCAGGGCTCAATAGTCGAGTAGTGTATATCTAAAAGCCACTCGCACGTGGGAACCTTGATGGCAGCCAGTAGAGTAAATCATTTGTTCTTTCACGTGTAAAGCGGCCCTTTGACTACTTCGGCCAGCCGGGTGCTTTCTTCGATTCCACGGCTTTGGTTTCATTTTTTGCTGCCATTTTCTGTGTACAAAAGCTTTGCGACGTGGTAGTCGCAACGGAAGGTTCCATCTTCGGGAAGTTGATATTGGGGTGGGTTGCGACCATAGAAGAGCGTGACTAATCAAGAGAGCAACTGAAGGTTCTTCAGATCGCAGATGATACTGCCGGTTGTTCCCAGACAAGGCAATTGAATTGTTTGACGTTGCAATGGATAGCAAGGCAGGAATAACCTTCTCCGTAACAGAACTTTCAATAAACGACCCGACTACTAAGTAGTGCCAAGAGATCCCACCTCGTTGCCTGTGTAGTCGCTACCTTCCAAACCTTAGGTAAGCCTGTAGATACCTAGGTAGCTTTAGTAAATATATAAATGCATACCTAAAGAATTCGATGTAGCTTCATATTTGTCCTAATCGCAATGTCACGCGACTAGTACAACACTCGGTGATCAACACGTGGTGCCTGAGTAGATTCTCTTTGGAGACAGGAGCGCCTCCTTCGAGCATTCCAGCCATCACTGGCTTGGTTCTTGTATCATTCATATCATGATGTGAAAGCAGGGTGCTCAACCGAACCAGAATGAATAAGAAGTCATCTTCTTGAGTGTCGTCATTCTCTTTTGCACTAACTTTGGAAGATTCTTCAGTTCTTTTAACAACTTATACATATGGCAGTCGAGGTAGATGTCATGAACAGAGGTTATCCATCTTTGCAGGGTTGAATTCAAGCGATGTGCCATTAAAAACCACACCATACTGATTACTTGTAATGATAAGGGGGGACACTTCAAGAGCCTCTAAATGGTTCTGAATGTCCGGGCTGCGGGTATGGAATATGTTGCAGCGGTAGGCCATTGGAAAATGATACCATAAGCTTGCTGAGCACAGGCACGGTATCGGAAGGGAATGCTACCAGAGTCAACGCTAGTTGCTATTAGCTCGCCATCGAGATTGATTATAAGCCGACCGTGAATGGTGTTATGCATGAAGGCCGGAAGGAATGCTTCATTTCCACGGTTCCGTTTTACGTCCGGAGATATCTGCTCTACCTGGAGGACACGACACGAGGTCAATCAACCCGAGAAACGGTGATACCCTCCTTCCATCTTCATTGGCTAGCTCGATTAAAACGATACCCCAACCCGGACCCCCAAAAATACATTTCTAAGAAAGGATCGACCACCATTTGTTTTCTTGTTACACTGCTAGATGCCGCAGTCAACCGGAACGGGCCGCATTTGCTAGAGCCACGTGCAGCAGTGGACGCCTGAGAATGCACGTTTCGGCCCTCATGATTGGTAACCGAAAGCCCGTCAACGCCGCAGCGTTTCTTTTCAGGGCTTTTCGTCCCGGTGGGATGAAAATGGCTTGTACCCTAAAAACGCGGGGAAACACCAATTATTAGGTACTCTCTCAGATACCTGCTTCTAACCTAGATCTTGACGCTATACCAACGTTTGAGAAAAATCGATCAAAACAGTTTGAGCCATAAGCCAGTCACCTAAAGTCCAACTGCTACCATGCCTGTCAATCACCTTGTGCTATTCCAATTCAAAGCCGATGCTACTGCCGATCAGGTTGAGAAGGTGAGTCTTCGAGCTCGTCCAGCCCCAACCCAGAAAGCGCCTACGAAGAAGCTAACAAACTCTGAAGGCAGTCGCAAATATGCTAGCCCTCAAGGATAACTGTCTTCACCCTACCACACAGAAGCCGTACATCAACTCCCTGACGGGCGGAAAGGACAATTCGCCCGAAGGACGACAGGTAAGCATCGGCCCCATCCCGGACCACAGTCACGTCACGCGCCTAACCATGTCAGAATGGAATTCAATATGCCTTCGTAGTGGAATTCGCGAGTACCGAGGATAGAGATCACTACGTCCATAATGACCAAGCTCACAAGGACTTTGTTGGGGCAGCTTTACCCATCATCGAGAATGCGATTGTGATCGATTACAGCTTCTGAGCCTAAGCCTGAGCCTGGATGAGACATTAGCGCTTAGGCATTCCACATGTTTCATAGAAAAATTCGAAAAAAATAAAAATAAAAGTAAAAAATAAACATATTCATCCCTATGAAAATTATTGCAAGTACATGTGAGGCTTTGAGGAAACCATCTACTCTAGTATGCGTGTAGCTAACTGGTCCAATCGTGAGCACGGAAGCCAAGGATCCGCAGCCAACAGTGCTATAGGGGATCTAGGCAGAACCAGCTTCTCGTAATTTCTGCCCGCATCATTTCCTCCGTTCTTTCAACCTATCCAACATCTTGCATGTGGTCAAGAATGAATTCAATGCTGCAAACAGACTTCAAGCTTTCTGATGTCGAGATATCTGACGCACAGGATATTGGACATCATGTCGAAGTACCCGCTATGCAAAATGGTCCATTATACCGGACCATGTTTCCTCAGTTCAACACACTCATAGAAGCACAAAGGGAACAAATAACTCGCTGGTATATCGAGATGTTAGAAAATGCTTTCCAAGCCCGGGAGGAAAGATTTTTAAAGGTATGTTCCGTTAATGGAACTCCAGTCGGGTTTTGCGGTTGGACTGTTATAGAGCAGAGCTATGACCGGCAACAAACGGGTGAACCGAGAAAGAAAGAGAGAGAAAAGGCTCGGAAGGCATCCTGGCTACCGGATACACTTGATATAGATGGCTGGGTTGCTCTATCAAACGATTTAAAAGCAGAACGCTATCGGGTTTTAAAGGATCTTGATAATATATGCCGTAAGTTAAATTATGTTATCCTAGTATACCTGCTTACTAATAGTTTCTACATCTAGGACTAACATTTATGGCGGTACATCCAAAGTATCAACGACAAGGGATAGGTTCAATGATGATGCAGCGCATTTGTAAAGAAACGGATCAGCAAGGACGATGTGGATATGTACTCGCGGCGCCGGAGGGGGTCCCACTCTATTCAAAGTTTGGTTTCGAGATTGTAGGTCATGTTGAGACGACTCATGGTACAATCACAAGCATGTTTCGGCCATCTCAGGGTCCTTGTTAATCTCGGGTTGGCCAAAGTCATCGCGTAGTACTTGTTACGATCAACTCCAACATAGTTGTCTGAAGCCTCTAGAGGAGGTTTCACTGGCCTACTCGAGCCCTGCGAAGTGAGAGTTCAAAGTCAGTCATTGTAACAATAGACGCCGAAATACGTTATGCAGTGTTAATACAGGTCGCTTATCCCGTTGTAGTCCGTTTCATAGTGATCGCCTGCATAGTCCACATCTGTTCTCCTATCTCGCTCGACACTGCTATCATTCTCGTAAACTCTTGGTACCTAGGTGTCCTGTGGCTGTGCGCTGCGCCACAGAATCTTCTGACGACATTTCCCCAGATTGTCTAATGCTGCGGTTGCACGCGCGGCTCAGTAACCCACCCAGAGCCCACCCCACTAACGCCGTCCAGGCATCAGGTTAGACGTTAGACCAAGAAACCATCCATGTACATTTCAACAACAAGCCTCCAAACTCTCCCAATTCAAATCACAGACATAGACACTCTACTGCATTCTCTACCCATTATTTGCTGTGCACCAACGAGCCCTCTCAACTTCGGCCTGCACGAACCAAACTCGATCGTCAGCCGCTGTCTCAGCTTTCTATCGCAGGGATTACTCAAGCCTCCTAACACCTTTCCTCGAGTTCCCATTCGATCGGCAACCTGAAAGAGCGTGGTCCCAGTGAATAATCAGGGCAGGCGTGTTGAGATGCCTCCTCCACCACCGCCCCCGCCCCCGCCCCCTCCGGGTATGGGAATGGGCATGGGAGGACCGCCGCCGCCGCCTCCTCCACCTCCTGGGGGACTGGGCGCACGACCTCCTCCAGGCGCCGGCCGCGTGAGCAATGCTACGATTCTATGTCCCTTGTTCTGTGCTAATGGTCTAGTAGGGCGCCCTGCTTGGTGATATTCAAAAAGGAAGAGCACTAAAGAAAGCCGTCACAAATGATCGATCAGCTCCCTCAGTTCCAGGCGGATCGAGCGGAGGAGGTGGTGGAGGGCTGCCAATTGGAGGCGCACCACCCGTGCCAGTATTTCCAGGAGCGGGAGGTTTGAAGCCTCCTGCTCCGCAGAATCGGACGAGAAGTGATAGTGATACCGGGGGCCCTGGAAGTTCTGGAGGAGCTGGAGGAGCTGGAGGGATGATCAGCTCAGCGCCTCAACTTGGCGGTTTATTCGTCGGCGGTATGCCTAAGTTGAAGAAGCGAGGCGGTGGTGTTGATACAGGAGGTGAGTAACTACCCTTTACAAGAAATTTTACTTGTCAATGATTTTCTAACCTGCGTATGTAGCAAACCAAGACGCCTCGTTCTTGTCGGATTCCGAACAGCCATCAGCGCCCAAAGTCCCTTCGGCACCACGCCCACCTGTTGGAGCTACGCCGGCATTACCGGCACGGGCAGCTCCAGAAGTCGATGCAGCGCCCTCATTAGCCCCCGTATTAGCACAGCTGCGAAAGACATCTGGCAGCACGCCGCGACCTATATCAGCCATATCAACAGCATCATCAAAAGGCCCACCGCCCCCTATTGGGAAGAAACCACCGCCACGACCTGCAACAAAGAAGCCTTCGACTATCGCAGCAGTAATGCCGCCTCAACCTCCCCCTCTGCCCGGCACACCGGCTCCTCCGCCACCTCCATCATCAGCCCCAGCACCACCTGCATCCCGACCGTCCCCGCTGTCATCAGCACCAGCTCCTCCTCCCCCGCCTCCTCCTCCCTCTTCAGCGCCAGCTCCTCCACCGCCGCCGCCTCCACCCCCAGCAGCAGCTTCGCGGCCACCGATTGCAACTACACGCTCACAACCGCCTCCGCCTCCACCTGTTGCAGCACCAAACAATGCATCAGTACAAAATATTGCTCTACAAGCAGCAATGCGTGCAACAAGCGAGAGGTCCAGTCCGACAGCAGCACCACCACCGCCTCCACCACCACCTCCAACTTCAGCACCGGCGCCTCCCTTATCGGCTCCACCCCCGCCTACCGCACCCCTGGAGGTGCCTTCGGCCACTCTCCGCCCACGTGCAAGCTCCAACCTCCGTTCCTCGATGCTGGATCCAAGTGCCTACACCCTGGCCCCAATCAACGGCTCAGGAACGAAGAGTCCAAGTCCTACAGGGAGCGCTCTCGCTAGCCCTCGCGAAACCGGGGGTGGAGAACGGTATATCGTCCATGACAACCGATGGAAATTTATCAATGAAAGTATGCTACCGAAGCCTCGTCCATTCCAGGGTGGTGGGCCCAAGAGATATCGGGCTGGTCGTGGTAGCAGCGTTCCCTTAGACTTGAGCGCGCTTTAGGGAAAAGTACGTTCGTATTCATTGAGGTCAAAGCTGCTTCGGCACAAGAGCGGTGCGAGCCAATCTCGCCAGAACGCTATCGCTCTGAATTGAGAAGTATTGTGGCAGGCTAAGAATAGAGTTAACAGGGATTCAAGTCTTTTAAGAGCAGATGGAGAAAGTTTCTTGCTACGAGCATCCCCAGCATCTGGTTAGGAGGATTAAAACAAAGCATTGCTATAAGTAGACTTGATAGTAGTTCTTCAGATTAGAGCGTTGAAGAGGCCCCATGCCTCTCTGCAGAAATTGAAAAGTTGAAGAATGATGAACCATGACGAACAAGATCACCTCATTTGTCTTCACGTTGACTTTGATGGACGTAATTAAACAGCCGTCTGAATCGAGAAGCTTTATACTTCTGCAGCCCGCAAAACAGAACAGCATATGACTTGACCGTTCATTCACCTTCTACAGTATTAGATATCACGAGAAGCACATATATATATGTGGTCAACCGCGCCAAATTTTTATTTTCTAGGAAATCCAGTGCTACAAACCAGGTAAGTGAGCCCCTAAGGAGCACAATCAAGCCCTATTTCGATCTAGGCGCATCCTGCTCAGCCAGGTATCGATCAACTCACTCATGAGCACTCCTATGCGAGAGGTCGTCCCTTCTAATCACCGCATAGACAGACGAACGAAAAAAAAAACGCACAAGCTCTTCGGTCCCTCTTGAAAAGGAAACCTAAACAAAAGAAAAATAAAACAACCATCATCTTCTCATAGTAGCTAAAACAGGTCCTTCGAGCTAGTATCATCAGACTACTATTGCCTTCGGCCTGCAAGCAAGGGATTTGTTGCATGTTTTTATGACGGAGATGTCATGCACAACTGGGAAGGCCATTGCTGGCTAATACTTGTAGTAGGAAAGCAAGCTGTGCAGGTATTGAAGTCGCATGAACCGAGGGAAAAGCAGAAAGCGAGGCAACCGAAAATGTAGGCTTGGATCAATCGAATTGTCTACCAGAACTTATCCACAGTGTCCTTTGCTAATGGGTCAAAGCGTCGTAACAGGTGTTCCTGGTGGTTGTCATTCCAAAAGCCCACACCATCCATGTTCTTTACCATAGAAGCTGCCTTCTGAACGAGTCGCTCGATAGTCCCACTGTGTACGAGATTTTTAGATGTCCACTTGACTTCATCGCCAAGTTCCAATTCCTCGTTCTGTTTAAATGCCATACAAAAGTTATCCGACTTCAGGCTGGCCTCGTACCAACGCAGTGGTATATCAGTGTGTTCGTTATCTTTGTAGCGGACAAACTTGAGCTGAATGCACTGTTCCACCTCACCGCTGCTCAGTAAGGCCATCTCCCAAACTTCGCTAATATATAGCCTCAGGATGTCCTTACGAGGATTTTTCTGGGTCGAGCAAGGACTTGTAACGTCTACTTCATTTGTACAACAGGCTCTGTTACGCGTTCGAACTGCCAGAATCTCGATGTTGTAACTTTTGTTGTAAGATATCTCTAGTTCCGGAAGTCTGTCGTTATTGGGTCTGTGGTACTATTAGCTAAAGTCAGACTGTCTGATGGCAATATTTAGACTACTTACGTGACTCGTAGGGAACCCACGAGATCCTCGGCAAATTGTTGACATGCATCGTCCAATTCTGGTGATGCTGAAAGGGTAAGCCGGAAATCCCATACTCGTTTGGTGCAGTGAACCATGAAACAGTTCTGGTCCGGTTTGAATACTCTGATCTTATGGGTGAAGTTTCTCGTATCCACCTCGACAAAAAAGTTTAATTCGCCATCTTGCAGCGCTTTCCGGCAAATAAACTCGAATGTGGACGACCGGCCCTCAGACGGACGCTTCCACATTGGTTTGCCATCGTTATCGCTCATTAGAGCAATGTAATTGGCCTCCACACCTAAAGTGGTGAGAACTCTAGTAAAGTAAAGCTTCTCATTGGCCTTGTGTCTCTTGTTTGATTCAGATCGAATTTGTTCTAGCATATAGTATTTTTCGTCGTCATCATCACCTGCTTCCTGAATACGGGACCTTTTCACATTCAGAAAGCAGAATCGTCCTAAGTCTATTCTCAGGTCAACATTACCCGGCCACATTCTTAGAGGCGCCAACAAAATTTCCAGGGACTTGTTGATTGAAGTAATTATATTCGGGTCGATATCTGGGAAAATGTTCCTCTGAGCCGTCCGTGCACCCGCTTTCTGGTTCATGGTCATATGGAAAGACCGGGAGCCGCTCTCGCTATTTTGGTCAACTTGTGGGTTGCTTGTTTCTGTGAGTTGCGACACTGATAGCACGGAGTTTTTATTTTGATCCTCTGCGGGTCTCAGTGACGCTCCTACATGAGCCGGCCTGCATTTATTCCAGAGGAGTTCAAAAGGGCAATCTGTTTTGGATTTTGGCTGCTCAAATCCCACACTGGTGGTGGTTTCATCGGCTGCGAATCTCATTGAATCTGTAGGTTGTTTTTCATCATCCCCAGCACCATTGACAGTGATGATATTAGAGCTGGGCAGTTTGGCACAATTATCTTGAACCAGGTCAACAATAGGCTCGATATCGAGTAACGGAGAATGAGGAGGAGGAGCAGGAGCAGGATAGCCTAGATTAGATTGGTCCCCGGCCGTGCCGGGCTTCGACCTGACAATGTCGTTTAGTTGTGGTGTAGTTGAGAGACGCTGTGGCCCTTCACTGATAATGTCATCACAACCAGGTTTATGCTGGGTCTCAGAACTGCTAGGGACAGCCTTTTGAGGATAGGAGTTGGGCCAGTTGTGGTCCCGTACTGGAAGTCTCGAAACCCAATTTTCGATTTCGGGCCCGAGTATCGGTCCATGAGTTATTTGACTTGATTCGGACCGAGTTGTAGTCGTATTAGATATTGCCTCGGAGGGTTTGATAACAGGTCCCTTAGCCGGATATCTCCAATTAGTTAATGTAAAGGCGCCGAATTCCTCTTTAGAACCAGCCTCCTTCACAATTGGCAATATTGTGCTAGATAGGGCCCTGACTTCATCCCAGGGCTCGTTGTTAGGGTTTAGTCTTATAAGTACACCTTTCTGAAAGACTGTTGGATACCGCAGCTCGGGATGGGGCCAATCAAAACGATCCAGTATGTAGCTTCGTAGAAGCCGATCATTGCCATCTGCTACGTATCTATACTCGCCCTTGGTAGATCTGTCTCCTTCGTTGTGGAAGAAGATTTCGACAACTTGAGTGGCATCCTTCGGCAGTAACGACTAAAAAATTAGCCATATGCTCTCCAAATTAATATGGAGAGCTTTGTATAAACTTACAACGAATCTAACCAAAGTATCTAGCTTCCTCTTGACTATATTGACCACCTCGGTCCTGGGCGCTCCGACGTATACTGTACGTTTGTCTGAGCTGGCGACTAGTGTAGCGCCCGCCAATTGTCGTAGTTGAGAAAGCGCACTTTCTGGGAGCATTCTATTTATGGTAATGCCCTTTTTAAACATATGCTCTGGGATGTTCCAAGTGCTCTGGAACTTGCACACAGAAACATGACATGGAAACGAGTATTTCCCTGGAAGCTTGGGTTCCTCTCCTGGCCGGAATTTACTCTTCCGCCAATCTTCAAGGCTTGTTATCTTGTAACTTGTCTCCTGTCACTTAGTTAGATGAATCCCATGATTTATGGCATATGAGAACATGGGAACTGACGAGCCCTTTCTCAGCTTCACTCTGGACCAACTGGTCTAAAATCTCCTTGACCAGGCTCACGATCCTAACTTCATCGTAGGAGAAGCATTTAACCCTGAAGCCGTGAATAATGTAATCGTATTGTATCTCCAAATTCTATAATCATTTCAGCGGCAGGTCCTCAGCCGTCAAGCAATGTCAAATGGATCGACTCAGGGGTGAATTTACCTCATCACGCTTGTACAAGACTTCATAGAAGTCTTTTATGCCTTCTAGCCTTAGGGCCCAGTTGGAGCTCAATATGAACTCCATGGATTCCGTGTCGTTCAGACGCGATGCGTCTGTTCTGGCCGTGGTCTGAGTAATGGCCCCTGCGGACCACTCTGAAACCACGCGCTCCGAGGTAACGGGGACTGGTGGTGGTTGAGATGCCATGATTATATGCGCTATTACTTATAGTTAGCCAAAATCCAGTGGTGAAATCATAATATGATCGCGTTACATATATGTCATAGGCAAAGTGAGAGTGATCTGAGGAGAATAACACAGCTGGGAGACTGTAGTAAAACACACTAGAGATAGTGAAAAGAATGGTGGATAATAGGGACGGTCAAGCGTACGGATCTTTTCGGGTCAGTTGAAAGCTCGATGCAGGCGACATCAACTTTCGATGCCTAACACCAGGTAGCATCGCTGAATGAATATGCAGAATTGAGAACAATCAATCCCCAAGCCGCTGGGGTAGGAATTAGTAGTACAATCGAAGTAACACATACAGTGTACAGAGAAATATCAGTGACAATGTCCATCAGGGTAGAAAATGATGGAAACTCAAGCCTTGTCGACGATTGGGCTGTACACATGGAACATCGACATTGAAAACAATGTACACCGTGACGGAAGAAATACAGTCTTGTAAAAATGAAGAAGTGAGAGGGGCTAGGAGGTATTACAGAGAAGAGAGAAAGGATGGGAAGACGATCGGACAACAGCCACAGATACAGGCCAGACAAACAGATATCTGCAGCTCAGCCGGGTGTACAAAACAAACACATATACTTGGAACAATAGAACGTACTTACGATAGCTGGAAGCTGGCGGTTTGTTGCGCTAATGCTGGTTTGTTCTGCGTATGTACCTATCTTAGCATGGGCGATGAGAAGATCAAAGAATAGGATTGCTAACATGGTGGTGGAAGAGACAGGTGGGTTTCAGTCAATAAAAATGTAAACTTACGTGCGTGTGAAGAGTCGCGGTATTTTGAAGAATTAGGCCTAGAGTAAATTTAAAGGAATTCAGAGGGAGAATGTCAGGGTGTCAACGGATTGCCCGAAGTTGACAACACGTCTGTGTTGAACGAGTGAATGCGCCTATGAGCACACGTATGTCCCTTGGGAACTGCGTCGAAGATTACCCACCCAGTATTTACTTGTTTACCTTCGCACATAGGTAAATAGGTAGCTGTAAGAAAGAATCCGACTGTACGCTGGCGAAGAAAAGCCGGTACACCCAGAGCACAGTCCAATGGCTATGGAGGCTCAAGCTCCTCGCCCCTCTTCTACCCGTCGATTGAGAATATTAGGTAGGTAGAAGATGTCCTAGTGGTGTCACGGAACGGAATTGCAGCGTAGATGGCGAGATGGAATTAGGAGAGGAACATGATTCCGAAGTTCGATGTTGATTACCTGTGCCTTGTTGATTAGAAGTTGATCTGAAGCCTACGGTAGACACGATCGTCTGGACAAGATGCGTGCTGGTACCTCACCTAGGCAATGCATCGCGCCGCAAACTTGCCCGCCTAGCTGTGCCTGCCCTCGCGTGGTTTGCAAGACACAGGGCAGTCTTGAGTACTTACTGCAGACCACGGTGCTGCCGTGTATGACATGTACTTGTACCAGGCAACCGCTCCTTCTACACCACGCTTGCAAGATCTACTGACTTCAAGTTGGGATGTACATAGTATGTACCTATAGCAATGAATACGTACACAACGTGGGACCATCGTGATACTCGCCCACCTAAGAGAATTTGAATTTGAATTGTTGCCTAGTTTGTATATGCCTAATGGATGTGAAGTAAATATCCAATTTTATAGCTTGGCGTATACTCGTAATGATAAACATCTGCCTCATTGAAACGACGAGGTGGGAAAGTGGTACCGGCATCTCCAGAAGTAAGAAATATGATTCCGTCCAGTATCCTACTCGATACCATTCTACACGACACACATGAAATGCAAGTCCGCGAAATCAGTGACACCCTATTTTCAAACTATCGCAACTCATCTCAGTGCCCATCTCCGCCCTTTCATGAAGCGGTTCTGACTGATTTTCAGTAAAGAGCTTCTCAGGAACAGAAGGCCCCGTGTAGCGGCCGATAGGCAATATCATTATAGTCCAAGAGTGGACACTGCAAGCCATGGTCATGTAATGTACACATACAACACGCTGAGCGGGATGACTTGCCACGCTGGCCGATGAGACGATGAGCACAGCAAACGGCAACGCATTGGGCTGCAAACCGTCAGGGATCGATCTTTAATGACCCTAGTCTGAAGAACACGAGCCGCAAAGAGTGATTTGCCTTGGCTGGGACCCTTTGTCAAGGCTCGTCTGAGTGTTTCACGCCTCTATCTAGCAGCAATCAACAAATTGGTCTCGCGTCACTGAGATGGGGCATCTGCCAATATGATATGGATGTGCTGGAACTGAGGCTCTGGCGCTGTGTTCAATACCACTACTTAGATGATTTGTAGGAGCGACATGCACAAGAATTTGTACACCCGGCCGTGAATTTGGCAAAGTTTATAAAACATAGATTCTCTCTATCTGAAGGTCCGAATGAACTGGGTATATGCAACATTGATCGGGAAGAAAAAGTGAAGAATCATCGAATGTCAAGTGTGGCTGTTCGTACAATTTCAAGTCATAGATTTGCCCAATCATCCGTTTAGTTGCCCGTTCTTTAAGCCCTGTGCCGCCAGCCCTTTACGCACAGCCAAGTAAGGCTAGCAAGGGACAGTTTCTAGATCATTAAGTTCATTTTGGCCCTTTAAACGCCTTTCGCCATACCAATGATGTTGTACCAAATTATCCAGGGTTATTAGGGGACATAGGAGTCGTCAAACCGTTCTATCCGGTGAAGCCATGCAGTCCAAATAGATTGAGTCGTGTCCTGAGTGAGTGATTGGGTCCCGGGTGGCAGATGACGTCAAACACGCATAAGACCAATGAAGAAGAACCGCCAGCGGGATTGTTTGAGTCGACGTGAGTCGACGAGATGGCCTCTTCATTCGGCTCCCTTCACGTTGCGCTTGACGTTCAGTGCCCATTTCAGTTGACCCAACACTTGTTTGGTTTCTTCTATTGTCATCAGTTGCTCTTCCTCTCTCTTGCGTGCGTTTTCTTTTATAGCTCGTAGGGCATCTTCTTGTTCACGTTTATAGGCATCAAACTGCCTGCTTATCTCGTCCCTCTGTCTCCGCAGGTCTCGGATATTGACATCTTGTTGATCGCACAGGTCTCGTAGAACGTTGATCTTCTCATCATCCTTTTGTCTTTCATCGACTAACGTTTTGATTCGTCCGTCCATGGTTGTCATGGCACGTTTGACTTCTTCACCTTGGTCTTTCCAGTGTGATGAAATGGCGTTGTACCGGCCCTCCATTAATGCAGCGTGTGAGTTGGCCTCTTCAACTTGGACCTTTGTTTCACGGCGTGTACTTTCCATCTCGTCTCGCCATGTTCGTTCCCTTTCTTGAGCATCTGCGGTACGCTTCTTCTCTAGTTCAACAGAGCTTTGCAAATGCTCTACTTGACGTTCTTTTCGACTTAGCAGGGTCTTCGTAACACTAGCTTCCAATAGGCGTGATTCATAGTCTGATATCATTCGTTCCATTTTGTCTTCAACCAACTTCGCAGCCTGTTTCGACTCCTCCGCCTTTAGCCGCTCAATCTTCAAATCACGCTTTAGGACCTCATTGTCTGATACCAGCTTATTTATTACCCTGCCCGTCTTTCCGAGCCCAGCCTTTCCAACAGCACCATCCCATTGTGGCGAGCCCTCACGACCAGAGGCATGGTCGTCGCCAACAGATGTATCTGGGATCTGAAGAAATGGCGAGTGATCTGCTCCGTTCTCCCTGCTCCTGAGGGTTACCTCGCTGGACGACATCGGCGAGCTTATGTTGTAGGATCTTCCTAGGTTGGGATTAGAAGGCTTGGATGTTAAGTTGGGCCTAGATGGGTTTGGGTCTGGTTGGATTTGTGATGTATTCGAGACTGCGCTAATGTTGCTGTTCACTGAGCTAGCAAAGCCACTATTCCGTGCAGACGGAGATTCCGAAGACGATGTATCTGAGGAGGCGTCGAAGCTTCGGACGGTCCGTATGGTGGAGGTTGCGCGATAGTTATTCAGGGGATCGTGAGATGCGCCGTTGGAGCGTATGGGATTCATCGCGCCGCTCCAAGTAGGCGAGAGCTTTAGTTTCGAGGTTTGGTCAGAAGCAACATGCAGATAGGTGGATGCTGTTGCACCAAAAGAGTTAGTTAGAATGTTGCACTATTCTTCACTGGGACAAACTAGGTGTTTCGCTTTGTTTGTAAGATCAAGATGAATTCAATACAAAGGCCCCAGAAGCTCGGACATGCAATTGAACTATGGGTGAACCAAATGATTGGCGTACCGTTGTTGTTCTCATTAGCAGCGGTGGAAACTGAAGCCCCACTAGTTGGTGTACGGGTTCGTCGGATTTTCTGTAATCGACTGGGCATTTCTGAGCAGTCGCTGTGGGAGATGGACGGTCTTTCAAAGCGCCGGTGGCATAGGTTCGCTCTGAACAGGTTGTAAAAGCAAGGTTTAGAAGCGCTCGATGATTATCTAGTTCGATCGATCCCGCTATGCTAATGGCGACAGAGAGACTGAGGCAGCAGCAGCAGCAGCAGCAGTAGCGTGGAGAAACAGACAAGAAAAGCTAAGGTATAATCTAGATAGACAGATACAGAGCAATGGACATGGACACGGACAGAGAGAGGAAGAGGGAAAAGTGGTCCAGATGACACGCAATGGAATGTAGTCGGGTTGGATAGCGAGAGGTTGATTGCTGACTTGGAGGAATGTTTCTTTTCCTAATCTACGTAAACACGAAACGCATTAAGGTGTTGCTGGGATAAGTGTGAGTCGGCACAGGCAGGCCCCATGCAGAGCCCTGGGCATGTTCTGAGCAGATACGGTATCCATACACCGGATGACTGCGCCCGACAAGGATGCGGGCCGTCACTGGTGGCCGTGGCTGTTGTGTTGATGTGTTGATGTTGACGGTCACGAATTTACACGACCACTCATCGACGGCGCTGTATCCCTGATGCTTGCGGTCTGTAACACGTTGACAGCGGACTTCTTGGAGATAGTACCTGAAAGTGTACCTAGGGAAGTACCTGCACCATGCCACTTCGAGTATTAGCGTATGCCTGGCCGGAACAGAATCCGCTTTAATAAGCTGCCGGTAATACCGTAAAGTAACCGTTTTCATTTCAAACCCACTACCGGTAGCTAGATTCTATGTAGCATTTAGCTGGGTCTACTTAAAAAAGAAGCTGGGACAGTTAGCTATACGCGTTAGCAAAACTGGGAGCAGAAGAAAAGAAGAGGAGAGTTATTCGCGCGGTAATATAAGAGAGGAAAATCGCAGATACCAATCTACGTAATGAAATGATTCTTGTTCGTATTCATAAACCTAACAACTACATACATAGGTAGTTGTATAAACATGGATGTACCTAGGTAGGGTAGATACTACAGTAGTACAACATATGAAAAGTGGAGGTTAGCAATGACGAACATAGCACGAATAGTTAGAATGAAAACGATTATTATGTCGGATTTCTTCTTTTATTATATAGAGTATTAGGTTTCTATTTGAGCTTCCCTCTTTCGTTTCAATAACCTTTCCAACCTAGTCGCTGTATTGAAGACTCCGCCTGTCGCAGCACCACAGTTCTTACATGACGGGTCTTCCCTATACCTCTTGAGGGCGCAAGGTTCGCAAAAGTAGTGCCCACATCTCGTTACGATGGGGGACTTGTATGGCTTTTCACATATGATGCAGACAAAGGGTATCTTTTCTAGCATCTTTTCGTCGTCGTCATCGTCTTGTGCTTGGTTGCCAGACCCGGGCTTGTTGACCTTCCCATTCCCTTTGTCTTTGCTCTTCTGCGTGGCGCTCGAGACCACAGTGCCTCCAAGATCATTCCTGCCTTTTGCAACCGTCTCCCATTCCCGGTCAAGCTGCCACCCTTGTTTCATGTCACTTCGGTCGTGGAGAAATATGCAGGCATCGCCAAATCCACACCAGCCCGTCTTCTTATAGTCTTTGCAGACATCCGGAGCGAAATCGGTCGTGATGGTCATGCGAACATTTGTGGAGGACCGGACAGGGCCCTTCTTGGTGGGCTCATCATACCAGTCGCTGCGCTTTGTGGCGTCATTTGTGTCGGTCAACGGAACCTTCCGGTCGGCTTCAAAAGCAGCGGGGGAGACTGTGTTTGTAGCTTCCTTGTTTGCCGAGGTAGACGTAACACCCCGATTGCCGTGGCGTCGGCGCTTTGCTATTGACGGTCTCTCGTCCGAGGAGCTGTCTGAGTTGTCTGACGAGTTATCGGAAGAACCTTTTTCGGTTGATGGCGCCGCGGCTGGGGCTGCTCTTTTCCGGAGATTTGCTTTGGCGCGCATTCCCCTTGACTTGAATATAACAGGTGGGGGGTTGGCGGCTTCCCCCGTATCTGGTACAGCTGGAGTCGTTGAATCCATGACCTCTAGTATCTCGAATGATGGTAAGAGGATGGAAAGGTGTCGGACAGTGTTTTGCTTCAGGGTGTAATACAGATTACCGGGGTGTTCTAGAAGAAGCGGCGCCTATATGAGTGGAAGTTGCTCCCAGCACAAGTTGATTTGAGTGACACTACCAGGTAGGTAGCGTACTTACAAGTGCTGGTGGCGAATCAACCTGTCGGCGCGGATGCCATTCTACCTACTGTTGCAGGTGAAGTTGACTACTGATTAGATACGCGATAAGATAAGACCAAGGTAGTGAGTGACCCCTTCTCCGTATTGAACTAGTCTCCTTCACTACCGAGACTACCTAGGTACATACCGGTATTGGATAACGGATACTGCAGGACAGATACCCGGCATACCGGTTCTATGTTTTACCAAATGCCAAGCATGCAGCGAACTAGGTTTAGCGCACTTGCCGCTTTTTCCCAGGCTCGGCTCAGCCAGCTATCAGTCAGGTGACTGTGAAACGGTCACTGTGCATTTATGCATTATTTTATGCAGAAAGAAATAAACCTTGAAACGGTTCGAGCTCTCAAAACGGTTTCAGCCTGTTTTAACTGTCAACTAAAGCAAGCAAACAAAATCTACCTGATTAATTGATCTATCATCAGGCACAATTAGAAGTCTGACCTCCCCCTTGCTACCTCGCCTTCTGGGATAAAAATTTGCGCTGAGCCAGGAACTTTGCAGCCTTTTCCTGAAATCCATGTCGCACAGCTTATAGGCCCTTTACGATTCGAAAGAAGAGCTACCGAAAACTGCTAACTGTTCCTAAGTCGTATTAATAAATAAAGTGGCATAGGTCACTACGACAAGCGTAAGTACTGTCGATTAGCCGGCCGATTTGATTATGATCATAATATTATTTATAAGATCAGGTTTGCAGGGAAACCACTTGGATCTATGTTTAAACATATAAAATAAGAAGGATACTGCTTTAAAGACCTCGGCTATCTTTATTATTTAAAAACTTATATTAATCTAGGTTACTATCTTGCACTTTTTATAGCCTTAATAATAAAACAACGTTGATACTTTTTAATCTCCTACTATTCGTTATCTTCTGACTATCTTGTAAAGTATTATGTAACTCTAATCTAGAAGGGCTTAAGACGAAGGCGGTAAGAGCCAAGCTTATGTCTGCCGGTAGTGTTTCCCGAGGAATATTTTTAGGCTTCTTTTTCTTGTTCCAGCGCCTTTGGGAATAGTTGCCGAAGTCCATAGAAGTTCTACGGCATTATGATGATTAAATGCTGCATATTGAAGTGCAGTTAGTCCAGCAGCACAAACAGCATCAAGATCAGCACTCTCCTTTTAACAGGTTGACTATAGCCTCGTGCCCGTTCCGTGCCGCCCACCAGAGTGGCGTCCGGCTATATTTAATATCTTTCCAGTTGGGATCGACTCTCTTTGTCGCAAGCAGTAGCTTGACTATAGCCTCGTGCCCGTTTTGTGCCCCCCACCAGAGCGGCGTCTGGCTATAATTAGTATCTTTCGAGTTGGGATCGACTTTTTTTATCGCGAGCAGCAGCTTGACTATAGCTTCGTACCTGTTCTTTGCTGCATACGAGAGCAGCGTCCGGCTATATTTAGTATCTTTTGAATCGGGATTGACTTTCTCTATTGTAAGCAGCAGTTTGATTATAGCCTCGTGCCTGTTTACTGCTGCCCATAAGACTGGCATCCGGCTATATTTAGTATCTTTTGAATCGGGATCGACTTTTTTTATTGCGAATAGTAGCTTGACTATAGCTTCGTGCCCGTTTACTGCTGCTTATAAGACTGGCGTCCGGCTATATTTAGTATCTTTCGAGTTGGGATCGACTTTCTTTATTGCGAGCAGTAGCTTAACTATAGTTTCGTGCCTATTCTCTGCTGCCTACAAGATTAGCGTCTAGCTGTTCTTATCTTTTAAGTCGGGATCGACTTTCTTTGTTGCGAGCAGTAGCTTAACCATAGTTTTGTGCCTATTCCTTACCGCTTATAAAAGTGGCGTTAGGCTATATTTAATATCTTTCGAGTTGGGATCGACTCTTTTTATTGTAAATAGTAGCTTGACTATAGCTTCGTGCCCGTTTATTGCTGCCTATAAGACTGGCGTCCGGCTATATTTAGTATCTTTTGAGTTGGGATTGACTTTCTTTGTTGCGAGCAGTAGCTTGACTATAGTCTTGTGCCTATTCTTTGCTGCCTATAAGATTGGCGTCTAACTGTTCTTATCTTTTAAGTTGGGATCGACTTTTTCTATTGCAAGCAATAGCTTAACTATAGCTTCGTACCCCTTTTATGCTGCTTACGAAACTAGCATCTGGCCGTTCCTATCTTTCGAATTAGGATTAACTTTCTTTATTGCAAGCAACAGCTTGACTATAGCTTTATACCCGTTCTATGCTACCCACAAAACTGGCGTCCGGCTATATCTATCTTTTAAGTCGGGATTAACTTTTTTTATCGTAAGCAGTAGTTTAACTATAGCCTCGTACCTGTTCTATGCTGCCTATAAGAGCGGCGTCCAGCCGTTCCTATCTTTTAAGTCGGGATCGACTTTTTCTGTTGTAAGTAGTAGCTTGACTACAGCTTTATACCCGTTTTATATTGCCTATAAGACCGGTATTTAGCTATTTCTATCTTTTAAGTCAGGATCAACTTTCTTTATTATAAGTAGTAGCTTGATTATAGCCTTATACCTGTTTTATGCTATATACGAAATTGGCGTTTAGCCTTTACTATTTTTAATATCCGCTTTAAAGGTCTTTAGTAGAGTTGTAATAATTTCGTTTAAATTAAAATAAGCTGTTAGGTATAATCCTATCACTTGCTTTAGTGTATTTTAACTATAACCTCCTGATTTATATCTATTATAAGTTATAAGAACCTAGTTTAATGCTTTAACTTAGGCTAGCTTTTAAAGAAAGGAAACAATGTTCTGAATGTCCAATACTTCGTAGCTATAATATCCCCAGTTATAAGTAGCGTAATTATAAAAAAGGTGGAACTTAAGCTGTTCCTTAAATGTTTTATCTATTTCTGCATATCCGTTAATAAATTGGTTAAACGATAAATAGGTGGTATAGGTTGTTACAATAGAAGACTATGCATCGGGAAACTAGTCGCTTTAGGTTCGTTAGAAGTAATCTTGTATTGTATAATGTACTAATTGGATAATACTGCTTTCTTCGTTAACTATAACTAACCCAGCATATATAAAGATAATATCTTTAATTTAGGGAATGTTATCTTTATTAAGCCTTAGCTTATTAGCTTTAATAGCCAATGTATGTAGGAGTTCTAGCTTTATTAGCGGCCTTTTTGTACACGTTATCCATAATAGGACCTGTTTAGTACGTTCTGCCTGCTTTTGGAGTTGTCCTTGAATTTGTACCATAGTAGTGTTATAAGCAGCGTTATAAGCATTTAACCTAATTGCCAGCTTTTATAGGGCTATCCGTATACTTTTTTATATATCTTTACCTTTTAATGAAGCAAAATGGAGCTATATAAGTAAAAACCTATATAAATCAATATAGCCTATATTATTTTTTAAATATATATACATTCTATTAATAGCTTTTATTATACTTATTATAATCTCTTCTTGGAGGTTAGATTAACTAATAACAAATTTTAGAAGCTCTGATAAATATTCTTATAAATATTTATAAATATTACATTTTATTATACGAATCTTAATTGATGGACTTTCTTTAAATCGCTTCGTAATTTTTGGCAATATTCTAAAGGTTGTAAAAATATTTACTTTAGCTTTCATTTAAAGATTAAAGATCACTGCTAAAAACCTAGTACGGCAGCCATTAGAATCTTGATATTTATCAAGCGTATTAATAATAATAAAGAGCCTAGAGTCCTGAAGAGCAACTGTTTCGAATGCTTTGTAAATCTCGTCTAAGGATAGTCTGGTCCGCTTTTCTTTATACCAATTATAAAGCTCTTTTAAACTATATAGTAAAGAAGGCTAGGTCTAAGTTAACTGCTTTAGCAAACTAAATAATAAGCTTTTAGGCGTTTGCTCCCTTTAAAGCTTATAGTTATAATAAATATAGGCTACTATAATGGTAGTCTTATTATAGGATATTTTCTCGAGATCCTTTATAACAATTAATGCTAGAATTGTTTTTCCGGTTCTAAGGATCCCTGGACAGAATAATGTTTTATTTAACTTTTATTTCCAGTATTAATATTTTTTAAAGTTAAATAACTATTATCCTATTCCTGGTTATCGTTTTTAAAAGTAATTAGTTTATTGTGGCCTATAGTTAATTACTATAAACTAGTCAAGGATTTTAATATCTTTTTTTTCTTTTAAATAATACCTTATATATATTATATTTTTATTAATAGTAGAAAAAGTATTAGAAATTATAAGTTTTATTAAAAAGCTGTTTAAATTAAAAGCTTAATAATTTTGGAAATAATTAACAATTATTAAATGTATTTTTAATTATTCTCTCTCCATTAACGTTGTTTTGCTAAATATATCCTAAAAGCTCCTTTATAAATGTTGCAGTAATAATAGCGGCATACTCTTACCAGGCTTTATTTTTATATAAATCTATATAATTATAAATCCTTCGAATAATAATATAAAGGAAATTATCCATTAACCTAACTACTTTTATTTTAATATAAAGTATATCTTTCCCTAGGTTTCGACAAAGATTATTTTGGATAGTGGTATTCTTAATAACGTTATTGTTGGATGTAATAAGATTATAGTTTATACGTATATTTTGGGGTTTCCTCTAAACAATTTGGGTCTTGTTATAATATTAACAATTCTCTTCTTCTTTTTTATCCTCCTCTTTGTTTTCGTCTTTGTTTTCGCCCTTTGGTATATATTTATTAATAAAGTCTAAAGTAGATTTATTATATTTGTAGCCCATTTTAAAGAGTATATTTTAAAGTGTTTTAAATTGTAGGTATTTTAAGGCTAGATTGGAATATTTTAATAATATTATAATTAAATAAGAGGGTATCTTTAATCCCTTTAACTTATTTTTTAATCGAAGCTTTAAGATAATACCTAATAATAAGTTGGGGGGGTTATTTAGTAAGCTAGTTCGAATAAATTTACTTTCTTTCTTTTATTTTTCTAAATCTTATTATACAATTTTAAGATATTAGTTTATCGGGATATTAACGATAATATTGTTAAGTTTAACTTTAGGGGGAATACCATTACTTATCCTAACTATTAAGCTAAATTTAACGGATGGAAAGGCGTGAACTATATAGGTGGCTACCGTTGCAGTAAAGATAATGCCGATTTTACTAATAGGGAGGTAGGTTATGATAATATTGTGGCTACCAATGGACCTTAAAGTATACGTATTAGGGTTGTTCGATGGTTTGGGTAGGTTGGCATGTTTTTAGTCCAATATAGTAATAGTAGCTATTTGCTTTTTCGGTAGCGTGCAAACCTATCCCACTGTATAATCATTACGGGTTTGGGGCTGGCTAGCCATCTGGGGTTTGTTGAGAGGGGGCATCGATTTAATTTACGATGTATAATTCAGCAGGAATGGACTCTTAATCGGCTTAAACTGAGTTTGGTCTGTCTAAATCATCAGCGGCATCTTCTGGGCAAACCGTTGAATCTTATTGTCTAAGATAGGAGGGAACTTGGGTCAAGGCAGATTCAATGCTTGCCGCCCTCGTTCTGCTCAGCCCGCCAGGATGGACTGCTTACAATATAAAAGCATAGCCTCCGCCACGTCCTGCAGGACGTAGGCGATGCATAACGTCGATACCTAACGTCGAACAGAGACCGACGTTCCATTTCCAATACATAGAATTGCCTCAATCCTACGATAGAAGCAGGCTCTGCGGGGTTAGGCGTTCCCGAAACCGGCATTGTGGCGGCCATTACAACCATAACTACAACCACAGCCGGTCATTGGCTGGTCCCCTAAGGCAGCATGGCAATGCCATAGAAGACACAAATGTAAACCAAATCGAAAAGCAGGAGGGAGGCCCTTGAGAAAGCGTGGCATGTCAGCCTTTCCTGCGCGTGCTAGCATTAACCCAAAAGAGCCTAGTAGTAAAGCCGCCGAGGTCGACATAGTAGTACATGCACTGTATCTGTCAGATTTGAGTCAATTACATAAAGTCTGGTCAAAAAATTGTCTGTCTTTTTTCTGTCTGTCGAGAACCTCTGTCTTCTGGCTACCTCTTTTAACCCGTGGGTGGCAGTGCTCATCGTACCACCATGGTACGTTGTGATAACGTGACTCTATGGAGGTAATCGTTATATCCGACAGAAGGGAGCTCTGGCCACTTCTTCCTTTCTGGTTGTTCTACCCTGTAAAAGACCGGCCAATCAGATCACACTGCTCCTTCCAGTCAGGAACAGGTGTCAGATATAAGGGATATAAGCTTATTCGGTATATTGACTGAAGGGGTATTCAATGACGGACCCCTGTCAGGATGACAGGGGCCCCCATACATTTCTACATAGAGACGCGGTCACTAGTAGAGGACACATACATGAACACATCAATCAATACAACACATTCAACCCAATTGCATGCCATCGCTTATATCTGACAATATACTAATAACGATCGTAAAATATATTGATAGCTATAGGCGATAGGTGCGGGTGGCAGCTGCAGGCGATCATACCAGCTGTCCAAAGCTGTGGCAGCTGGTGCTTATATAATCCACACGGGATCCCGTGTCTGTATTGGGCCCCGGCGCAGGCTTACTGCGTTACATAAGCACACTCCGTACACCTGCTCACCCCCTGATATATTAGCCCGTATCAATCCATCCGATTTAACCATCAATTCTGACAAGATAACTGTAGGGGAAGCAACAGGGATGGGGCGAATAGTTACAACGATGTTGAAAGAGATGAAAACCACCGGTATTCAAAGCTGGAGTGTATGCACTTCAACAGCCATATTGTTTGTAAACATACTAGGAACTGTGAGACAAAGGCACCCGAGTACTATAAATTCACTCGCTCCCCTATAACCCTCTTTTACAAAGGTAATAAAAAAATACGACTCTATTAAAGGATTATGCTAGAAATAAAGCATATACTGAAATCCTACTAGCCCTTTAGCGGCTCGTACCTACTCTCTGCCATCCACGAGAGCGGCGTCCGACCATACTTAGTATCTTTCGAATCGGGATCGACTCGCTTAGTTTCGAGCAATAGTTTGACGACAGCCTCGTGCCCATTTCGTGCCGCCAACGAAAGCGGCGTCTGACCATACTTATCTTTCGAGTCGGGATCGACTCGTTCAGTTTCGAGCAATAGTTTGACGACAGCCTCGTGTCACGGCGAGCGTACTGAGAAGCTGGGACCAAGCCGGCAGCAGCAGCTAATACTCTATTGACGAGAATATCAAGACTAAGGAGAGAAAGAGGAGAGAGAACTAGATACAGCGAGACAGTGTCTCTCTATATACGTATTGCCCTGTGCAAATCCTTTCCTCATCTAGTAACAGCTTAGTCATGTGAGAGGTCTACTGGCCGTAATACCTTGTGCCCATTTTATACCGCCCACAAGAGCAGCGTCCAACCATCCTTAATATCTTTTGAGTCGGGATTGACTTATTTAGTTTCGAGCAATAGTTTGATAACAGCCTCGTATCCATTTTGTGCCACTAACGAAAGCAGCGTCTGACTATCCTTAATATCTTTCGAATTAGGATCGACTTATTTAATTTCGAACAATAGTTTAACGATAGCTTCGTGCCTATATTTTGCCGTTAACGAAAGCGGCGTCTGCCTATGTTTAATATCTTTTAAATCGGGATTGACTTGTTTAGTTTTGAACAATAGTTTGACGATAGCTTTATGCCTATTTCCTGCCGCTAACGAAAGCAGCGTCTGCCTATACTTATCTTTCGAATTGGGATTAACTTGTTTAGTTTTGAACAATAGTTTGACGATAGCTTCGTACCTATATTCTGCTGCCTACGAAAGCAGCGTTTAACTATACTTATCTTTTAAATTAAGATCGATTCGTTTAGTTTTAAGCAATAGTTTAACGATGGCCTTATACTTATTTTATATTACCTATGAAAGCGGTATCTAACTATACTTAATATCTTTCGAGTCGGGATTAATTTGTTTAGTTTTGAGTAATAGTTTAACGATAGCCTCATGCCCATTTTGTACTGCCCACGAAAGCGGTGTCTAACTATCCTTATCTTTTAAGTCGGGATTAACTTGTTTAGTTTCAAGCAATAGTTTAATAATAGCCTTATACCCATTTTATACCGCCTATAAGAGCAGCATCTAACTATACTTAATATCTTTCGAGTTAGCATCGATTTATTTAATTTTAAGCAATAGTTTAACGATAGCCTCGTTTCCAGTTTATGCTGCCCGCTAAAGCAGCATCCAACTATACTTATCTTTAAAATTAGTATCAACTTGTTTAATTTTAAATAATAGCTTAATAATAGCTTTATACCTATTTCGTGCTACCTGCTAAAGCGGTATCTGCCTATATTTATCTTTTAAATTAGGATCAATTCGTTTAGTTTCGAGCAATAGTTTAATAATAGCTTTATACCCATTTTGTACTACCTATAAAAGCAATGTCCAACTATCTTTAATATCTTTTAAATCGGAATTAACTTATTTAGTTTTAAGTAATAGTTTAACGATAGCTTTATTTCTATCCTATACCACCTGCTAGAGCAATGTCTGCCTATACTTAGTATCTTTCAAGTTAGTATCGATTTGTTTAGTTTCAAGTAATAGTTTAATAATAGCTTCGTGCTTATTTTATATTGCCCGCCAGAGCAGCGTCTACCTATATTTATCTTTTAAGTTGGGATCAATTCGTTTAGTTTTAAGCAATAGTTTAATAATAGCTTCGTGCCTATTTTGTACCGCTTACAAGAGTGGTATCCAACCATTTTTAATATCTTTTAAGTTAGGATTAACTTATTTAATTTTGAGTAATAGCTTAACAATAGCTTTATTCCTATCCCGTACCACCCGTTAAAGCGGCGTCTACCTATACTTAATATCTTTCAAGTTAGTATCGACTTATTTAATTTCGAACAATAGCTTAACGATAGCCTTATATCCATTTTATACTGCCTGCTAGAGCAGCGTTTGCCTATATTTATCTTTTAAGTTAGGATCAATTTGTTTAATTTTGAATAATAGCTTAACAATAGCTTCATGCCTATTTTATGCTACCTGCCAAAGCAGCATTTGCTTATATTTATTTTTTAAATCAGGATTGATTTATTTAATTTCAAATAATAGCTTAACGATAGCTTTATACCTATATTCTACCGCTAATAAAAGCAGCGTCTAACTATATTTATCTTTCGAATCAGGATTAATTCGTTTAGTTTTAAGCAATAGTTTAACAATAGCCTCGTTTTTATATTCTACTGCTAACAAAAGTAGCATTTAACTATTCTTATCTTTTAAGTTAGGATTAATTTGTTTAATTTTGAGTAATAGTTTAACGATGGCCTTATGCCTATTTTGTATTACTTATAAAAGTAGCGTCCGACTATCTTTAATATCTTTTAAGTTGGGATCGATTTATTTAGTTTTAAATAATAACTTAATAATAGCTTTATACCTATATTCTGTTGCCCGTTAGAGCAGCGTTCGACTATATTTATCTTTTAAGTTAGGATTAACTTGTTTAGTTTTAAGTAATAGCTTAATGATAGCTTTGTACCTATATTTTGCCGTTTACGAAAGCAGTGTCCAACTATACTTATTTTTTAAGTTAGGATTAATTTGTTTAATTTTAAGTAATAGTTTAACAATAGCCTTATACCTATTTTATGCTGCCTATAAGAGCGGTATTTGATTATATTTAGTATTTTTTAAGTTAGGATTAATTTATTTAATTTTAAGCAATAGTTTAACGACAGCTTCATACTTATTTTATATTGCCCACCAAAGCAGTGTCCGCCCATGCTTATTTTTCGAATTGGGATTAACTTGTTTAGTTTTAAGCAATAGCTTAACAATAGCTTTGTACCTATATCGTATTGTTAATAAAAATAGCATCCAACTATATTTATCTTTTAAATCGGTATTAATTTATTTAATTTTAAATAATAGTTTAACAATAGCTTCGTTCTTATATTTTATTATTAACGAAAGTGGCGTCTAATTATACTTATCTTTTGAATCGGGATTAACTCGTTTAATTTCGAATAATAGCTTAACGATAGCCTTATTCCCATTTTATGCCGTTTACAAAATTAGCGTCTGATTATATTTAGTATCTTTTGAGTTAGGATCGATTTGTTTAGTTTTAAGTAATAGTTTAACGATAGCCTTGTACCTATTTTGTACTGCCTACGAGAGCAGTATTTAACCATCTTTAATATCTTTCGAATCGGGATCAACTTGTTTAGTTTTGAGTAATAACTTGATAACAGCTTCGTGCTTATATTTTGCCGCCTATTAGAGCAGTATCCAACTATCCTTATCTTTTAAATCGGGATTAACTTATTTAATTTTAAATAATAGTTTAATAATAGCTTTATGCTTATTTTATATTGTTTATGAGAGCGGTATCCAATTATTCTTATCTTTTAAGTTGGGATTGACTTGTTTAGTTTTGAGCAATAGTTTAACGATAGCCTTATACCCATTTTGTACCGCCTATAAGAGCGGCGTCTAGTTGCTGCTATCTTTTACATCCGTATTGCAATCCCTAAGTAGACTTGCCACAGCTTTGTTCAAACTGAAAAATGCTACTAGGTATAACCCAGTTATTTACTTTGGCATCCTTTAACTATAACCCCTATATCTATATTTATTTTTAATCAGGAGAACTTAACTTAATACTTTAACTTTGGCTAACTTTTAAAGAAAGGAAATAATAGTCTAATATATTAGTATTTTCCGGCCATAGTATCCCTAATTATTAATAGCATAATTATAGAATAGATGTAATTTATAACGCTTTTTAAACTCTTTATCTATTTTAGAATATCTATTTGTAAAGTTATAATATGAAAGGTAGGTAGTACAGATTGTTGTAATAGAAAGCTATGTATTTGGAAACTATTTGCTTTGAGTACATGTAAAGTAATCCTGTGTAGTATAGTATATTAACTAAATAATGCTGCTTTTTTCGTTAATTGTAATTAGTCCGGCATATAGAAAGATAAGGTCTTTAACGTATGGGAGATTATTTTTATCGAGTTCTAGTTTGTTGATCTTTATTCTAAGTGTATGTTATAGTTCTAGTTTAATTAATTGCCTTTTTGTATAAGTTATCTAAAATAGGATTTGTTTAGTATGCTTTGCCTGCCTAGTAAGTTATCCTTCGATTTATTTTATGGTATTGCTATAAGCAGTGTTGTAAGGGTTTAATCTAGTCTTTAATTCCTTTAATGCTCCCCGTATTTTGTTAATTGTATATTTATTATTTAAAGAGTCGAAATGAAGCCGTATAAGTAGAAACCTAAATAAATTAGCCCTGTCCAGTTTGTTCTTAGTTATATATACATCCCATTTATAGCTTTTGTTATACTTATTGTAATCTTATTTTAAAGGCTGGATTAATTGGTAATAAGTTTTGGGAGCTTAAGTAAACGGTCTTGTAGATATCTATTAATATTGTCTTTAATTGTACGGATTTCTATCGAAATAGCTCCTTTAAATTGGTCCGTAATCTTTGGTATAAATCTTGAAGTTGTAAGAATATTTACTTTTGTTTTTATTTGTAGGTTAAATATTACTAATAGAAACTTTATATAGTACCTATTAAGAGCCTAACACTTGTCGAGTGTGTTAATAATAATAAAAACTTTGGAGTTCTAAACAATAATTAATTTAAGCACTTTAAAGATCTTGTCCAAAGATGGCCGGGTTTGCTTTATTTAATACCGATTATAGAGCTCTTTAAGGCTATGTGGTAAAGAAGGCTGGGTTTATTTTAGCTGCTTTAGTAGATTAGATAATAAGCTTTTAGGAGTTTGCTTGCTTTAACGCTTATAGTTGTAGTAAATATAAGTTACTATAATAGTAATCCTTTTATAAAGCCTTTTCTTGAGGTTGTTTATAATAATTAATGTTAAAATTATTTTTCTAGCCCTAGGGATCTTAGGATAAAATAACGTCTTATTTAACTTTTGTATCCAATTTTGATACTTTTTAGAGTTAATTAGCTATTATCCTATTCCTAGTTGTTGTTTTTTAAGGTAGTCGCTTTATTATGGTCTATAGTTAGTTGTTGTAAGCTAGTTAAGGATTTTGATGTTTTTTTCCTTTTTTAAATAATGCCTTATACGTGTTACATTTTTATTAATGGTAGAGAGGGTACTAGAAACTAGGAGCTCTATTAAAAAGCTGCTTAAAATTAAAGCTTGATAACTTTGGAAATAATTAACTGTGATTGAGTGCGTTTTTAACTGTTTTTTTTCTATTGATGTTACTTTGTTGGATATATTTTAAAAGTTCCTTTATAAATGCTGCAGCAATAGTAGTTGTATGCTTTTGCTAAGTTTTGTTTTTATATGAGTTTGTGTAATTATAGATCCTTTGAATGATAAGATAAGGGAAGTTGTTTATTAATTTAGCTACTTTTATTTTAATATAGAGTATATCTTTTCCTAGATTTCGACGCAGATTATTTCGGAAAGTGGCATTTTTAATAACTTTATTACCGGATGTAATTAGACTGTAGTATATACGTATATTTCGGGGCTTCCTTCGTATAACCTTGGTTTTATTATAATATTGATAACTTTCTTCTTTTTCTTTTTTTTCTTCCTTTTCCTCCTTATCCTTGTTTTCGTCTTTATCTTTGTCCTTTAGTATATACCTATCGGTAGTGTCTGGGGTAGATTTGTTATGCTTATAGCCCGCTTTAAAAAGTATGTCTTGAAGCGTTTTAGATTGTAGGTATTTTAGAGCTAGATTGGGGTACTTCGACGATATTGCAGTTAAATAATAGGGTATTTTTGAACCCTCCAATTTATTTTTTGACCGAAGCTTTGAAACGGTACTTAGTAGTGAGTCGGGGGGTTTGTTTAGCGAGCCGGTTCGAGTAAATTCGCCTCCTTTCTCTTCCTTCCCTAAATTCCATTATATAACTCCGGGATATTGGCCTATTAGGATGCTAACAATAACATTGCTAAGTTTAACTTTAGGGGGAATACTATTACCTATTTTAACTATTAAGCTAAACTTAACGGACGGAAAGGCGTGAACTATATGAGTGGCTACCATTGTAGTAGAGATAATGCCGATCTTGCTAATGGGAAGGCAGGTTATGATAATGTTGTGGTCGCCAATGGATCCTAGAGTATACGTATTAGGGTCGTCGGATAGTTTGGGTAGGTTGGCATGTTCTTGGTCCAGTATAGCAATAGCCGCTGTCTGCTTTTTCGGTAGCGCGTAAACCCATCCTACCGTGTAGTCATTACGGGTTCGAGGCTGGCTAGTCATCTGGGGCTCGTCGAGGGGGGACGATATCGTGTACAATGGAGGGTTCGACAGGGCAGCACTCTCAATCGATTCGAACTAGCTTTCGTCCGCCTAGTTTAGACATCCGCGAGAACGTCTAAGTGAGAATATGAACTTTTGTCGAGGACGATAGGGCGGGGATGAAAAGAGAAGGGGGGGGGGAGAGAATCAATGCTTACATTACTTCTTTCCGCTCAGCCTGCTAGGCTAGACAGCTCACGACATGGGCGCATGGCCACCGCCACATCTGTAAAGACTTGATTGGAGACAGATGTTCTGTTTCCAATGCATGAAGAGATTTCGATGATACCGTAGAGGCAGGCTGTGCGGGGGCCAGGCATTCCTACAGTCGTTGCCATAGTAGCCACCACCCACAGCTACAGGTGTGTCGGTGCTATGGCAGACTTGAATGCATAGGCGAAAGTGACTGACGACAGCGACCTATTGGGTTGCGACAAGACTGACATCCTCACTCCAGGCAGCAATACTACTACTCTACAAAATATATAGTACATAGAGTACATACAGTACTGTTCAGGAGATTGTTGGTTTCCTTTACATCTTCACATGTGTGTGACTGGGTGACTGGGTGACTGGCCTAGCAGGTTGGCCCGCCCCCAAAACCAACAACCTCCTTTCAGTGAAAGAGCTCCCTAGGCTGACCTGCCTAACCTTGGCACTCGCCTCACTAACCTCACTAAACCTCACTAAAACCTAGGCAGTCTAAGTCCCCTGAATCTTCCAAACCCAATACCCCAAATACCCCAAATACCCCGTACCGGATAGCCCGGCGTAGCGCACTCGCCTTTTCGGGTCGGCCATGTCTAGAAGAGATCGAACAGTTGGAGTTTCCCATGGACTCGGCAAAAACCTACAAGGACCTCTTGAATTCTTTAAGCACAGCACATCTGGTACAAGCCACATGGTCGGCCAAGATCTGTAGTCGAATCGAGCCTGGACGCCTTTACGCCTAGCGGAAACGCACGTCGCAGTGGTGTAACCAGAGATGAAATGTACTCCAACTGGCTAGCACACGCTTGTCGCGCCATAAGCCCAAGTACAAAGTCGATTGCTCTGTAGAAGTAGCAACCCCTAGGTTATGATAATAGTAATAGAATAAGTAGTAGACATACTACAATAATGTTGCAGGGTCTTCATTGAAGGTGAGGAAGTCATGATGTTGCCGTAGTACATCTGTCGCTAGAATGCGCGTGGGACGTTTGTAGGGCTGAACCGCGGGGATGCTAAAGCAGAGCTCACGCTACAGGGGCAACAAGACGAAAGTTGTCAGATATAAGCGATGGCATGCAATTGGGTTCAATGTGTTGTCTTGATTGATGTTGTCAGAATAAGCGAGCCAGTCAATTGAGGGTGTAAATCGTTGTATTGTTGTTAAGAGCGCGTCTTGCTGTCTCTCTGAGATGTGTACTAATAAATAGCGTGGCGGGTTCACAGGGGTTGAGCAGTCCCTGCTCACCCCCTGACGTATTAGCCCGCGGTAATCCATCTAAATTAACCCTCAATTCTGACAGGTGGCTGGTGGTGTCGACGCTTGAAAACTGTGGGCTACCACCCAGGCATCACTAGCGCAGTTTCTCAGCATGGGCGGCTCCGGGAAGCTCTGCCGGGCTCCTATAACTGAGCCTCAACAGGGCTCTTCAACACCTAGGTAGCTCTGCCCCTCTCCTTAATTAGGTCCTAATAGCGCGTGGCTGCCAGAGGGAACTGTCATCATTAATCCGAGCGACGCTCATGCAATCAATAATGCTATATACATGCAAGTTTTAAAAGAGGTTCGGTCAAACACTTCCATCCACACCTTCGAGGCAGACGCCGCTTCGCTTTCTAGACACTATGCGCATCATGCAGCAACAGGTGATGGGGCAGCGGTGCCCTGGCATAAACAAACGCATATGATCCGCTACCGGTCCATCATACTCTAGATACTACAACAAGTCTATGACAGCAAAAGATAAATAGTCGTTTCCTTCTCATATGCACCCTCTAACACATTGTTGCACTACCTACGAACCAAAGTTGCAGTTCAGAATCAGTAGAATATGCAATCAACGGGGTTAAGTGAGCATGTATTAATTGACCTATAAAATTTTACGGAAGCCCCAAGTTGCTGGAATCCCGGTTGCCTTGCATATAGGTAGAATAGCACAGCTCTTCCCATGCTTTCTATGTCTCTCATCCAGTGGGTTCCCTGCAAGCGACAAGCGTGGCATAGATTTTGACCATGATCCTGCTTAATCCTTTGGCTTCCAACCTTGCACGCTTGAATTACCGGGACCAGAACGTCGGCCACGTTTCCGTTGAACCTCTGGATCCATTCGTCGCGAGGATCGTCCGTCTCGGCCCACCAGGTAGCCGGTTTTGTTAGATCTAGACCATCGATACGAACCGTCAGTGGTTCCATGATGCTCTCGACCAGAGGCTCACCAGAGTTTGGCGACGGGCGTCGAGGTGCCAGTTCCCACATAGTCTTAAGCGCGACTTGTTGACTCATGGCAGCAGCGAACAAACGACCGAGCATGAGTGGCTTGTTTTGGATGCTCGACTCTAGGGCGGAACCGAGGGCGTGGAACTTGCGGTCTGTTGCTTTTCCGTCGAGAAGTTCTGGAGCATGGGGCTTGTGAACGACTGTCGCGTCATAGCAGACCTCGAAATCGTATGACTTTAGTACGCGGTCCATGGCTACTAGATCGGCGCGATTAAGAGGGTAGGGGAGCGTTAAGTCGGATAGAGACTGTCCTGTAATTGATCGATGGTGAGCATGATTTTTGTTAGTGAGGCCATGGGAAAGGAGGGGAGCTAACCAGACTGCCTCGGCTACGACGATTCCCTAAAGTCGTCTTGGTGATGGGCATGGGACCCGTAGCATCGCGCAATCACTCTCGCAGTAGATCGTTCGGCATGACGAGCATTGACGACCAGCTTGGATGTAGCACGTGCCGGGCATGGGTCACACTGTAGGTAGTAGGCATTTTGGCGGGCGGCAGGTAAGATGAGGCGATGAAGTGATGCAGCGAGATGGGCCGATGCTGTGAGTAAGTAGACAATCCGACTACGACTGGGTGAACTGCTGGCACAGGTAGCCAGGCTGACCTGATGATGGCTGAAGGTTGACGTGGTAAAAGTGTAGATGGCTTGGTGGGTGGGAGGGTTAAGTGGGCGAGTGCACGCTACGCCGGGCTATCCGGTATGGGGTATGGGGTATGGGGTATGGGTATTGAGTTTGGAAGATTTAGGGGACTAGACTGCCTTGGTTTAGTGAGCAGACCCTACCCGCCCGCCCGCCTCCTAGTCTGTGGTAGTGGCCCACCGTCAACCCCGCATGTGGTGCAGAGCGGATGGATGCACCAGTGCCTTCGAGTTCCGTGTAAGAGCAACAAACAACCACGGGTGTGAAACGAACCCAGCTCTGTACCAACCACCTTAGCATCTATCACGGCAGACTCTGTTTGCAGATACAGACCGCCCACCCGTCTAATATTAGATTTCAGCGCGACCTTCCTCAAGATGACACCCATACCTGACATCGGCTTTAGCAGCGACGATACGCGCTTTGAGTCGCGCCGACATACGTTTTAAAACCAAACTAGACGTGAGCGAATGCGCATTGCCTTCTCCCAGGCGACCAGATAACGATCAGCCTACCACTGACCTCTCATCTACACGATCCGACACCTGCCACTCCGAACCTGTTCTCGAGTTCCCCCAGCTCCCCTCGACCAGTTCGGATCTCGGATCCGAGGTAGAGATTTGGTCTACGGACGAGGAAGACAGCTCTGATAAAGAGAGTGTTCAAGAACAGCCTTTCCTGTTTACGATAGACGCCGTAAGGTATAATCGATGCTTAAATATACATATAAATGCAACCTTTCCTAGGCAACTAGAGAAACTCGCCATGGTTCAACGGAGACAAAATGCTTCTGTGGTATAATGTCCCTCCTGCCAGTCCCTGACCGCCTCACCACTCATCAAATCGTACACATAGCACTCGCCGATAAAGCGATAGAGATCCCCAATAGGCCGCAGCACCATTGGCGTCGCTCCTCCGAAGATGTGGAAAGAAATCAAAAGGGCACATTTGGACCTTGGAGACAAGCGAAGAAGCGTGGTTGAAAAGTGACACCTCGAGGCAGTTCAAAAGAGCCTCCTCTGGCCAAAATTGGCATTGTTGCCAAAAGAAATTAGACCTAGAAACGTTCCTTATTCAAGTCCGCCTTTCAGATTCTACATAAATGGTATGTATCATCCTACATTCTATGAGCGTTCCCTATAGCATAGTACCGGTGTGTAGGTCTGCGGGGTTCGTCTTTTTTACACCGGTACCCTTTAGGATCTACATTGACTTATGGGTATACAAGGTACTGGCTTTCTCTGGACATCTAGTGGCGCTGAATGCTGCAAGTTAATTGGGAGGGGCGGACTGGTGTTTGTAGGCTTAGAAACAGGCGGTAATATCCCATACTACTTGTATCGGGCACTATATCCGTTTCCCTAGTATATCATCTACATAATCGGCCATAGAGCGTGCAACAAGACGAGAATTTATTTCAAGCCTCTTCTAGTAACATGGCTGAGTTTTCGAGAAAACTAGGACAAGGCAACTCGCTTAAAACCGAGTATACCTTCTGCTCCACCTCAAGTAGAGGTTTCAGCTGGATGTGGGAATATCTCGCCTTAATATTGAGTTTCCTTGCTACTGCCGCGCTGATCGCTTTTCTCGCTGCCTAGCTCTCGGTATATTTCTTCCTCGCCCTTTAATGCTCTGGGGTCTTCCCGGTTCTCTTCGAGCTTAATAGCAACCTTATTACCATTGCGTATATCAGTTCCTTTACTAGTTAGCCTTGGGACTAAAAGTTGGGCAGTTGGGTTAATGGACCAGAAAAGACCTTGCCGAAGCCTCCTTCACCGATCTTGTAATCAATGCGGTATCTATTATCAATAAGAATATCCTAGGTAAGCCTAAGGTAAGTATATATAATACAAAGCATAGCAGAGGATATTTACCTTCATCTTATATAATTTATTAATAATAACAGTTAAGCTTAAGTAATAAAGGGTTCAAGTTTTAATTACTATAATAGAAGTGGGCAGCGGGCTGCTTATATTTAATTTAGAATTTCTTTGTTTTATTTGTAGATATTTATATGTATAAGTGATACTTTATGTTTCTGCGTTTGAGGTTTCTAGGTTTTCTATGGTTTAATTTGATTCGCTTTCTTTATAGCTGAAACATCTGCCGCAAAAGGTAAAACGGGAAGTGGAAAAAAACAACGCAAACAGCTAAACCCGGTAAATAGAACTGTAGACTTATTAACAAAGTAGAGAAGAGACAAAGGGGGTTATAGCTTCTTTATAAGTTAAAACATCACCATTCACTAATTGTTAGAAAAGTGACACACTAGCTAAATCTATACTATAATAACTCATATAAGTACTAGCAACCGTTCGTCCAAATGTCTTTACCAAAAAACAACCCTCATCGTCTACAAGAGAAAGAGAGACCCGCCTATCCGACTCAGCTACCGCCCGCATTTTGGGACAAACTATCGGAAGTTCCTCTAACTAAAAACGCCTTACGAGAGCTGGAAAGAAGGACTCACCGACCTGGTACACAACCTCTTACGGCGCAGTGTTTCAACTATTGTAGCCCACCGGAAAGAGAACGGATCAAACGCTTTGCGAGGATAGGAGGTCCTGACCTATCCGATCTACGAGGAGTGGGTTAGACTTTTATCTGCTTCCCCTAACCCAGAATCTAATATACTTGGTTGGCTAGTACCGGTACGAGCCTAGCATTGTGCTCGAGTTAGGCATGAGTGATAGTACACAGTCTCATCTCGGCCGTCGAAAACGTGGCTCGGCCTCCGCTTTAGAAAGCCCCCTTATGCTACCACTAACTAGCACTAAAAAGACTAGCCCGTACGATCGCGCCTTTCGACAGCACCTTATCAACCATGGGATTTATCCTAATAGATACAAATATCCTAACGGACAAGCACCTCTGCCACCAGCAAACATGGAGGAGATTATACAAGTGATAGCACGGCTCCGATACCTTGATGCCGAACTTGTTAGCGAGGAAAGCGACGAGTTCGCTCCGATACATGTCCGGTCGTTCGGTTAGTATGTCACGAAGAGCGTTACGCATTGATTGGGTGATGCTACTACGGCGGCGGACGGAGGGGGTCTTTGTCGCGTTGGACGTTTGGGACCTCTCTATTTCGAGCCGAATTCTCTGAACCGCGCGAATACTACAGGAGGCTTCGGATGCGATTATCTTGTTTCGGAATCCTATTTTGATCATCGATCTAACGAGATCACGCTGTACAGGATGTAGCTGGGGCGGCATGGTTATATTTATAATAGAGAAGAAGAGAGGAAGATGAGAGGTCGTGGATAGATGGACGAGCGTGGATGGCACAGGTAACTAGGTAAGTTAAGTTAGGTTAGTGGGCCTCCCTAGCAGTGGAGGCCTAGGGATATCCTAGATGGGTTATAGTCCGCTTCCAACGCTTCGAATTACCCTACCTACCTATCGCCATCCCCAAACGTACAGAGGGATAAGAACAAAACAAAGAAAAATAACAAGCGAAAGAAGCCTAGCATGCGTCTATGATGCCCTATATTCTATACGTAGGGCCTATTGGCTTACGGCTGAGCCCCCATGGTCAAAATACCCCGCTCTCACAGCCTCACGAGTCCTGACCGATCAGAGTGCATCTTTTCACACCCGTAGAGATGATGCCAGTTTCATCCGACGCAACACAGCTTCGCGGCTATCTGCGCTCTTTCTGCTTTGGCAAGCAATAACAGTCCAAACTTCTCGACCTCGGGGTTGCACGATGCGGTTGCTACAACGCGACAATGCAGGCAATTACAGCCTGACCCCGGACTTGACTCCCGACCAAATTCCTCCGTACGCGATCCTTTCCCACATATGGGGACCCGACGAGGTAGTCTTTACAGATATAGCGAATCCATAAGATTAGTGGCATTAGAAGGCTGGTTATGCTAAGATTTAATTCTGTACTAAGTAAGCGAGATAAAACGGGCTGCGATACTTTTGGGTTAATACCTGTTGTATTAATAAATTAAACAATATTAAGCTCTAGATGGCTATTAATAGTATGTTTCGGTGGTATTGCGATGCGAAGATATATTACATTTACCTTTTAGATATTTCTAGCTTTACGGCAATTAGTACGTAAGGCTGTATAGCAACCTAGGAAATGGCATTTTAGGATAGCAGATGGTTTATTTGTAGATAGATACTTTAAAAATTTATTATTCCTAATAAAGTCGAGTTTTACTCCAAAGAAGGAATTTAATTAAGCGATAAGCAATCTTTAGAGTATTAATTATATAATATTATATGTATTCCTGTAAAAGCTTTCCGCAGGGCTCCTTTATCTAACTTTATAATTGTAAAATAAGAAGTATAAGCTTATAGCTACTAAATAAAGTATAAGGAGGATATGGTATATTTACTCTTTGGTATATTTAACGTTTATATATTGTTAATTTACGGTAAAGAATAGTAGAATGCGTAAAAGTAATTATAAAAGGAGGTTAAAAAGGCTATTAAAGGTAAATATTATATTAAAATGTTATATTTTTATAATGAGCTTAAAGTTAATAAGAATAGGAGTTCGATATATTAACTTTTTTATTACTTTTAGCCTGTCCGACATTTCCGAGATGTAACACTTTGTTGCTAAAACCGGAGAATTAATAGAAATGCGGGAGGTACTGGTGTCGGATGGGAGCCGTCGTATCGTGGTCCTCTACGGCTTCGGCAGTATTAGTAAGATACAGATTATTATTATATATATAAAGCAATATAGAGACGAATATTCCGCTATATTCTAATTAAATATTAAAGATGAAACATTTATTTAACAAAGCTTTACTAACGTAGCGAGGCAGATATTATTGCTGTATCTTAACGCTTACTACCTAAAGGCGTTAGATCTATAACAGGATTAGAATAAGATAGTTAAAGCTATTAAAAATTAGCTTAGCCTACCAGGTAATATTAGGTGGCTTCTTATATATAATAATTATAATAATCCAAAGCTTAATAACGATATAAATAATATAGGAATCAATATTAATTAGTTTATTCCTAAAGCGTATTAAGGTTCGATTATCGTTATAATGTAATTATTGCAAGTTAATCTAGGGCATCGAATTCAGGTTAAAAAGCTGGAGTTATTACAAAACAGTCTTAAAATCCTTGCGAAGACTTTAAGCTATAATGGTCTTAATATAGATATAAGTGCAAAAAGACTTATAGAAAAGCTTAATGGACTTTCTTTTACCCTTGTTATAGCTGGTATATATTTATAGCATATTCCAATTAATTTTACCAATTACTTTCGCCTTTATAAAGAATTATAGGTACAACTTCATACAAATATGCCAAACCTTAGCTTATACTAAAACCATATACTCTGCTTAACATAACAGCTTTCATACGTACAAGTTTAAAAATAATGTCCACTTACCGCTTATTTGCTCCAATGGTAAGCATATTTTAATAATAAAAACATTTGGTTTAAATTACTCTAAGCTGATAATATGGAAGGTCCATTATAGATATATAAGCTAGCTAAAGAACTGAACTTTAACCAAACGATTAATATGTTGTATAATTATGGGTTTATCGAACTGTACATCTCGGCTTCGGATTTGGTTGGATCAATAGGATATAGTATACATATCTATATACACTTTTAAACCGTTTCCGTACTAAATAAGGACCTAGAAGATAATTTAGCTCGAATGACGGTAGTTTATATAGCTACAAGAGCTCCATTATAAAATAAGCATCAGTTTTGGTTGCTTTAAAATAGGCTTTCGTCTTATACTGCAAAATGCTCTATTATAAGATTAGACAGCGATGACGGCATAGAATGGGCGTTTCATAATCTCGGGGCCCTCTATAAATCCTAAGGCAAGCTGGCAGAAGCTGAGGCGATGTATACGCAGGCGCTGCGAAGCAAAGAGAAGGCGTAGGGCCTGGAGCACACATCGACGCTCGAGACGGTTAACAACCTCGGAGCCCTCTATTCCAACCAAGGCAAGCTGGACGAAGCTAAAACGATATATACGCGAGCACTGCGAGGCAAAGAGAAGGCGATCGGCCCCTAGAATATTATAAGCTATTAACTAACAATTAATACATTATAGAACTTAGGATTCTTATTATCCGCTTAGGGCAAGCAAAACGAAGCTAAAATTTTAGTAAGACGAACTTATATTAACCTTAAAGTATTACTTGGCCCTTCGCATAAAGACGTTTAGTTACTAAAGAATGCTCTTTGAAACATGATTCAGCCATAACAAGGTAAGTTGATGCTGCTTACTTTTACCACCCTGAAAACAATTACTAATAAATGGTATTCCAACACTACATAGGACCTTAAAAGATTTGACGGCGAGATATGGTGAAGCACTATTTGATAAACTTGCTTGGGAAAATAGACACTAAGAAAGCTATAACCACATAGATCTTTATATAGATATAGGAAACCTTCGATCTTTATTCCTTTATTTCTACTACCTTTGTTAAAGAGGGTTGTAGGGGAGTAGGTGAATTTATAGTCTGCACTGCCTCTGTCTTGTACATCTATACCGCCATGTTTAAAAACAAGTCTTCTGTTTTAGAATCTCTTATACTGTACTGTAACCAAGGCTGGCTGACCAAGTATAGAGTCGATTATAAATCTGAAATTTAGTTTCATTTAAATGCAATTAAGTTTGTTTATAGTTTCTGCAAAATATGTTTGTAACTTTAAGAGAGGATTATGTATTTGCATATATGGTATATATTTTATATAGGTAATCAGACCTGTAACTGCAGCTGGTTTATTAACAGAGGGTTTAATTTAGCACTTTTGGCATGATTATTTCATTGATGATAATACTTGCACATATAAGGCACTTGTTATGCTAAGCTAAAGGTGTCTAGAATTTAACCTTGCTATAATAGTTATATAACCAAATCCGCAATACCTATTTCGTTTTCTACTATAATATTATAACATTGTTTATAAGATTAGATCTGCTGGAAACCCGTTTTCATCTGTGTTTAAACATATAAAATCATCCTCGTGGGTAAGACACTGCTCTACACTCATACCTCGGCCATCTTTGTCATATAAAAACCAATCTTGTTCTGGGTTATCATCTCGCACCTGTTCTATAGCGTCGATAACAGAACAACGCCGGCATTCTTTAACATCTTCCCACTCTCCGTCTCGTCGCATAAGAATCATCATTTTTCGACTGTCTTGTAGAAGGGCCGGTTGGCTTGTATCCTGTAACTCCAATCTGGGAGGGCCCGAGACAAAGGTGGTAAGGGCTGAGCTTCTGCCCACCAGTGGTGTCTCTGGAGAAATATTTTTAGGCGCCTTATTTTTCTTGTTTGACTGGCGTATCCGGATCCGGCGCCGTGATTTATGCCGAGGTATTATTGTCTTACGACGTACAGCCACCGGCCGATCTCTCATCTCACGCTCTTGAACAGGAGCCGGCGCGGAAACCTCTCTAGTAGGGTCAGGGTTATTTGTATTTTGACCTGTCTCGTCGTCCACATCCGACATTTGCCAATCTTGTGTATTAGCGTCCTGGTTAGAGCCCCCATCCCCATTCACATCTGGCATTTGCTGATCCTGTGCATCGGTGCCCCTGCTATTCACGCCATGCTGTTCGGTATAGTCAGTATGGCCGGTATTCTGCTCATCATCACGCCCGCCCCAAAACGCGTGAAACACGGATCTCCGGACGAATAGAGACGTGATATCGGCGTCCTTCTGTAGACGACTGGTAAAGTTATCCAAGGTGATATAGAGCCGGTCGTTGGAATAGGCTTTCGAATACTGGCGACCACATCGTCTCTTGATCGGCTCCCCTACATGTGAGGTAGTAAGTGCCAAACAGGTATCTTTATACATGGCTGGCTGTGCCTGGTTAAAGCATCTAACCATGGTAGCTATCAAGCTGTCCAAGTTCTGTCCATAGTCAAACTGCTGTAGAGGTCGGGCATCGAGCAACGCCCTCCTCGCCATTTCTCGATCCGAATCTAGGGAACATAAACGGACGATCTCGTCCGAACTAAACCCTAATTCTCGGGCTCGGTGTGCTAATTGATGCCAGGCTCTTTGATCATACGGACGTGTCTTCGGGTCCTTCTCATCGTCTTCCTTTAAAGGATCCTCGCCCGAGAGTTCTACGAGGTTCTGCATAATAGCAAGGTAGAGAACTTTCATACTATCCAGAAAGTGTGCTGCGTGATCCGGCTTCGTATCGGACTTATATGCACTAGAAACTATTGTTTGAACAGAAACAGGGAGTCGGTTCTTTCCCAAGATAAGCTGCTTCATAACACTCGTACATTGTCGCAAGTATTTAAAGTCTTGCTGTAATGTATGAATTGTCGGAATCAAATAGTTGACCTGCCGCAGTCTTTGCAGAATTCTCTCCTTCTCAAGATCATCGGTAACGTCTCTGAATATCGCATTCGTCCGCAGTGCATTCGAAACGTAAAAATCGTCGGAATAAGATATGCCCGGGACGCGGAGCTCGAGTTCAGAAACTGTATCGCTGTCCACGAGTTCAAGCGCGGCCGCGGACCCCATTATATAGCACCATGTGTCGTATATATGCTTGAGATAGTGGACGACTTCCTAGGAAGTCGCGAGTCAGCGACCGAATGCCCATAATGTCAAGGGAGGTGGGTCGGCGCAGGGGGTGGTCTTAGGGTAGATTTGGGACAGAGCACACCTCTACCGCGTTTTCTGCCATGATCTTCTTCCAGATGGCCAGCTGAAGCCCAGAACGTAGGCCCGGGATCTGCAATACGAGCCCGAGAGCAGGTCCGAGTCCCGGATGCTTGAGTAATCTCCGTAGTATTTCGGGTTTGCTCTTGCTAAGCCTTGTCCACCATCGATTCGCGTCGATTGAGCCTGGAGGGTAACTACGTATCTTCACCACTATATGCCCGTCTGAGAACTGGCCTTCGTTGGCGAAACTCTCAGCCAGCAGCTGGACGGCCTTTGGCGAAAGATCTAAAGGGTCAGCACCGGCTCAGCCCCTTGGTCAGATTTAGCAGCATGACCTACCTACGTACAGCTTGACCGTCCACCAAGGAGACAGGTGTCTCGATCGGCGAAGCGCCTCGACGCGGTGCTTCCCGTGAAGACAGCTGACGTGCGTACCCTTGGGAAGGCGGAGGACGGGTGGCTCGGAGCCGCGTAGATCAGCCGTACTCAGATTGGAGTGCCGCAGCGCTGCCGAGAGCAAGTTGGCGGTGATGTTGCCGGGAATGGCATGGCTGTCGCTCAAGCGATCGCATCCTTCTCGCTTGAAGATGTCGACAAGGCGGTTGGTCTTTTCCTTGTTCATCTCCCCTTCTGGGTCGAAGAAGAGACAGTCCGAGGCGATCTTTGCAGTGCCTTGGAACTTGGACAATATCTCGGCGTTGAGCTGCCGTGACCGAGCCTCCAGGTCAAAGTACGCCATGATGAGTTGCGCATCTCGAATCTTGTGCATCCACTAGGAGATGCCTCTTCCACTATATTTCTCTTGAGCGGCGCTGAACATGGATGGCCCTCGAACACCCATCATGGTGTGTCTGGAAACGGCCACCCTCGGCTGCTGTCTATTTTTATACTCATCTCCATCTTTCTTCTCTGCCCCGTTCGGAAGAAGATACTACTAGTATAGGACAACACCCCAACTTGAGCTGGACTTTTTAAAATTGCAATTGTTTTTATTGTTCATCCCCAATACGAAATGTCGGCTGCTAACCGGCATACACTTTTCCTTGACGATGCTGTATCGGATGGTGAGCTAGAGTTAGTTGTTGCCAAGCCAACGCCACCGATAAGCCATCCCCCAACGAACCGTACGCTAAAGCGACGACGTGTGATTGGCCGAGAGACCCAAGAAGACGACGGTGCTACCGAGGCCAAATCAGTGTCGTTGTCGGCGTCGTCTTCGTCGACCCGCAGTCGATTTCCCATTAAACATGTGGACCACAGCAGTCACATGCCTCTCGTTCCTGTACTTACCGGATCCCCATGGAACCACTACCAGAGGAGATATGGTGTAAAATATGGCCATTCGTTTAGCATCATCACTTCCCGTAACGCACCGTGCCAGAGCTTCATGATCCACACCATCTCTGGAAGCGATGCCGAGGAACGCATTCAGACCATTCGCCAACTACGCCACCCCAACCTGACAGAGAATGTCGAGGTGTACACGTCCTCGGATCCGGGCTATTCCGTGATTTCGGAATTCATGCCCACGTCTCTGCTGCACCTCTGCCGCGCTCCCATTTATCCCAACGAACCCCAGCTCAGTTCCATCCTGTATCAAGTAAGTGTTCTGGCATTTTCACGTAGCTTTTGGTCCCTACTCATACCCTTTGAGGTCCTTACGGGTCTAGAGTTCCTCCTTGATTGCGGCCTTTGTTACGAACAACTGTCTTGTGTCAATGTGTTCGTCAACTTTGCAGGCGAGGTCAAGATCGGCGATATCGAGAAATGTAGGCGATCAGGCGATATGGCAGCGCTCGCAACGTCGTTCGGAAGACTGACGATGAAGTTGATGGATAAAGAGAGGGTCGAAACGGCATCTTTCGGCCTGAAACACCCAGATAGGTGGTCTAACGAAGCCATCGATCTGTTTACTTCAATCACGACGACATTTAATGTCAAAAAGCTATTAGCTCATGCTTTCTTCCTAAAGAAGAATCAGGAGGAGCTGGTATGGCTGATTCCATTTGTGCTAATCTCTGCAAGTTATAATAGAGAATAGAAAGTGTTGTTAGGAGATAGAGGAAGTTATGTACTAGATAGTTATCTATGTTTATTCATTACTCGGCTACTTGTGTTTTTTGCTCCTGCTTGATACCAACTCGCTAAAGAAACAATAGCTATTCTTTTCTTAACTGCTGCCCAATATGCTTGATTAACAATAGATGAAAAAGAAAGCATGAGTAAAATATAGGGCAGAAGGGTCCTTGTGGTCAGAGTCTACGAAGCGATAACGCAACCCGAGCAAAAGGTTACTGTAGGCACCATGCGCTTGGTTGACCCATAAGGTAGTGTGCTATTAATAGAAGGCTCAAGAATTGGCCAGCACGTAGACGTGACCTTGCTCCAGCTCTTATTAAAAACACTATATATCTTCTCCACCCTTAGATCTTTAACTTTACTTTCACACTTAGTTCGATTTGAATATCTGGTATATATACAGATAGACGCTGATTTTGTCATGGATTCCTTAAGAAAAAAGCCTCAGAGAGGGCCAAAACGGAAAAATTACATGAAAGCGCAAAAAGGTTTTCAGATTGACTGCAAAATAATAAACAACAAACCGGTTCCCAAAAACGTAGAGCCGTGTACAGAGAGGGACTACGCTCGTCAGCTTCAAAATTGGGATGACTTGTAAGTTCCTAGAATGCAGCTTATCCCTTGCACTTCTCTAACAACGTTTAGCAATAGCGAATTTGGACCGCGAACAGTCGAGTCCCTGGAAGATCTCAAAGAGTTCATGTCTCGCCTAGGGTACGCTATGAGAGAAGGAATGGAGCCTGATGAGACCCTTTCGTGGCAGGGAATCAGATCGTACTGGAAAAAGTTTACGGCGGGATACCGGAGAGAACGAGGCGAGATATCGGCAGAGCATGTGCTATCCATCTCACGCGTTCGTGCCCTAATGCTGCATACACATATATATGCCGCCGGCCAGTGATTTGGTTACTGACCTCCTCTTTGCAGCTGATCGAGCCAAAAGGGGAGCTAGGAAAACTTCTCAATATCGTACCGGACCATGGGCCGCGGAAGCACGCCACCGCTGCCACGTTCATCTGGGTCGGAGAGTACCTCTGGGGCCACGACTGGAAGATATTTTCTCGGCCGCGCCTGCGCGTGGATCTCTGGGCGTGCCTCTCCCTTGCGGCGTATACCTCAGCCCGCGTTTCGGACTATCTCGAATCTTCGGCCCGGGGCGGAAGCGAAGTCGGTCTCTACTACAGGGTACGCACGCGTTGCCTCCGTACAAGATTGCCGGCGAAGGAGAGCTGATGAAATGTCTAGGACACTACCCTCATTGTCTTCCAAAACGAGCGCAACGACCCGGAATTTGCGTTGCAAGTGACGAAAAAACTAAAGGGGCATCATCCCTTATCTAGCAAACTGTATGCGGAACAACTCATAAGATCGTCTGGGTTATCGTATATGGACGCTGATTATTGTGCAGGCCTACCCCAGACATCCACGAGGGTGGTGTTTCCGAACGTCGACCGCTCTACATGAACCCCATGCTATTTTTCCTGGCCATCTTCTATGCAAGGGGGGCCTTGAGAGATTACCGCGGAGCTCAAGGCCTTTCCCGGCTCTTGGACCTGAAAGTCCCCCCCGGCCAGAAACAGATACTCATCCACTGGCACCAGAGCGTCCTGAACCAGCCTGTCTTTTCCGGTCCCAGCGGAAAAATCCTGACGGCGGGTGCCTTCACCAAGGAGCTGCGGCCGGCGGAGATCAGGGCCGGCTTTCCAGATCCCCCAAGTCTTCATGACTACAGGGCAGAGGGCCTTACCAATGTCGGTATGTCTTTCTCTCCATAGCGGCCTGACTAAGGTCGTGGACGTACGATCAGATCATTGTGCTCACCAGTCCAGATTCGAACCCGCTGTACTCGGACACCCGGAGGCAGAGGTTCGCGGGCCACGAGAACAACAAGATGCAGCAACAGCACTACGCGAGCAGAAACCCGGGGATCGATAGCCAAGCCGCGTACCTAGGTATGCAAGCTCGGGGAGTCAACGTTGGTGAATGTTTTCGTCAACTCGAAGTCCGATGGGAGCCGGCATTATGGCAATCTTTACCGGCTGCGAAGCAGGAGGAGCTGACCCGGTCAAAGGAGTACCAGGGAATCTTGGCCCAGATCTCGGCAATATCGGCCGTCAAACGTGGCCGCAGGTCCAGAGAAAGATTGGGCACCGCCAAGCTCAGCTTCGAGGAGAAGGACTTGTCCTCGGACGACGCCTTCGGCGTCCTCGCACACCCGGACCGTAAACTCAGGAGAGATTTGGCAGCGATGCAACGGAAGGCTCTGAGCAAGCTCTGGAAAGAGAAGTCGACGCAGGCCCAAGTCGGCTCCCGGACGTACACCTGTCGGGGGGTAGACCACCCGTTCTCCCGTCTACGGCCGATCTTGCCATTGCGTCGACAATTGGCCGATTTCCTACTTACAGATGCGTCTCTCCGAAGCCCGATCGGGAGAGCGGCACTCGATGCCCTGATCAATCTCTATAATAGCAAGACGGAGGTGGATCGCTACGGACTCGACCCAAGCCAATGTCCATGCCCAATGCCTAACCCGTAAGTCTCACGTATCCTCTATTATTTATCTACACTACCGCACCCATCATCACCTTACCTGGACTGACAAGACAAGGAGCCAATTGCATGTTTACGACTGCAGGAAGAGGAACTGCCCGTCTGCCGAGTTCTGTTTCCTCTGTAACGAGTGGTTCTCGGATCCCGAGGCCTGGGAGCAACATTGTCGTCACCATCTAGAACACGACCCTCTTCCCGTGGAGCTGGCATGGCAAAGGATCGAGAGCACCTTCTTGCCGGGATACTGTCCCTTCTGCTTATGGGACCCGTACCTTGGCGCGGCAAGTCGCCTTCATCCATTCTGCTCCCGGGACAGCTGGGAAAATCACATCCGGTCTCACGGCGTGGAGTGGCTGGCGCGATGCCCAGACAAGCGCTGTGCAGAGCCATGCGACGATGCGCAGACTTTCAGCTATCACATGTACGACGTGCATCGTATCCCGCTGGGGGTTTGCGAGGCGTCTAGAGGGAGGCTCAAGAGGGAGTTAAGCGCCGAGTTCGAGAGCAGCAGCGACACAAAAAGGATAAAAATAGAAGAAGGTCAGGTCTTAAAGACGGAATTCGTCTTCGAGTACCATACCGGACTAGTCGGATGCACTAAACACGTACCTGTCTAATTCCAGCCAGTGGCCGGAACTGGACATGATGAACATTTGGACAACAAGTACTAAAGCAGAGAATAGAAAAGAAGAACAAGATAAAAGAAAAAGAAGAAGAAGGAGAAAAAAAAAAGTCTTACTATATAGCTCATTAGTTTAATTACATGAAAAATCATTCCTACAAAAACCATGGTCATACCAAAGAAGCTAAGTAACCTGGAGCGCGGGAGGTGGCGTACCAAGTGCAGGATAGCGCTATCTCAGCACATCGGTAGGACTTGACTCTGCCTAGGCTTAAACGAACGGACGCTAATTCAATAACTAGAGGCGAAGCTCGGTCTCCGGCTTGATCCTTCCAAAGTGAGACTACATACAACTCGCGAAGATGCATACTCGTGGAAGATGTTGCCGGAAATGCAGCATTTATTCTCCAAGAACCTCAGCGATCACTCCATCGGGGCTTACAAAGACCTATGCGACAATGTTGGAGTGGCCTTCGAGGCGGTTCGGAGCGTTCCAGAGTCGCCTCAGACCTTCCCGGGCCAGAGGACATTGGTACGTACATGTATCTCTAGAGTGACGCTATCCGATCCTCCTCTAATGAGCATGAGCAGCAGCAGCAGCAGCAGAACTCTGCTCATCCCGGACCCAGGAGCTTCACATCGCAGATCGGCGAGCTCCAGGCCCGGAACGACCACCTCGCCGAGGAGCTTCGGCATGTCAATATGCAGCTGGACGCCGAAGTTCAGCTACGATTGTGTATCGACGAACAGCTGAAGCTGGCCTACGAGAGATCTGAATTTCTGCAGAAAGAGCTCGAGGCCGCAGCCCGTGGAGAGACCTATTTTCGTAACATGGCCCTGAAATACTCTCACGGTATTTCAAAGCTGGTGCCTATTCTAGCCCAGCTCCAAGAAAACCCCAGTATCACACAAGACGGGTTTATATGAATTAGTCTCCTTGCTCTTAGTAGCAATCATAGATAGTCTTTCACCTTATTAGGCGTTAGCGCTCGGAAGTTCAAAAGCGGTTGCTTGGTGTATTTAGTCCCTCTATGATGATAGAGTATTCATTTAATCAATCTTTTCCCCCGGTGTCTGCTGTGTCTGCCTGCCCGTGTTTCGGACAAAAGCAAGCACGATGCTCAATTTGCTGTAAGAGGCTGATCGCCGTTCTTTTTATACCCTCTTTTGCTACGGTCGGAATATAGACGGGCTTAGAGGCTTATATACTGTCTTCCAGTCCCCCTTCTTCTCCTCTCTGCGTCCATTTACGCAGCTGGCGTATCAGCATCATCTTGTTAAGGCTTAAGAATCAAGGAAGCCTCTACTGGGAGACCATATTTACACTAAACAAATCTAATCATCATCATCATCATCACAGCGATTAACTCCTTGGTCTATAGCATTCTGCACTAAATCAAAGATATATAATATACTAAAGTGTATTAAAATTGCATAAACTAGAATATAAGTTATAAAACTTACAACAAGTTATATAAGCTGGTTAAAAGAATGTATAAAAAACTAGACTACTTCTTAACAAAACAAAAAAGAGCTCTAGATCATGTCCAACCTCCTGCAAAGCCTGAATAGGGGAAAGGAAAAGGGGAGAGTGCTTGAGTTTCCCATTGGGGTACTGTACGTCAGTGCGACGTCCTCATCCTCGCGATAGGATTTGTTGCTTTATGAGACTCATCCCTATGCCTGGTTTGCCAGCTTTCCGGCTGCCTCACTGTCTTTATCTGCAGCACGGACTGTCTTGGTTACTTCCAGCACCTTCTTGTCTGTCTTTTGACAGTGTTTCTCAATCTTCTGAGACCATTTGTTGAAATCCTCTATAGTATTGCCGACGTATTCCTCGACAGTTTGAATGCGGGCCTCGAGCGACTCGACTCGGGTATTCAAGGACTGGACTTGTGTATCGAGAGTTTTAACGTGGTACATCAAGATCTCCCGAGAAAAATCGATGGAAGTGTCGGCTGTTGGGTGATCTAGTGACGATAAGTCCCATGTAGGGTTTGGATTGAATGCCCCTGGAAGAGAGCCTTCAGTCGGTGCTTGAGAGTTGTCAAAGGAGAAGCCTTGTTGTTGGAGGCCAGTGTCATGTTGGAAGCTTTGGGAAGAAAAGAGCAGATCGAGATCTTGAGAATTCATGTTGCTGGAGCACATGTCTTGGTCGTTTGTAGCGAGAAAGAGAGACTCGAGACTCATGGTGGTGTTGGTAAATTGGGATGCGTAAGAAATTGTATGGGGAGTAATGAACTATGGGTGACGGAGACTGGCTTTCAAAAGAAGAAGAAAAAAAAAACAGAACAATTTAATGGCGTTCCAATGCTCTATTTGTACCCGGGCTGTTGCTACACCCTTCCCCCCTCCCCAGTAGCCCAGACGAACCGACTACTCATGCCAAACTAAAGAAAGGGGAGGTTTATTGTTGGTTCCCATCCTAGAATAGGTACGTGGGTAGCGGGGTTTGCACAAAGCGCCGAGAATGGCCGGCGCCTAACTCTCGAATGCGGAATGTACGGGGAGCACGGCCAACAATAGATAGGGGTTGGTAGGAAGCATCCTGTGATTGGCCGGCTTGTCTGGAGGAAAAGCGTTTATGTGATTCAAATCACTGTCACAAGATAATGTGTTTCCATAAAAAACACATCAGGCAGAGAGCAAGAACGTCTTTACACATACACACATCTCCCAAATAGTATTGCCAGAAACGGGCCCTTCGAGAGCATGGCGGCTAAACAAGCGCCAGAAGAGATGTCTTGGGTTAGAATAAAGAAGGGCGCGTATGTGAGAGCAGGCCTGCGCGCTTATGCTTCCATGTGTGCGAGTGTGCGTGGGCGACGTCTAGTATATAACATCACGGTGAGGATTCTGCGATGGTGCTGTTCGGAGAGACTATCTAGACACATCGGCAATAGCAAGCCTTCCGATTCCTTCCTTCCCACGTTCCCACGTAACCATCCAACACCCTATCACATTCTTAAATATCAAAAAGCACCAGAAGACCTAGCCAAGATGGCCAATCGACTCAGGGTCATGCGGAAAAGACGGGCCAGGTCGCTACGAAGCAAGATTATCGAATATGCCGACCTATTCAACCTAAGAGTTGCTCTGATTGCCCAAGACGAGATAAGTGGGGAGTACGAGATATTCCAATCAAAGCTAGACAAGAACTTCCCTCCTGCGAGGAGCAATATTGTAAGACCCCCCGGGGTTGACCGGAACGGAAGCTTAGGTTAGCTGACTCAAATAGAAACCTCGGACACTGCATGTTGGTCCCGAGGACAAGACCGGAGTCGAAACGGGCGCAGCCAAGCGTGGCAATGATCTCCAGGCGAAGATGAGGCGGATAGAGAGGCAGATTTTGCAAACCAAAGTGCCCAAGCCACCTAGATTTCAACGTCCTAGTTTTTCAAAGCTAGGATTACACTAGACGGGGGACTGTAGAATAGAGCAAGCGTAATACCATAATTAAATACTTATTATTTATTAACTAATTATAAATGATATTATTCCTATGCTCTGTAGTATCTTCTGCTTAGGAGGCTCCGGTATTCCCGGTCCGACCAGTACGGAGATGGGTGGACCCGAGGTGATCATTTCATGGAGAATCCTACGAGACGGATAGCATCGGCCGCGCAACTTGCCCCACCCTCCCTAGCAAGACGCAATTCTATTCCGTCTTGAAATACGAAGTGATGAGTCCCGTTCCGTTCCGTTATCGTACAAGAGTCATTCTTTACTCTAAACTCCTCGACCATTAACCCCTTTTTTACAAGATGCTACCCGGGAATGCCACCCAGTTCAGCAGCATTTAAGGGAAAAACAAAAATCTCTTTAACATAGGCACCCCCTCCCCCTGACGTTATAGTATTCACGGGGCCGGGCTGGCTGATTATCACTCTGCAAAGGCGGCATTTGCCTCTAAGGCTGATTATGCGTTGACAAATAACTAGCTTGTTGTTATGATGGCATGCATAGACCTTGGTTGACGCCTTACTAATTGTAGCTACCGTATTGTGATTCAACGTCGGTTAACGTTTAGTGCAAGTGATCTATTACATTCCCCACCCCCGCCTTCTTCCTCTTGCCCGCCCTGGATTTGCCAAGTACCATACAGAGTCGGCCTTGGCAGTTTTGGAGCCCCACCAGGAGAGTTGTGGGGACCGCCTAGCCGAGATCAGGCTTGGCGGAAACGGCCACGTCAACTTGTATGCACAACAGGGCCATAGAACAACAATAAATTAGAAAACGGCGATGCTGGTAGGAACGAAGGGAAGGAAAGAAGAGAGGGGAGGAAGGAAGCTAAGGGAGAATGGTAGCAAAGGAAGGAGAGTGGGGGGGAGGGTGGGTTTTGATGACTGGCAAAGGAAGAGAGAGTGGGTCGACTAGGCTGAGATGGGCACTCTACTCCGCCGTCTATTCTAGCGTACCGTGCAGTCGGTACCCTATTCTGCATTAGGCAAAGTGTGCATGCAAGTGTCCTAACAATATTGCATGTCTGGCTGCTCTAAGCATCTTTTCCCTATCCTCCTCAATAATGTTGGTTTGGGACGGTGGTGGCAGTAGTGGTGGTGTGTATTCGTCTGACATTTTACAAGTGTGAGAGAGCTTAGGGCAGGGCATGATTATATGCTTGTATTGCAGTATATTGTCTCAGTTCAAGTGCTACCGATGGTAATACATTCATTCTTATTTTCTTTGTGGAAATTGCTGTATAATACAACTTATTATATCTCCTGCAATTCTTAAACCATCCCTTGGCGGCCTTGCCAGGCTTGCTTGCAGATGCTCTCTATCATGTGACTCTCTTTGTCCAATGCGGCATCTGGCATGGGTGGCCAGGTTACTCTGTGTGACGCTGTGTCGTTGCAACAGCATTGCCTGTCTCCACATCGACCATGGTGGTGCCTGGGGTACGAGGAAGAAGGCCCCATCCTCTGAGAAGACCGACCATGCCGGCTGAGAAACTCTGTAAATCTCCCTTCATAGTCTCCATTGCTAGGTCTACTCTCGCCATGAAATCATTAATCTTGCCCATCGCAATGTCGACCTTGGTAACAAAGTGCTCGAGCGTGTCTAGTCGAGACATAACAAGGGGCAGAAGCCTATCCTTTCGATAAGCAATCCAACACGGTGTCTCGGCAAAGCTGCTTACCTTCTTGTTTCCCCATCCTCGTTAGTAATAACTACTTCGGGCGGGGTAAGTGGGTAAAGCGTCGAATCTGGTGGTGTTAAAGGTGTGCTTGTCGTTGTTGCCGTCGTTGTATCTGTATCCGTCGGGAGATCTGGTAGTCCGATGGGGCTTGTCGTGTCCTCTATTTCGGCCAGCCATTCGTAGAGGAAGTAATACCCATTACTGGTCTCCTCATAAACGGAATTGGTCATATTGTCAAAATTGTGGTGGTAGTTTAATGAATCAAATTCAAATGTCTGAGTCTAATTCTAGGTTTTAGTGTGCCTCCAACAACTAGCTACTTCAGTGACCTGTCCGCAGTCCCCGTGGCATATTTGTAGACAGAATCGCCTCACCTACCCCTTCATGGTCTGATCAAGAGTCGCATTCCAGCCATCCCTGGGCTGTGCATGCCTACCGAGATGGTGGTGGCCATAAGTGGCTATAAGAGTCCGATCCTATCCTTAGATCCGCAAAGATCCACATAGAAACCCACCTCCTGACGGTATTGTTGGTGATAGTTGAGTACGTTGCTGACCAATAACAGTCTAGATGAACAGGCAACCCTCCCTTCCTTCAGTAGTCTACCCTCCGTTTTTAGAACCACACTCCCCCCGCCCCCCCCTCCTTAGGCGTATCGCTCTGGCACTATTCTATACGAGAGCACGGTATTGGCTAGATCGACGGTGCCCCGGAAGGGAGGAGGGAAGGGGAGGCGGCGTCTATCCCTTCAGCAGGGTTGTCTGTCTTTCTGTAGCAGCGTGCTAATCTGATCACAACATGCTCGGTATAGCAAGACACAAAGTCTGGAGGGAATCTAGCCCCCAACCTTTCCAAGTAATGGAATGCCGGTGTTTATCCCTTCTATGCCGATAGGCCTTTTCGTTCATTCTCCCTTCTTTCGACTATTATTAATCTCAGATGTGCCGGACAAGACTGTCGTATGGTCTCTATATGGTATATTCCTAGTTGAGAAAATCTTGGACTTTGGTTCTCTTGGAATTCTGGACAAACTCACCATTTCAGTTTCACGCTTTACACCCTCTTTCAATCGAGCCTGATCTTCTACAAGAACCCGTCCCGCTACCCCTTAGCTATGTCGACTATCACCCCAGACCGTAATCGCAATCCAACGTCTACCCCGGATGGATCGTTTCGTCTCGAGGGCAGTGATCCCTCTTCGGAAAGGGGAAATCGTACATGTCAAACCTGTACACAAGTTCGCAACGAGATGGCGCGCCTGATGCAAGACATACGTCAAATTTTACCTCAGATTGACGAGATGATTGGTCTTTTGGAGCGAGACAATCACTGCCGCAACTCAGATGTCGTAAGTATTAGCTACCTTCTTGGGAATCTTGTGGCCGCTAATCTTGGGTAGCCTCCCTTCTCACTTAGTCCTATAGCCGAGTCGACCGAGGAAGGAGCACATCGACAACTCTCGCAATCCTAGAGGCCACATCGCGAGATAAAGAAGATAAATACGGAATACTGTTCAAACACTATATATCCTAGAACCCATTGATTGAAATTGATTTTAATTGCCTTATGACTGATAATGGTATTTTTTGCCGTCCGTGTCCTGGTTTTGTATCTTTATCAACGGTAGTACTTGGCCTTATAATAGTTTTTAATATCTTATAATGATTATAGTTAAAAGCTAGAAAGCGTATACTTGCTGATCCATAACTTAGAAAAAATAAAGCTTAATAATTACTTATGATATTATATAAGAGAACATCTCTTAGTTCAACTCTAAGGATTTAATAAAGGTTATACATAGTAATCAATTCCCAGACGGTATCCTTTAAGTTGCTAGTAATCCTCGTTATTAATACAGACCATTCTAAAAAAAATAATCCTTAGTAGAACTAAAAAAAACTTTCCGAGCTAACCAAGATACCAGCAATGCTGTCTATATCTTCAAAGACAGTCTCGTTATCAGAATCTCCCTCTCTAGCAACCTGCTCTCCGGCTTCGTATGCTTCCATAAAGACCCCGAGAAGCGTTCGTACGCCGTCGACCGCCTCCTGGTGAGAACATGGTCAAGAGAGCCTAACATAACAGTACATATCCAGTGTTGATGTTGACCGGCTATATTCCATGCAGGCGTCTAACTGGTAGGGACGCAGATAGGGAACGAACAGTACTTTTGGGAGAAGGCTGCGACATGCGTGAATGACTGAAAAGGCTACCCGCTCCAAAACCATGCCATTGGCCTCGATGTCGACCATATCGAATCTGGTGAGCTCCGAGAGATAATCCTCTTAATCCCTGGCGGGGACAAAGACTTCGGTTGCGTGCCTGTTTCGATAGTATGAGAGAAGGGCAAATATGTATACGGCAAAATCACCGGGCGTTAACTCGTCGAGCATGGTATCGGCGATGGCCATGCCGAAGGCCCGACCGGTGCTACTCGAAGCCCATGCTCGGAGATGTCTAGAGGGACTTGGTTTGTTGGCCTCGAGGCATAGATCTAGAGGATTCTCGATTCTAGCAAGGTAAGTGGCCGCTTTTGCATACCTTTTCACCATCCAGAAAGACTTACAGGAACAGAGGATAGTCCATCTCGTAGGAGGCTTGAATGATGATATGTAAACATTGAATCTTGGGAGCTTGGGGATTTGATGTACAGAATCTCAACAACGAATAGAATACTTGTCGTTACAGAAATAAGTGCTTCAGATTCTATGTCAGGCCCTCGTCAGAGTGCAAAGTTGACAGGATGGGAGGGAAAGTATGTGAGGTAAGGTTCGGATAACAAGTATATCGCTTCCTAAGCCTCTCTCCTAGAAGGGGACATCTACCTCTACTTATACTGTACTTCTAACCCGGTTGAGCCCTACGGAGGCGACCTGGCTTCTTCCTCGCATCTCAGCGCCCGAATAAAACCAGGGGTTATGACGTGGGATCATGAGAGGCGTGGTTATGTCCGCATACGTGGGGCTGCAGATAAAAGGGGGTATATAAATTTTCCGGAGTGTCAAAGTACATAAGTAATATTCAAACTTACTAGGGGGTCACTGGTCAGTTTTAATAGTTATGCTGTATTTATATAATTTTTACCTTTTTATTTCTATATGGGATATATTATACAGGCGAGATGCTATAGCACAGTTTTAGGCCTAAGATATTACTCGAATATTAAATATAAGCAAGCTAACTTTACGAGAATCTGATATTATAAAGGGGAATAGTGAAGGCCTTTAAACTTGAAACAAGACCTTTAGCTTGGGTAGTTGGAAGCAGAAGTTTCTTGAAGCACGTCATATTTTTGGCCTAGTAAGTCAGCCTTCTGGGCTGCCTCTCCTAAACCTCTAAGCCGGCAGGCCGTGGCTACTCTTTTAGAAGCATGAGTTTGGTTAACCCATATAGCTAATATAGGAGCACAGGCGGTTGAAGGATCGGGAGGGGGCTTGCTGGTGGGCGAAATACAACCAGAGCACACATTATCCTCCCCTTTTTGAGAGCCTAGCGGGTAGCTGTAGCCCACACCACTCACTTCTTAAAGTGGCGGCAACTATTTATATTTGCTAATATAAATAGCTCTATGTTTCTAGGAACTATCTAGAGCTTGCTATCAAGTAAAACAACAACTAGACATATAAGCAGACCTAGACAAGCTTACAATATTCAAAGGACTATTTTATTATTGTTGCTATTATTACTATGCTCATCACTTTAGTATTCACGTGGTTTTACGCCGCTTGGCTGACCATTTTTGTCGTCTTGTTGGTTACGCGGTTTTACTACACAGGGCTACTAAGAGCAAGCCAAACCTACCAGCTCTTGATTGCCTTTTCTATCACCCTTTTACTATTCATATTCATTCTGGCTACGCTTCTTACTTTGAATATCATTACTCGAGACATAATTTCTGCTACAATCAGCATCTCCATAACCTATATTATAGTGCGTCAACTGGTATCTGCTCTGGTGCTTTAGTACTGACAGCAGGTCTAGGCGCTCTTATGTGGCGATAGTACGAAAAGACTTGCGTATGAAGCAATCGCTTCCTGGACAACAGAGTTGCGCACTAGTGGGCTTCTGTTGTCCAGTGTCTTAATATTGTTGGAGGTAGTTGGCATCTCTTTTTTGGTTTACGATTCGACCACGAACCAGGCAGCAGCTCGAGGCCTCATCATTATCGTCGTAGCATCTTTCCTTGCAGCAAGTTGGATGGTTACATTATGGGTATTCGGGTTCTATAAAAGCAACGCCACCATCCAAGCATATCATCTGGTCACGATTTCCGCGATGTGCTTGCTTCTCGTCGCCCACGTCCTCCTACTCGCCCTTTTCTATACACATATTCGGTATATCTTATGGGGGGTATTAAATATATGGGCAGTTATGCTTGTCTCGTTGCTTGAAGCCCGCGCTCTATACAATATTCGGGTTCGAAATGCGTCTACAGGGTCTATAGAGCTTAGTCGGTTATCATAAACTTGTCCGGTTTATGTAGCACCTGCCGGACCCTATCCGTTGTTACGATCTATTGTTATTGTAGCTTATTGCACGGACCTAGCGGAAGGATGCAAATCTTCTACTTGAGGTGTGGTTTGCGGCTACCGAGGATTTGCTGCGGTCACGAGCTAAGCAAGGAGTCTGGATTACGTGATGAAATCATCAGCAGCATCATGGTTCATGAGAAAGGCTTACGATAAGACGGGCCAGCTAACGGGATAAATAAAGGAGGAGATTTCTATATGTGCTATAATGTTATATTAACAACAGAGAGCGGCCTTAGAAAGGATGGTTTAAGTTAAAAGCATAAAGGTTTTAATAAAGTATTATTAGGGATTAAGGACACTCTATATGAGCGTTACTGTTCTATTGAACGCTTAACACCTTGTACAATAGACTGTAGCTCTGTTGTAAACTTGTTATTTCTGCCTTGCTTCTCTTGATACATACCATGTTTCCGTTTCCTGTTTGGACTGATCAGACCGAGAGGCTCCCGATTAGAAAGTTTAGCTCGCTCAAAGTCCACAATCATGACACGACCGTTATCAGCATCGTACAGTATATTGCGTGGTTCAGCATCCCCATGGAGAACATGCAAACTGTGAACCGCCTTGAACCCCGCGCTAACTGTGTCGACGATGGCGGCCTTATCAGCCTTGCTGGACAGATCAAACAGAGGCCGCCCAGCCCAGCCGAGGAACAAGAAATGTACAAAAATACCGCCGTCGTAATAATACGGCAAGACCAAATCCACCTTGCCAAGACAGACGGGGACATATTTTCCCTGAATAGTACGTAACTGATCGTACACTTTTTTCTCATGCTGTAGACGGTCTAGGTGGGCGTGCTCTACCCCCTTGGCGACAAGAGTATAGCCATAAGAAGACAGGCAGACTTTAAAAAGCGCGCCGACAGACCCGGATAGGTAAAGTGGCATGGCGTCGGCATCCAGGCCACGATCTCTGGCTAACTGGGCTCGGATCAGGGTTTGAAACTCGGACAGGCTGATGTGCTGTCGTTGATGGTCACCAATATTGGGGCATCCGCCATCCATGGGCCCGCCGCTCGCTAGTCCTGATAGACACTCCTGGGTGCAGAAGGCCCGGTCCTGAATTCTTGTCTGTGTTTTTTTCTGGATTTGTTCCTTGGCTGTGCCGCTCGTACCGCCTCCCCCACGACCACCCCGCTCTGCGCCCTTAGCTGCAGCGCCCGTCGAGGCAGGTGCCTTTTTAGAGGAACGCAGCAATCGAGACGTGGATGGGGAAGGGGGGGGTTCCTCGTCCTCGCTCTCGTCCTTGTTCTGGAGGCCGGTATTGCTGTCTTCTAGTCGACAGCGGGAGCGCGTCTTGATGGGCGAACGTGTGAAGCCCTTCCAGCGTTGAGCCCTGTAGGGAGATGCCCTGAGCGCTTTGCGCTCGGTCTCGGGAATGTCTCGTAGTACGTCTTCGAACTCGACAGCCCAGGTGTCCAGGCCTTCTGCGCGGTCGTGCCAGGCCAGGGGCGGCGGCCGGGAGCGAAGGGCCTGGAGCACAAAGGCGAATACTTGGGCGACGGCGGTGCGATGAAGCCGGTTCTCGTCGTCCTCCATGACATCCAGGTTCGGAACGCAGACAGAATAATATACGATGGACGGGTCGTCGGGGATATGCAGGAAGATAAACGTCTCTCCCGTACACACGTAGCCGTATTGAATGTCTTTGTCGACCATGTAAGAGAACAGTTGAGTGATAACGGCGGCAGTGAGGCGCCTCGACGCGAAAGCGAAGCCTTTGCCGTCTTGGTTAATCACGTCACGTCCTGGCTGGATTTCCTCTCTCAGACCAGCAACGACCTCGTCCCTGGTCAGCTTGTGCGGCGCCTTATACTCGATCGCAAGCGCTGGGACATTTCGGCCGTCGGATCTCCTATATATGCAGAACTGATCGGCAGGGCCCTTCCTGCCTCGCCCGGCCCTGCGACGAGCTCGCTTCGGGGCCGGGGTCGTGGCGTCGGCGCCGACTTTAACGTCCTCGGTCATAGTCATCTGCTCGATGGAATGGGAGACTGCGTCGACCGTATCACCAAGGTTCGTGTGGCTCTCGAATGTGACAGATCCCAGGATACCGAGGCGGGCACGGAGCTGCTCATCGTTGTATGCCTCGTCGACCAGCTTCTGGACGGCATTCTCAACCGTGTCACGCTCGAAATGCCGAAGGCCCATCTCGCTAGCAATGGGACGGATCAGGGACGCGACATAGTCGAGCTGGTGCGAGGATGGGAAGACGGGGTCCGAGCAGAAGGGCTGGTGAAGTGACAGCCGATCCCAGATGTTCTCCTGTCGCGTTGGATAATCGTCCCACGGAACGATGCGTCGAGGGTAGATGCGGCCGGTCGGGTTGGTGGTATCGCCCTGTGTGGTCAGCGACTTCTCGGTCACTACCTGGATAGCAAGGCTAAGTGAGTGGCAGGCCTCGAGATATTGTGGGAGCGCCTGTGGTCTTGACTTCTCGTTGCGCTTCTCCTCTTCTTTGCGTTTGCGTTGTTCTTCTTTTGCAAGTTCCTCGGCATTCTCGCGTCTGCGTTGCTCCTCTTCACGTCTACGTTGCTCCTCTGCAGAACGTTTCTCGGCTGCTTCAAGCAACGTGCGCAACCTGGCAACCTCATCACCCATTAAAGTGGTAGTACTGCAAAACAAAAGGGTCGAGATAGTGATGTTCTGCTATGGACGGGATATGGATAGGATAGGGATGGGGATGGGGATGCGACGTGACGTGACGTGACGCGATGTGGAGCTTTCTATCATTCTGTCTCTGCACCGGTACGTACTTTTCTCTTATCCCATGATTGGCTAGCTGCATAAATGCTTCTAAGCCTAAGCACGCCGTCTATTTATCATTTGAGCCTAACGCGGGGTAATGTATAAGTGCTTTCGGCTCATCCTGAGCCTCCATTTGCCTTCCTCTTTCCCCAGTTTACTACTCTCTCCATCTAGTCGGCCGCCCTAACTCAATATCTACTAGAGTCAGGGGCTAGATCGAAATCATGAGCTACGATTTTAAGTGCAGCACATGCGATAAGGTCTTCAGCGCAGGGGCATAAGACAGAACCAGTCTATAATATTTCTACTACCTAGCTAGAAAAGACTATATTGTAACTAAGAATTGATCGCCTGAAATTAACCCTCAAATACGCCATTATATATCCAGGCCAGCCCGGAATTGCTAATCCAGAGTCGCCAAGCTAACGCTTAGCAGCTAGATCCTCGGCTAAGGTGCGGGAAGAAGTCTGCTCATTATCTCCCTCTGCTGCTTCCGGTCTTCGCGCGCTTCTTCCTGTCCTCTGATGAACAACTCCACGAGCTGATCAAATTTCCTCGTTAGCTCTTGTACACCACCATCCTCTCTCTGTGGTGCTGGGAGCCCCTGGAGACCACCACTGTTCTGCAGTGTTGGGAATCCCTGGAAACCACCGTTTTGCAGTGCTGGGAATCCACCATACTGTATGCGAGGCCGCAGGTTATAATGGGCAGCCTGCCTCGGGGGTGGATAAGTGAGTCGAAGATACTTGGAATCGTTTGCCGGGTCTGTGGGAAAGCCCAAGGCTGCCCATTCCGGAGTGATCCCCTTCCCGACCAAGAATGAATCGATGTATTTATCTGCCAAGCTTGTTCCTATCCACTGGCGAAACGTCGTCCTCGTCATGATCTCCGGCTTCCCCGAGTCGGTATGTGTCCTGACCCAGACATAGGTGATCGGTAGCCGGTCGGACCGCGAGCTTCCCGGCACCCACGTAACGCCGATGATCTCTACGAACTCAGCGGCGGGCATCGTGGCGTACTTGGCGGCATTCTGTCCGATGTTGTTCTTCTCGTCCTCGGGCAGTTGATGGTATGCCAATGCGGCTGCATCGCCAATCTCGCTACCTCCCGCGACCTGGAGTGGGTTGACGCCTTCGACCTTCACGAAGACCCTGAAGCCGAGGATGATCGTCTCCCCCGCCATGACTTTGCTCCGGCGCTGGATGGGCATATAGCCCAAGATCGGATCTCCTAGGATCGTGAAGCCGGGACGTAACGGCTGAATCTGTCTGTTGCGATTCTGGGCCGGGGCATCTTCCATCTCCTCGTCGTCGTCGTCCTCGTCGTCGTCGCTCTCGCCCGCGTACTCATCTTTGCCCTTGTCCCTGCCCTCGTTTTCCGGGGCTTTACTCCCCCCGCCAGACGTCGGGCCTGCATGGCCACCTGTACTCGTTTGTGTTTCTGGGGCCATCTGTTGCTCCCTAGGTAGGCCGATCGATTCTAGTTTCCGGCGCAGAGGTTCTATGAGTAGCTGGGTCCAACCCTCCGGCCATTGATAGAGCCCTCTTTGGCGAGTCTTTATGAAGTGCTCCTGTAGCCACCGTATTTCTATCTGCACCCTGGCGGCATTAAACACCCCTAGTTCGAAACTGACCGCGATTCGTCTCTGCGCATACTGGAAGAAGAGGAGTCTTTGTCGAGGGACTTCATACATCGTAAGAACAGTCCGTCTGCGGTTCTGGTTATCTTTTTCGATAACCTTGTTCATCTTATCGATCGTATCTAGCATAGAAAGGTTGATGGTCCCTTCGAGGTTGTAAAAGAAGCCCTTGATGCGCGAGGTCATTCTGCTATGCATTCCCTGTATTTGTTTACTGGGTGGCGGGTAGTCCTTCTCGTCGTCGTCCTCGCTGTCCTCTTCGCCGTCCTCTTCGAGGGCGTCGTCGTCACTACCATCGTCTTCGTCAAACGCGTTCGGACTGAATTCCTCGCCGAAGGCGTCTTCCGCTTTGGGGCGAGGTGTATGCTCCAAGAAGGCATTATATCTCTTCCGCTTCTCCAGGTCACATAAGACATCCTTGGCATCATTGACGGCTGGGATACTGCATTAGCCTTAGATCTTGGTCAATGTGAGTCCTGTTACATACCCTGAGCACACTCTTGAGCGGACGTGTCTTTGTTTCTGTCGGGATGAATTCCTGTAATAATAGCCTTCCAGGCAGCTGTAATTTGCTTTTCTGTAGCATCTTGGTCTACACCAAGTAATTCATAACTTGTAGCCTTTTGTTTGATCAGTTTAAGGATGCGATTTACCCTCTTACGCTGTGCCTGAGCGTTTGTTTCGGGGGCGCTGCCCTCTTGGGCAGCGACTCGGATAGGCAGAAAGACATGATCAATAATATGATCGAAAATCTCGCCTTTGTGTTTATCGATCAGTTTTCTAATCTCATTTAACTTGTCTTCCGAGACATTAGGGCCAGAGTGTTGCTTGAATTGCTGCAGCAGGTGACGATATATTTTTTCCCAGTGCTGGTCTGTTTTGAACCTGTCCCTCTGAGACTCTAGCGAGCCGGGGTCAACTCCATTGATTTGTGGTCGCCACTTGTCGGCCAGTTGAGGGGATACTGTCGCAAGAGCCCAGCGCAAGGTCTGATCACAGCCGACAAGCACTTCTCTAGGCTTATGTTCTCCGTTTCCTATAGTGTCGTCGGCATCATCATCGCTGTAGTTGCTTTCGGTGTCGCTGATGTTAAAGGGCTCCCTTGTTTGTACCAAGTCGTCCGAGACAGTTGCCGGAAGGGGCTTTGAACCTGAATAATTGGCCGACATTGTTGACATGATAGGATGGGGAGGCTTGATAGGAGCTGGGCTTGTTGTTCTTTAACCTTCCGACCTCGAGCATTTAACAGCTTTTATACTTCTAAAGATACCATGCCATTATTGCTGTAGTCATAAACGGACCATGTCCGATTCTGGCCTCTACTTTTTTTTAGCAACAAGTATGCGTGGTGCGAAAATAGCGTTCAAGTTTTCTAACTTTTCCTAAAAGCACTGGCAATAAAAAGTCTGCTCTGATAAACCCACCTAGAGCTTCGCGCTGACGAGAACGCTCTTCCTACTCCCCGAAGTCAAAAGCGAATCTTCCTGTTGCCAGCTGCAATCTATCCCCCCCCAGCTATGTCTTCGGGGTCTGCCCAGGAGGCTGGTCCTCGATTCCTCGGGCGTGGTCTCCCCGGCGGAGCGACATCTAGCCACGTTCCTCAAAACAGTCATAATACAGACGGCTGCCCCGCACGGGAACAGAAAGACAGCTATACCTTTCTCCAACAGGAAGTGCGCCGGCTGAGGCGACAGAACACTTCCCTCGAGAACGAGCTTCGAGAACAGCGTACCAACTATAACCTGCTTGCCGGCGATATGCTTCGTATTTGCGACGAGCTCCGTCAACTGCTAGACGAACGCGACCGCGAACGAGCACATGATGTCAGGGGTACAGGGCCCCAAAATTTGTCAGGGGTCTTGCGGAATCGCCAAGACGTGAAATAGCAAGGGTCTGTCAACTTTTGGCCTATTTCAACCACATCCATTTCTTATCTTGACTCGCTCAATCGCGGCAGGGCGGCTAGCTATGTTGTACAAAATCGGACACCCAGTTAGGGTAAGAGTAGGGGGCAGATAGTGGAGGGCAAGAGCAGGCTGTTTATTTTTATTTTCATTTTTTTCTCGCGCACATATGTGCTTTCGTCAAAAGCACGCGTCAACACGTATAGATAGGCATATGAACATAGAAATACGCTATATCTATCTATTCGCTCTTTACTAAAAGTATCAATTGGTACGCAAACTTTTACCCAATCGACCAAACTATCGCCAAGATGCAAGGATTGTCTATAACACTTAGATGCCACCTGGGCAAGTCTCAACGCCCGCCAAGACACACCCCACTCCGTCCCTCAAAGAAACTTAGCATACTTGTAAGAAGCCGAGCGATTAGGGGACTCTCTGGGGCAGGAGCTCGAATACGTTATGGGAAAGCCAGGACTTGCTCTCACAAGCTTCCATAGAGGACAGAGAAGTCACACCTAGCTTCTTGGCCAGACCTCGCGACACCGATAGTGCAAGTCACTAGACTAGAGAGAGAGTAGGAGATGAGCGGGCGGCATCTAAAATAGGCTCTATTTATTTACTTCGACGTGAATTGAAATCTAAGTTGCGGCTAATACGCAGGGCGGCACACGTAGACCATAGCGTGGAACTCATGCTACCTAGAGGAATGCTTGCATTATATATGCGAAATTAAGCATTTCGTAGTTTGGAAGCAAATCTAACGAATCCTAGCTGTTACATGTACAGGTCTACACCAAAGTACCTAAAGAAAACCGCCTGCTCTCTTTGTAAAGGGGCCAGCTGGCTAGGGCTGAAAATCTAATATTTCTGTTCGGATATTCTGATCCCCAAAACTCTGGACGACTTCTACGACGGCTCGGGTTGTCGTCGCATGAGTACACACTGATCAGGGTTATTGATTGCATATAAGACACACGACGTAAGGCTTACATGAAACGAGAGTCCTCCCCTTGCGTTGCGCGATCTCGGAGGCGATCAGCTGGTCTGCACGCATCGCCGCGTAGGTTAATGTGATGCGGCCGTGCGTCCCAAGCTTCTTGACGGTACTCTCAGACGCCCGCCGGGAGAGGAAACGGCCTGGGATGTATAGCTGCATGTCGAGAATCTGCCCACGTATCAGCGTAGCTAACGGTGCGCATCCAGACATGCATACGTAATCTTTATCAAGTGCTAGTAGTTCATCCATCCAATCCTTTACCCAATACCGATGCACTGTTTACGTTAGCATATCTTCTCTCCCAGCTGAAAGGAAGGGGTACGATCTGTTACCTTCCGCATCCAGCTCCCAAAATAAGGCGACCCGTCGTGTCTTAGCCTGGCAGTCTTGGTATAGTTCGAGCAGCTCCTTGACGTATGGCAGCTGTCCGGCGATGCCGACCCCGGTGGCGAGGAGCAGGACCGTCCCATATTCGCCGAGCGAGAGGGACTTACCATAGGGGCCTTCGATGAGGGCCCGGTATTTCCGGGGCGCCGGTCCCAACAGCCTACTAGTGAAGCCTCGCCGGGGTTGGGCAAGCAAGACGATCACCTGCTGGTCGCTCTCGTCCCGGTATGCCCAGCAGATCTGGAACGGGTGCGACTCAAAAATGGAGAGGGTCGAAAGACGCCATAGGCTGAGGTAGATATACTGTCCCGCCTTAAACCGCAATGGACGGGCCAGTCGTACGCGAACCTCCACGCCGCCGCCTTGTTCTTGGACTGTGGCCACGCTGCCGCCGGCTGAGAAGGATATGCTCAAGTATAGAACGTTGAGCAATCGGCCAACTTTGGTCGAGGCGAAGATGAAGGAGCTGAGAAGGAGGTAGAGACGCGGTCCTCTTTGGAACGACGAGGGGGGCAGATGCAACCAGATGGCGACCAAGGCGGCCGTGACCAGCAGCGTGTGAATATAAGTAAACAATTCGAACATTCGGCGTCGAATCACGGGGACAGAGAAGACGGCTATAGCCCCGATGGACGATGACGCCTATGAAAGGTTAAGGAGTATATCAGCGCTGGCCTGGACCTAAGACTTACAAGGATCCCGGTTACATGATGGGATGGGCCGTCGTAGCCTGTTTGCTTCACGGCAAGAACTGTGTGTAAGACGACCTCGACGATAACAACGGCCGCGAGCCAGGTGTGCAACCTGGCATAGCGTTCGTAGTGAAACCCGCAGGCATTGGCGACGTGGTTCATGTGTGCGCCCAGGAAGGTCGGGACAAGGTTGATAATAGCCACTTGACCGAGACGTCTGATCAGCTCGGTAGTATCATTAGCGGACCCGATGACAATGGATAGTATATTCACGGCCAAGAAAAGACAAAACATAATCGCTTCATATCCGAGGATAATTCTCCGCCCACATAACCAAACGGGGAGCAGAAGTTGCCGGAAAAACCAGAGATGATCGTTTGCGCGCCCGCACAGAATTCGAATCAGGGAAAAGGCAGGGTAGGCCAGCAGTAGGATAAAGCCCAGGCCTACATAGAGCCCATAGTACTCCGTGGGCTCCAGAGAGACGAGTGATCGGGGGTGGACAAGAGCTAAAGACATGTCTGCAGGCGTGTGTACTATGTGAGTGGATGGGGACAGAAGGACTGAGACGATGATAGAGAGATAGAGGAGCGAAGAGATGACTCTTCTCAAATGGCAATCCAGCGTGATGGCCAGGCCTAAGAGACAGATCCGTCCCCATGCTGTAGGACCGCGAGTACAGAATCGGACACAGTCGGAGAAATTATTAAAGTCGTCAAGTTAACATAGCCATTCGTCACGCTTTCTAGCAAAAAAAAAAAAAAAAAAAGCGCGTAGACTTCACACCTTTCTAACAATAGTCGCCACTAAGCGAGTACTCGACTAATCGCAGGCCTCTCCATTATTTTTTATCATCATTAACAACAAAAACCACTACACTACCACTATGGGCGACACCATAGCTGCTGGGAATCACGAGGTTCGGGACCTCGATGGCCCCTCAGAAACCATTCTGGACTGGGCTCTGCTGGTCGGCTCCATCATTTTCCCGGAAATATTCTCGCCGCTTGGTCGGATGGGCGTCCTCAGGAACCCTGCAACAGGAGCAGCGGCGCAGCTCGCCATCCGTAACATTCCGCGTCGCTACCTTGCCGGATGTTCCTGCCTGCTGCTCAGCTTCGGCGTGGTTTGGCTGTGGTGGACAATCCGGTACAACTACCTCTGGCTGATTGCCCGCGTTTTTGTGTAAGCCTACACTATCTCTCTACTATAAACGCTACTGACCTCCCTATTTAGGGCCCTGGTCTACTCATTCCGGTAATCGCTTGTCACCGGAAGCAGTCCAGTAGGCATACGTGAGATGTCTCAGCACTTCTCGTGATACTAGAGGGGTTGGTCGCTCGGCGCAAATAAGCATGCTGGAACAGACGTGAGGCGGGGTCTTTCGTGTACCGCAATCATCATATAGATCAAATGTGTACTTTACTTGCCGCCGATAATAAAGAGCACATTAAACAAGACCGCTGGACGATTCTGGACACCCGTCTAAATATAGCATACATTAAGAGATGTCATTTGATTAAGCGCCCGACATTTTTATCTATAAAAATGAGCGACTTCCTAGGAAGTCGCTGCTTATATAATACAACGTTGGGGAAAGTAGGATAGGGGAGCTCTATAGCTAGTAAATGATAAGATAAGATAAGGGGGTAAGTTACATTGTATACATTCCTAGAGCTTTGACCACCTTTGCCTACCTTTGCATCTTTTTCCAGTCCAGATTGCCTGCTCCTTTGTTCGCCCGAATCCTGCCTATCATGCTGTCATTCATGGGGTGTTCCAAACAGACGCCCAAGAAGCCCGCCTAGATGTTTGATCACGGGCTTTAGGACACCTGCTGGCTGCTGTCTCGTTTCGCGAAGATCTGCCCATGGCTCCCGGGGAGGCGATCCGTGACTGGCCACACGCTCAACTCGCGGGACTGTAGAGGTAGACTGGCTATCCGGAAGCTCCGAATAGACCGGTGGCGGCTCAGCGGCCGCTGGCGATATGCGGGGATAGGCTGCAGAAGAGGGGTGCATAATGCTATGCGCAATATGGGGATGGGCCCCACGGCTCCCTCGACCCCGGGGCCGAGCTTCGTCGGGCTCTTGAGGCCAGCCGTGATGATGATGATGATGGTGATGGATTTGCACTTCGATCACGTCCCCTCGGATTCGACATCGACGGCAGACGCCCTTGGCCTCTGGGTGATTGGGACCTGCGGGATACCGCCGATGGAAGCGTGTTGAGCGAGTGCTACCACATCTGGTACACCTATGTCGGTGTTTCTTGGAGAACATGACTTGCAGACAGTAATAGAATAGTTTGAGTCACTTGAATATGTGTGTGTGTGTGTGTGTGTGTGTGTGTATGCATCGGTAGACTTTTTCATTTCCTCGCCGAAAAAAGACTACTTAAATGCCCAGGTGGCCAGTTTCGTGCCTTCGCAACGCACGGCGCGTATGGCTGTTTCCAGCCAACTATAAAAATAGAAACAGAGACGAGCGAGCGCCAAGTAGGAGCACACACACATATATACAGGGCTGATATAGAAAGAGATGGGAAAAAACTGACAGCTGTCCTTGCATAGTTGTTTTGAAACATTTTACAATGGCGGCCTCTTGCTCTCACTGGATCTGGTCCTCAAACCACGAAACGCCCGTCATCGCGAAGTCAAACCGGCTGGAACGGTTGACCTCGTCGCTCCCCCAAGACGAGCCGGCACCGAGTCTCATTCTGATGGTAGGCTGCCGTCAGCGCCCACCTACCTGTCGTGGACCACGACCACGGCCGGGACGTGTATGCCTCGACTTGTGTGAGGAACGCGAGGTCCCTCTCCTACTCGGGACGGCAACGCTTCGAGAACAGCCCGCGATCCAGATCTCGTGCTGCCGCCCGGCTCGAGAGGCCTATCCTGCCGCGTGTACGTCGTCGGCCCAAGCCAATACTATTCTATACTCCCAGCTGCTTCATCCCTTTGCCGATATTTTTTGTTTCTATGCCTACGATCCGGAAGACCTAGAAATGATCTCCCAGCAAATAACCGCCTGGTTCTGGGAGGCCCCCCCCTCGTCACGTTGCGGCTACCCCCCGCAGGTCTTGATCGTGCTTGCCGGGTCTCGCTGGAAGCAGCGTGACGTGGACACGGCCGCGGAAACCTTCGACGACCTGGTGGACGAAACCGCGGCTCCAGCACGAGACGCCCATCTCCCCAAGGTATCTTTCCTACGACTACGCCGTGCGCGTCGCTTCAGCGCTGTCCTCCCATCGTTGGAATCCCGTGCACAGGCTGTCCGCCAAAACCGTCAACAAGCCCGGGCCCTGTTTTCGGTGCGGCATTTCAACGCGTTGTTCAACCGCGCTTTCAACAGGGTAGGCAGCTCTCTCGACTTCTCTTTCGACTGTCTTCGGGCGGCAAGGCAAGACTTGCCTGTCGCGCCCGACATGGCCTCTCATCTGATAAACTTTACGAAGCTCGTTCCGTCGGCCGGGCGGCTTCGTGACTTTGCCGCGCCGGTCATAGCGTCGAGCATCCTTCTAGATCAATATCCTCCCGAGATGCATCGTGGGTGCCCAAAAGCCATTATCGCTCGCAGGTAAGCTGATCGTTTCCATCTAGTCTTCCCACCTGCCGAGGTATTCCACAAGCTGTATGGCGCCATCTGTCGACAAGTCGAAGAAGCTGCTGGCAGTGAGAGGGATAGTGAGGACGGCATACCAACCCTAAACTCATTTTCAAATTGTGTTCTTGCCAACATGGAAGCTCTTTTCACACAGCTCGTTGAGGGTAGCACCGCCTTGTCCGTACACCAGGCCGTGTTCGCGAGATATGTGGAGGAGTGGCGTAGCATCCGGAGCAATCGGTCCTGCTTTACCTGTTTCGCATCTACGCCGCAGTACTTTCTCTCGAGGTGCGGGCATTCCATCTGCGAGAATTGCTTGAAGGTTTTTGGGCGGTCCGAGAGCTGGGACCCCTGGCTCTTTCATCTCCGCAGATGTATGCTTTGCCAGGCGCCGGCTGATCTGATCGTACGAGTTCGGCCTCCGACGGCGGGTCACGCTATCGTCTGCATCGATGGCGGAGGTGTCCGGGGAGTCATTCCGGCAACCGTGCTCGAGTTGATTGAGGACCGTGTAGGCCTCACGATTCCCGTGCAAGAACACTTTAGCTTCGCATACGGCGTAAGCGTTGGTATGTGCTGCATCGTAGCTCCAGGAGCTTGGACTGATCCCGCAAATAGGGGGCCTGGTAGTGTTAGGTCTGTACGACAGGGGCTGGTCGGCGGCGACCTGCGCCCGCAAACTAGAATCGTTGGCAGCGGAAGCGTTTCGCAATCCCGTTCCCGACCTTCTTTATTTGTCCGTTGTCATGAAGTGGATTCCCGATCTTTTTTATTCGTTCGTCGTTATAAAGTGGATTCACCTTATCTTGTTTGGATGCTTATACTCGGCGCGAGGGATCGAGACTGCTCTAAAAAGGGTATTCGGGGACAAGAAAATGGCGAGCTTGTCGTACGCTACTACTGTAGGGACGAGAGTGGGCATATTAGCCGCAAGCGTTGAACAACCGTCGACGAACCTCTTTACTAACTACAACGGGGTCGGGGATGCACGAGTTGGCTATATCGTACCGCGGGATTGCGACGCAGTTAAGACTTGGGAAGTGTAAGTGTCAAGGCATATGCCCCTTACGAGATCACGGGACATGCTAACGGTGGGCAGGGCACGGAGCACTTCTGCGGCCCCGATGTACGTGTTTCCCGACGGACGCGCCGGCTTGTAGCTGACAGATATCTAGGTTCTTCCCCCCCAAAAATATACCGGAGCTCGGGACTTTTCAGGACGGCGGTGTCCTACGAAATAACCCCACCATTGTGGGCCTTTCCGAGTTCTCGGCGCTCACTAAAGACGCCAGGCCAGACTTGATCATTAATCTTGGAACCGGATCGGAGCCTGAGCCCGAGGCCCGGAACGAGAGGCGGCTGCGATTCTGGCGCGACGGCTGGCTGGCGCGGCTCGCGCGGGCGTATATGTCTCTCATGCAGGGCCGGAGCACGTGGAACGATGCCGCGTGTCTGGTGAAGAGGGAGTCGAGACACATTGGCCACTATCGTCTTGACGTCGCGCTCGAGGGCGAGATTCGCCTTGACGACGTCTCGTCGATGCCCTTGCTAAGATCCGTGGTGCTTCGGGATACGGCCTTGGGAGAGACTATCGAGGAGATCGCCCAGAGGCTTTTTGCCGCTCTCTTTTACTTTGAACTAACTGCCCTCCCTACGCCGGTAGACTCTCGGTTCCACATCGAGGGACAGATACTATGTACGCGGAAGGCAGGGGACTCGGCATTACCGCAGATTTCACAACGGCTCAGCAGCTCTACGCTTTTTATCAACAAAAAAGCGATGAGATTTAAAGTAAAATATGACACCTACGGGAATATTGTAGTGCCACTCGTCTTTTTTGCCGACCAATCTTTCAGCTTGGAGATTAAACAGGATAGTTCGAGTTCACCGTTCCCCTTAAGTGGCTCTCCATACAATAATCCTGCCCTGGTTTCGCGTGGTAGCCTAGCGGCGTCATTTGGTACACGATCTCATAAGCGAAGACGGGCAGACGGTGAGTTGCGTGGACGGCCGTGTCGACGGAGAAGGCTCTTTTAAAAAGACATCTTGATAGCATACTGTAGCCACTATATAACTAATATAAACTTTTTAACACTGTTTAGTTTTCATCAATGTCCATTACATCCCCAGCCCTTCAAATGTTCATGTTGAGGTCTTCAAAGCTTTCATCAATCACTTTCTCATACTTGGAGAGCACACTGAACCGATTTGTCTCTTTGTCGTATGTTAACCCTCTTTCGGATTGAGCAATCTTGTAGCCGAGCCAAAGTATCCTTTCCTTTCTGACGGCCGTCATCGAAGCCATCTCAAAATATTTCTCATCGTCATCGATCTTATCGTCCGAAAACCAGTCCGACGGGTAGTACTGGTCGACGAAGAGAAGGCCCTCGAGTGCAAAATCCTCCGGCAACGGACAGGGCGGATCATTGCTTTCCCTCGGGAACTCAATGCTGTGGATCCGATCGTAGTTGTTATAGCCGGCGAGCAGTCCGTTGAGCATCAACGAAAGCAACTTCCATGGGAATAGATGCTCGAGATGATGAAACGCATTAGGAAGATGTACGAGATAACACATAAAAACCATAACAACGTGGGTATATGGTAATACGTTGACGTCATCCCACCGCTTGAAGACGACTTCATGTGTTCCCATGGCAAGGTAAAGGGCATCTTCGAAATCCCTGGACGGCTTTAAACCATCAGTTCCAGACCCTCCCACACCTTGGTCCTGTTTCTCATCGCTTTCACTGTGAATCGATCTCATGATTACATTATCTTTCTTGCTGTACGACAAAAGAGCACAGCAATTTGCGATGGCAATATAGTACCCAGCTTCCATCCAATGCTTCGCAATTCGGTCGATATGGTTGTCTAAAGACCTTAAGAACTCACTAGCATATTGGCGGAAGTTGTCTAACTGTTTATGACTAAACAAGATACCATGAGTCTTAACAAATGCCACATCAATAGGGATCAGACGGTTGTGTTGATAATTACGAACTTCGAGGATTGGGTTAAAGAGAGTCATGATAGACTCCTTAGCCGACCCAAACGGTATAGGCACACAAAGGCTTTTCGTGTAGTAGAAGAGTTGTTGAAGCGCATTGGGCCGCGCTAGAATGGCAAGGTAGTGGTAGAGGCGCCCCGTAGTTGGTGCTTTGGAGGCAGCCTTCGAGTACCAATGCCGGGACACTGACGTCCAAACCTCTTTATCTTTAATATCCTTATCTTCGATAGCCATCCTATTCGTAAAAGGTTAGAAGAAGGGAAAATAGATGAGCCCATGAACGTTACCTGTATCGTCCCAAATCACCTAGATATTCAATCCATATGTCTTCGAAAGCTGGAATGGTCTCATATAAAAGAGCCATCATAGAGTATGCCAAGTAAATGAATGTTAGCATATGCTCGAGAGACCCCGGCAGATGACGCCGTAATAACTCGAGGAAGCTCTGTATGCCATGTCGCCACATCCGTGCCGGCATAGAATATTTCGAAGCTAAGCGTTTTAACGCTAGACTTGCAGAGGGATGCTGAGACGCTAAGAAGAAGTCGTAATGCTCGTGCAGCAACGTACGATGCAGAGCTATCAAAGCTTGCCACTGTTCGTTATTTAATTTGGTATCATTTTGAGAAGATTGTGCATTATCCACCTCAATACACTTCGATTCAACCATCATCAGCCCAGCGTAGATGCCTTTAACTTCTGCCACTAACTGTTCCTGGCTGATCGGCCGGGTCTCCGGCTGCTTGATAAGTCGAAGGGATTCACTATCTTCCTTAGGAGCGTCAGCTGCTTTGGAAGTTGCCATATGCTTAAGTGGTTTAAATGATCTTTGCTTTGTCCGATAGGGCGACGAGGTAGAGTCTTCTTCTGGGTGCCATAATTTGCCCTGCTGAGGGCCTCTTGGAGTAAAGTCGGGGTCATGGCGGGCTCGGGATCTCCTAGGTGGACTATTCGACTGAGGCCTAGATTGTTCTACTTGAGAAGTGGCCGGAGATTTACGCCTCTTAGAGCTTGGGCCAGCTTCGTCTGTCATCCCTTGAGCCTCAGATGGGTTGCCACCTCCTGGATCTCTTGTAGACGAAGGGTCAACGCCCTGAGATCCAGGAATCCTTATCAACTCACATGCATTAGCTACCTCTGGTGGTGTTCAAGGGGGCAGGGCAATGAGTACATACCGTCCCTCCTTCACATCGCGTATAAGACTACTAATATCTTTTCCGCGTATGAATTCACTGTGTTTTGACTTGAAGTGCTCACGTATTCCATTATCAGTGGCAAGATAATGGTCTTCGCAGCCCACCATGGGGCACGTGAGCCGCGAAGACTTCCGTAAGTGACTGATAAATGAAGTCGAAATAGTTAGTTGCTCGGGACCCGCCATGGTCTCTCAAGTTTAGAAAGATAATAAGGTAAATAAGCTGTATGAGTTTATAGTTGTTGAAAATGGACAATAGAAATGCCAAAGATGAAGGACCGGAGAGTCGCCACGGGATTGGGTCTGTGGTATGATGGGCAGATCAAAATTTTAATGAGGGGATGTTTCCGGAGACACGCAATAATTGATGGACAGGTATTCAGTATCGAGCTTTCTCACAAATATCAGTAAAGCAAGGAGATTAAAATATCATCGAACTTAAGGAATGGGCAGCTTTATATTAAGCAGTCACTTAATCTCACAGGAAACCTAGAAGTAACCAACTAGAATACATACATAATAAGGCAACCAAAAAGCCTCGGGTGGGGTATGCGAACTACTTGGATAGTTCGCAAAATCTGTTAGCTATGAAGAGGATGGCACTCAATACTAGTTAAACGATTATTGTGACAGCCAGAACGAACTACGTAGCCATATCTCAGCTGTCGACCTGGTGATCTGCATCGACCAAAGTATTCTCACGCTAGTGCAAGGCAACAAAATAAGCTGCATTCCATTGTTGATAGCATTACGAGGCTGAAATAGACCTGCAAAAGAGGCATACACGTCACCAGGAACAGGACTTCCGACATGCGCTTAGATGGGGGATTTATAAGGACTGCACGATGTAACATCTGTCCGGGATTATACACTAGCGGAACTGGCCCGGAAGGATCGTTTCTGGGTATGGATAGCCTATATGATATACGAGGCACATCCAGCGGGGGTATTTGCATCAGGTGTGGTAGAGTTTGGTCCAGCGTTGGCAACCGAGATGTTGGGCACAAGTTACGTACTTACTCACTCTGCGTTAATCCACTCACCGCTAGTGGAAGCCCCGTTGTAGCTCCGCTGGCGATGGTCGTCTGCCGATCCGGATCCTGTTTCCATTTCCAAGGACCATGATTGGCAGAGACGTTAAAGGTTGTGTTAGATTCTGCCGTATCGTTTTACTGTCGCAGTCCATCGCAGCAGCCTAGCACCACAATGCACATGGCCGTGGATTTTGACCCTTTGGTAGGCAGGTATAGCCAGTTGCTTGGAAAGTCGTGGTTTTTTTCCTGAGAGACGTAATAGCTTGTGAATTGGAAGATCTCTTAGCTCGGGAAGACACAAGCCCCGACAGACAGTGTTGAATAGTACTGCCACAAAAGTCCAAACATGTCCACTGATGCTCATCGAGCGCAACCTTGTTACTTCCACCCCTGATTACAATACAGAACAACAGCGATTTGCTTCTTTCAGGTGGACCATGATCTAGAGAGAGCCAATCGCAGGTCAGCATGCCACGCAGATACTGCCGGTGTTTCTACCCAGGGGATAGCTCTCAGCCTTTCTCATACATGGCTATACTCGTCTACTAAATACTACCTTTTTCATGGTTGCACTGTGTACATGATCACTGATCTCTAGGCGTCATGAAGAGAACTGTGCAGCCGAGCCTTCCACAGCGTACAGAGCCGGTTAATTATAGGAGCTCTCTTCCTACGCTAATTGCCCGCCTGAACCCATTGATGCTGGCTGAAATATAATATCCGTTATATGGCCTTGTACATAGGTCCTTAATACGCGGCCCAGGGCGTGCTCGTCAAGCTATCAGCTCCGCTACCACCCATTGTATCCACAGTGCTGGGCTGAACGTTGTGGCTAAACGGCAACGTCTTACCCGAATTGATCCCGTCATTTCCCTTCGAGTCCTGTGGTATACACGCACCTCTGGTAGTTGTTGACATGGAGTAGTTGCCGAACACTCTCTCGGGAAGGGTTTGGCACTGATCTATCTTATTTAGGAGGCCAAATAAATATCTTATTGTCTTGGCAAGACTGTATGTCTAGCTACAAGGGAGGCTCGTCCGAATGTTGAATATATACGGAAAAGAAGGTCTTGCTTCATACTGATAATGATGCAACAGAGCTGTCAAGCATATATAATTACATAGAGGTTTGTTTTAACCAGAGACTAGCATATTTACCGTTTCTCGAGATTAGCTCCTGATGAGTGCCCTGCTCGATAATCTTCCCATTAGAGATGACGCAAATCATATCAGCATTCATAATTGTAGAGAGGCGGTGTCTAGTATCAAGTGGAAGGAATTAGCAGCGCTATGGGCCAACTGCGATAGGTGAAGACATACGCAGCAATGAATGTTGTCCGGGGTTTACAGACAGACTCTAGCGTTCCCCGAATCAGGTGCTCTGTATCCGCGTCCAGCGCGCTGGTTGGCTCGTCAAATAGGAAAATCTGTGGATTCATAAGAAGGACCCGAGCAATACCAATGCGCTGTATTTGGCCGATAGAGAGTTTCCTGCAAGACATGAGTATATGTTTCCCTATGACGGACCTGACCTGACGCTCACCCATTGCATCCTCCAACACGGGTCTGGTAGCCTTCTGGGAACGCCATAATCTGGTCATGTATAGCTGCCGCTTTGCACGCTTCATGGACCTCATGATCTGAGGCATCTCGTCGAGCATATCGAACATTCTCTAGTATCGTATTTTCGACAAGCTGCGGAGATTGTGGGACAAGACCTACAATCGACCGCAGGCTGGTGTGCCAAACATCCTCATTAGAATAGAACTTCAAAACGGGCTCGGAGTCCAGGAAAATACAGGATGCGGGACAACTCTCTCTCATACCTCTGCTGGGTGACGTGTCGAATATCTTGTCCATCAATAGAAATAGATCCTTTCTGACTAAGGTATGCTCGCAACAGAAGGCTCAGGATCGTCGATTTCCCGCCTCCACTCCCCCCAACAAATGCGACAGTACAACCTGCTGGAACAGACAAGTCAAAGCTGTCCAAGACACTTTTCCCCCCATCGTAACTGAACCCGACGCCCTGGAACTCTACCTTACCGGAGAAGAATCGCAATGGCTGAGCCCCTGCTGTGTCCGCGGTACTGGGCAATTGGTGTAAAATATCAGCCAGCCGTTCTAGCTCGGTTAGCTGTTGGTTGATTTCACGTCCTAGCGTGACGAAGAACCCAAGAGGCGCAGTGATTTGGCCCCAGTACGATAATAGAAGTACAAAGTCGCCCGCAGTAGCTTTTCTACTATGTATTTGGTATACGACCACCCAAATACTACTTAGTAGTCCAACTAACGAGATAAGGTACCTGATGGCTGATGAGATATCATGACTCTTACGTACATCTTTAGATGCGAGAAGACGAGATTCGAGAGCTTTGGAATGACTGGAGATCGCATGCTCGGTCTGGTTGAATAAAACAACGGTAAACCACCGTGAAATACCATGATGCTGTGATTTCTTTTCATCCGATCGTCTATACTATTCTATTAGCGTTTTGTCACAGAAAGAAGGTGGTATCCGAGCTCCATCAGGGTCCGATTGCCATGTGTGCAGGTTCACTTACCTTTCCCATGCTTGGCGCTGTTGATTCTTAGCAGACGAGATAGTATGAAGCGAGAACTTGATGAATGCTACCGTAGTTGCAAATATAATCAGGCCTTCGTACGGCCCAAACTTAATCGAAAGGTATGTAATAGCAATGATTAGATCAATCATAGTAGGTATGGCCTGGAAGCAGGCCATTTCTGCAATGTACGGAATGCCATTCCCACTCATCATGGCCATGTACAATTCGGTGGGATCCGTAGAATCGTGGAAGTCAGCAGAAAGGCACATGATATGTGAAAATGCTGCGGTGCTGAGTGCTTTCTCCCAATACTGCTCTACCCGTAGCCAAAGCATTCTTCGCATGAATTGGATGCCGGCTTCGGACGAGAGTAACCGAAGGGTCATGAATATAACAACCTGAAGCCAAGGGCTTTTTTCCGACGATGTGCCAAGAAAATCAACAAGAATGCCATATTGTCGGGGAATCAAAAGGTTAATCCCATTGTTGGCTAATATGCAGAGGCCTACAAGTCCAATTCGAATCCGGAGGCCGTGATTCTTCTGTGGCCAAATATATGGACATAGGATCATAAGCTTTTGGAACCGGCGAAGCCAGTCACTTTTCGATCCTGGGCGCATAGCACTGGTAGCCTCGATATCCACGCGGACAGAGCTTGACGACAGGTCTGGACTTGGGAGAAGTGGTGCCTCCTCACTAGGAGAGCACCTATGCCTTTGGTGATCTTGTCGGAGAAAGACCGAAAAGATGATGCCGAAAAGAGCGCATCGAATATATGCAAGAGATGCATGGAATAAGAGAAGAGTTTTTGAGTGATGAACCGTATGAGTGTCCTGACTGCTGATACATTGTAAAATAGCAGTTAAGATGTCGCAAAAGAAACCAATCGCCCAAGTACCGTGCAGCCGGTGCCATGTTATAACGGGAGATGCTCCCCTAAAAGATTGTGCAATGATACTGAACGTAAAGATACAGGAGACCAGGCCGAAAATGTCTTCCTGGGTTGGCCACAGACGCCAGAAGATGATCCCGGCAACACCAAGAACTCCATCTAAGCTGAAACACAATATTACCAGTAAAAGGAGCCGAGATACAGTGTTCTTTCGATGAGGGAGGTATATATCCGATGGGGGAAGACATAGTGCGATAGTTGACGCAACAATGAAGTAAAGAAGGGTGAGGAAAGGATATATGTAGCGTAAAACAATAAGCAACTGCGAAACGACGCCTCCTTCCATTGTCGAAGTGTATCTAGACACAGTTTCTTGGGGTCGATTTATAGTTGGGAAATGCAATGGTATATAGAGTTCAGCAAGTCGTACAGAAAGCATTCAGTCCAAGTCAACCGTTACGACGTAATTTTATAAAAGTTCTCTGCGGGGCTGCATTCCAGAACATAATAATATACTGTTTTCTTAGTGACCTCTGTATACATGTAGCCTGCATACAGAAAGAAGGCTGGAGGAACACAGTGCTTCATCTAGCGTAGATGGAAAGAAATAGCGCGCGAGGACCATGAGCAAGAATAGAGCTGAGTGTATCCTACAAGATACACTGTACATATACCCCTATAGAACGACAAATAATCAAGCAACTGACTGAATAACCCCCTCCCCCGCCACCATACCAATAATACCTGTCATACGCAAATTTCCTTTGTGTTGTAGCCTATGCACCTATCCCTGCTAGTACCAACGAGAAGATGAGCTGTATGATAACCCAACGTGAGTGTGTGTCACATATCGTTGTACTCCAGGAGATTAAGACCGATTGATAGTGTAGGAGGGTTAGGAAGGTGACTAACTAGTGAACATGGCAAGCAGCAAAGTACATGGGCAATGGTGATGAGTACCAGTGCCGGAAGCACGCCGAGTAGGATGGCGGAACCAAAAATCGCAAGGCCCAAGAGGATTATTGCAAATGACTCTGCAGCCAGGCGAAGGTGGTATGAAGCGCCGAGACCATCGATGACGAGCCAGTCCCATTGTCGATGTAGTATATTAGGCGTAGAGAGAAGGATGAGGCCCAAAGTAAGGTGAGAGATGAATAGAGAAAAATGTTGCGGCAGCTGATCTTTCAAGCTCCCTGTAGGCATAGTGGTAAGTATGAAACCAGAGTAGTTCCAAAAGTTTGAATTTCAGGAGCTCTAGGATGCGTTGGTGGTTTTGAAGCTGTTCAGTTTCCGCTGCGAATCGGCAATACTTTGTTCAAGCTTATCTAATTCTTGTCTGAATTGGCGAATTTGTCGCTGAAGTTGGTCTAATTTATGACGGGATTGAGCTAGGTTGCCCAGTCCCTCTCGGATTCTGTATGATTAGCAACGTGCTTTGGGTCTTGTGGCTGGAAGTAACCGTACTTGGAGATTTGATTCTGAATCGCTTCAGGTGTTGCTCTGGTAGCTACTGTGATTTGGTCATCTAGGCTGAGTGGGACGTGAGATTGATCCATTGTAGCAGATAGATAGACGAATTTGGTTGGGAGCATTGACTTTTTAATACGCAATGGACATATGGAAAGTTTGAATATTGAGGCCGACCAGCGGTCATGCGACGCCCTGAAACTTGTGTAGGTTTGCGGGGTTCGTCTATTCGTCCGGAAAAGGCACGCCTGCTACAATAGGTTCCAAGAAGTAACTGTAGACATAGATTGAATGGTAAAGTAAGGAATAACTAGCTACATAGGAAAACACTTTTCATCATATGAATATTACCCTAACACCCTGAGCCCCCCTCCAGGCTCACCTAGATCACCCCGATCATATCCAGTAATCCGGCATATGACTGTAGTCTGGCACTACCGGCTGTAGCTTGTCTCCTGGTCCAGCCCTGTGCCCTATTACTGAATCGTTTTCCCAAGCTTGATCCGCCCAAAAGGTCACCTCCCCGTTGGTTCGTAGCAACACTCTCCTAAATGACCCCATGATCTTTGAGAATTGCTATAGTAGCAGTAGTTGCGTAGACTCCAGTTATGCTCCAATATGCGACGGGGTTCGATTCATCTAAGCCATTCCCTAGTGTTGCGAGAATAAAGCTCTTGGTCAGTTCACGAACGTTGAAAGTCCCTTCAGCTTTTCCGTCAACGTGGCGGTCTGGTGCCTTGGCTGAACTTAAGTCAGTAATCTGACGACGATAACTAATTAAAGGCACATACGAGTATTAATAGAAGGATCAGCGCGGATGATGATAGTCCCCTCGTCAGACATGGTAGGGGTATTGGAATGAAGAGTTGTTGGATAGGGCTGATGAATAGCAAGCTGCTTTGATCAACTTAAGGCGCACGGATCACCAATGCCCGAAGGAGAGATTTGGACAGGCTGGACATTGGCTAGTAAAGATACTGACAAATCCTGTTCTATGGAAATCTAGGAAACTACCAAAGGTTTGCTGAGCCGGTGGCCGAACCGGTCTACATTAGAAGTCTCCATTTCAATGGATTATTGCAAAACTTTTCTAAACACTAGTGCCCTAAAACCCTCCAAGCATCGTTTGACTGATCTCACTACGTTATGGTTAATAGGAATATAGTGTAGAATCTTAGCAAACAAAGAATCCCTTACCATTCTAAAGTTAAACATACCATATGAAGCATTAAAATGTTGCGGTCCTCTGCTAATAGCTTATTCTTAAGCCACGTTTCATAGAGTTGTTCAATTTCCCTGATACAGCTAGTAAGTCCTATAATCAATGTAATAAGTAGTCAATAGTAATAACTTACCAAAGCAATGAATCGCGAACAAACTGAGAAGCTGAGCTTAGGTATCCTAAAGCAGCCGGAAAACGACCAAGTTGGTAAAGATAGAGACCAAGTAAGGCATTTGCGCGCGCGTTTGCGATACCATGACTAGGAGAGCAACTGTTCAGCATGTCCTTGCCTAGTTTGAAGTATGTAAAGCCATGTGTTGATGTATCCTGACCCGGCCTAACAGATAGACTTGACCTTTTTGCATATAGCTTGCCAATTGAGAGCACTAGGAACACAATGGCAACGTTGATATCTGTGCCGGAGCGCTCATCCCAACAATCTCTGTCTATGAGAAACTGGTTTACCATAAGGTCCAGCTGCTCACGCGGTATTATGCCATTGGTATACGATGTCGTGTCGTAGTACTTTCCAATATAGAACCATATTATGTTTGAGTCCCACTCAGCTTCATCGTCAATATTATCGACAATAGTGTTCAGGGGCTCCTGATCAGCCTCGCCAGGGCTAGTTGTCGGTATATCGGTCGCAGGCGTTAGCGATGATGTTGATCGATCTTCCGAGTCGCTATGCGAATCGCTTGCCTTGGTAGACCTATTGGACGAGAAAAATGAGTGTTTCGTCGAAGGATGCGCCGGCACTGAAGAGTCGTGACTCCCTGCTGATTGCTGGCGATCAAACTTAGTACCCAGATCGGACACAGCATCGTATATCTTCTGCTGAAAAGCCAGTATTGCAGCTACCTGATCAGATTTCAACCTAACATAGTGTTAGTGCATACCAGAACCATGTTCACCGATAGACAGACTTATTGAGCAAGTAGTCTTTCCGCTTGCACTCAATGTGTTTTTTCTCGCATGAATCACACGGTGTATTTCCATCGCACCTGCTTCTTGAATATCGACAGCTATCGCAAGCCTGCGCGTTAAACTAGTTAATAAAATCAACTCAGAACAAAATTCGACCAGCTCTTACCCTAGTAGTCCGCACTCTCTTGGGTTTTTGTGCTGATATAGTGACAGAGGGGTATGGAGATGCAGACTCTACTTCTTGCTTAATCGTTGCGGTCGGGTCGAGAAGAACTTGTTGGCTCCATGGCATTGACGGTGGGGGTGGTGGGCGCACGGCGCCGTACGCCTGAGCCGCATAACATGTATCATGGACAGCTGGCTTCGGATCAAGATCCTAGGACGAGTAATTCTGGTATTGGAGAGGCCGATTGCTCGACAGAGGAGGGCGATCAAAAGGTCCAGGCATGGGCGGGGTCTGTTGTAGAACACATGGTGGAAAAGTCGAGGGAGGGCCGCTATCGCATCTGTTGTTACTATCGACGTGAGGGGTATAGGATGTCGGCTGGGACGTTGGCTCGTGGTGACAGCTTCCCGCAGGTCTCGCATTCCACGACGTAGACGCCATACTGAATCATGGGACCGGCAGTCGCAGCCAGCATCAAGGCAATCAGTGATGGGGATAAGAAGACTGTCAGATTAGCAGGCGTAGCGAGACCTTCAAAGTCGAGTAACTCGCAGACCAAGCCGGAGACACCTATCAGGGAAGTAGCACGGGTCTCCTTATACTGCGCCCTAGTCGGGCAGCTGAAGCACCAAATGATACTGCTTGCATAAGTGGTGGCACTTAGAACAGAAACTCCGTCTGTCCGCTCAGGGATATAGTATTGTATGGGACAAAATCCTCGAGGGTCTTCATGTCTTTCGCAGATGCTTTGAAACCTCTGGATTCGGCAATTGTGGCACTAATATATACTACCGGTTAATAGGGGGTTGGTAAGCGTTTATAGCGTTTTTTTTTTTCCCCCTCTCCTCTTTCGATTTTGGAACGGACGGCGAGGGAGAACACATAAGCAATCCATCTCCTACAACTCTGTTATCACAGTAATAAATTTATACGTAGAGGGTTTCTGACAAATTCCTTTACACGTAAGCCTGCAGAATACGGATTACATATAGAAGGAATTTAAATTCGACAATATTAGGATAGACAACAAGGAGAAGAAGTAAATAAAAAAACTACGCAAGGCTGTACAGCTAGTACATCGCTCTGGCAAGTTGCCCCGCTGACATACACGGCCCGATTCCAAGCATTCTAGAGATCCAGCAAAGAAGGCTGGCTTTATTTGCCGCCCTACATGCTGAAAGAGGCCATAGAGGTATTGTTGTTGCCTTCTGGAATATCATATCCCAATATCCTAGTCGTGGTCAGTACACACCAATCTACTATGAGAGCATGGGTACACCCACCAACTAGAACGCAGTGGCGAGGACGTGAACATATAATTTTGCTTCCCACTCCTGCATGTCTTCCTCTGTTATAGGTTTCGTTTTAAACACCTCGCACCTATTGAGGAAGCAACAGGCTTCATCTAGATCCAGAACGTCGAGATGGGTGGTTCCCTCAATATCAATGGACATCCCAAGAGCCGTTATTCTGTCGGCCGGCGCGGTGTCTTGGAGATATCTAGATCGCTGAATGATATCTTCACAACCACCAGAGAGTTCGAATATACGTCGTAACAAGGCTAGCTTATGAAGTAAATCCTCCTCATCCCATGTATTGTCGGCGCTACATAGCTGTTGCAGTGTCTCCCTCCACCCTGTCACAAATTCTTGAGCAGTTAGTTTCGCTAATCGGTTTCGATCTGTACGGTCAATGTGCGTGCTTGTTTGTAGTAGAAGTTGGATGAATCGATCTTGGGTGATAAAAAAGGATCCCTAGGTACTGTCAGCTCACAGGTCAGGAAGTCAAAGTTTTCACTTGCCTTAATATCATCAAGGAACATGGACCATTCGACAAAGAGACGACAAAGTTCATACTCTGGATGGCGACGATAGACTTCACCAATCGACCTGCCGTAATGCTCGATGCCGTTCAATGCGTTGTCTCGGAATGCCCTCATCACAATCTTTCTTGCCTGATGTATGCCTTGGACACGAATTAAGCCATCTGAGGGCCGCGTCACACTCGCTTCGAACGACCCGTTGAGCCTGCGGCAGTGAAGCTTGATCCAATCTTCCCGCCCGCTCGAGATCGCGAGTTGGTCGTATTGACCGTCGCCAGCGGTTCCAATCAGGTGGAAATGTGCGGGTGCAGGTGGCCTAGTACCCTTGGGCACGAAATGGAACGACCATTCCGCAGTCGTTGAGGTGACAACACTGGCCATCTTCACGAGACGGAGTAGGAGGACGATTTGATTGAAGGGACAGTGATGGGATGGGTTCCGCTCGAGTTGAAAGAGAGGGGGGACCGGGACTTTATGGCTGAGAAGCGAGCATGGGACTATGCAGACACCGCTAACCTTCCAGTGCAGACTTTCAGGTTCGGGAAGGGACAGAAGTAGGGAATCCCACGACTGATACCAGCTACCACCCACTACATAAAGATAAATATGAAGTCTTATAAAAGACATGATATTAGAAGTGACGATGGCATTAAACAAGAAAAGTAAAAGAGTAAAAATTAGAGATGGTGCAAAATGAAATACGACAATAATTACAAAAGGCCACACGGTTTAGATAGCCTTATGACAGTCAGGCTCCCAAACAGTTTATGCTCGGGCAGTATACATAAAAATACTCCACATCCTATGGTTACATGATGATGCAGCAGCCATCGCCACTGCCTCCGCCTAGCAATGACGTCCAGGTATAGCCTCTAGGAGATTCTGACCCGACCAATACTTTGACCACTCTATAGAAAGAATCTAGAACATCTTGGTCCTCCTTTGCCGACGTGTCAACGAACATGCAGTCAAGCTTCCTTGCAAGCGCAGCTCCCTCTTTGGGGGATACAATTCTACTAGCCACCTTGTCGCTCTTATTACCCACAATCATAATGGGCAGTCTTGTTTCGGTCGAGACCACAGAGTCCGAAGTCCCCCAGCTCTTTATCTCCAGAACCCGTCGGAACAGATACTCAATCCTATCGAAAGATTTCCGCGACGTAACGTCGTACACCAGAACTATGCCATCGTTTTTTTGGATCCTGCCATCTTTTAGGTTTCTATGGCACTCCAAGTCGAGAGTGCCGGCTGTGTCGAGAACTTCTACTGGATATGATTGATCATCAATGAAAATTTGTGCCCGAGTTCTTGATCCTTCAATGGTAGGGTTGTGCTATCCAATGCAAAAGTATTGTTAGATAATCAAAGACAAAAAATAAGATGTAACAACATACCGTCTGCACAAATTGTTGGTGGCATAGTTGGTTTATCAGTGCTGTTTTCCCAACACCGCTGTCCCCCAATACCACTATTCGGGGAATCAACGGCCATAAATGCATAATATGTTTGGCCATGTCTAGAAGTCGGGGGATAGGGATAAGCAGGGGAAGGTAGTATCTGCTGGGTTTGAACACTAAGAAGCGTATTAGTGACGAGAGGTCGAGAGGGCGCTGAAAGGGTGCCTACGTAGGACAGGTAGCGGTCGACCAAGTGAAGGGATTGTGCATCCTGTGACCAAAGTGCAATTCTGCCATTTGACTTGATTTTATATCCAATGGCAACCTAGCCAAGACACTTGCCGATAGTAGTCACTCGTAGAGTAGGCAGGGGGAACCAGAAGTGTCTATTACATCGATGATGGATACGGCATGAAACCACACCAAAGATCCATGTCTATGCCTGGTTACCGTGTAAGTGGCCTGAATATCAACCTTGGGAGCGGAGCTGAACGTGGGTCTGGTGATGAGAGTGGCCGCATGGCTTGTGATGGATCAACTAGTGCCTTCCACCAACATGATCATGCACCTAATCTACCGTGAGTGGATATTTCGCTGTCTTGAATTCACATATCACACATTGGGGGGCCTCCATGGAGGCCCCCCAATGTGGCAACACAAATGGTTTGAGCATCCCTCCGTTTCTATCATCATTTGCTCTGTATACCCTGACACAATGCCGCAAGAACGCCGTTTTGAGTTCAATGGTACCAATGATGCTTACATCAAATTCCTAGAAGCGAAAGTAGAGTCTCTTGAGGAGAGAGTGATGTGTCTGCAGCGTCAACAATCATCAAACCCTCGTTCGCAGAAAGCACCAATACCACCGAGTCGCAAGAATTTTATCTCTCTACATCCTCAATCACAAAGCAAAATAGCTAGCCAAGCTGTCCGGAATAACCATGCATTCTCTGGCCGTTTAGCTGGTGTTATCAGCAACTTTCTTGCATTATTGCCCACACTTGCTAGCCAATGGCGAGAGAAGAGACAGAGAACATCCCTCGTTACCCCAGAGCAGGTCATGCAGACCTTTCACACCCTCACACGCCTTTCGAGTCCTGTTGGTTCTACCATAAGGTCCCGTCACAGCTCTAATGCTAGTCCTATAGATATCCTTGACGACTACTGCATGTTTGCTAGTTACCTAAAGCAGCAGGCAGAACAACAGACTCAATTATCAAGATATGCAACGCTTCTGTTCTTGGGCATTTGCTGCGTGGCTAGAGAGGCTGATGTGGAACTAGACCATGTCGATAGCTGTATCAAGACATATTTGGGAAAGACTACCTATACCTCGGGTTATTGCAAGCGACTGAGAAGAGCATCAAAGTGGTGCGCCCAGCTGATGGAAAGGCTAGAAGGGTTTATAGGGGGGCACAGCCCTGGGCTGTTCTTGCTATGTATGTTAACCAACCTTCTTTTTACTAGAGGTGGTATTCTAATTGGGTAGACGGCCCAGATGTAGCCCTGTACCAGAAATTGTCTGAATCGCCCAGGTGTGCTGAAGACATCCTGCAGAAGATCACAAAGACCCTGAGTTTCCTCCGCAACGACACAATCGAAGAGCCGGCCATCTCTTTCTTGATGCCATTCATGCTGGCCTTCATGGGTCTTGAGTAAGTCCCAGGTTCCTTTTGGGTACATCTAGAGGATAACTGACGGAGCAGTCTCCAATGTGTTAACAAGGCTCTGGGCACGAATTTGTCAGAAGAGGATTACGCCTCGCGAGCCAGAGCAGTGGAGAGCCTAGCAAGCCATGACCATAACGGGCAACAGCAACAAGGTACAGCGCTGGGGGGCAGCTATGAACCGGATGGTTTTCAACATGGACATATTATAGAAGCCTCTGTTCGTGAGTCTATTAATGGCAATGGCAATGATGTGGAATGGATGAAGTTCATAAATTGGGGAAATAATACTAGCGAAATGGATATTGCCATAGCTGGGGACTCTTCCACTGGGGTGCTATGAAGCTGAAAGGGAACTTGTCAGGCTACTCTCCCCAGTGTTCTCAGTTTCCTGGAAGGATACCCATAGAAATGAGATATTTCCTCTTGCTATCCGCACGCATACACCTGGTTCAAGGATATATAATTTCTTCTCCCACTTCTGAAGTCTTGCTCTCTCATTCTCTCGGTGAAATGCGATACGTGGTGCATTATCCATATTTATCTCCCCAATGGGTATTATAAGAGCGATTTCTTTGCCCGGGAACACAGCACCCGATCGGAGCAGAAAAGCGTTTATGTTATACTTCGAGGCCAGAGTCACCTCCCTTATCTTGGACTTCTTTTATTAGTTAGTGAGGCTATCCAACTTTAAATGATAAACATACCGCTTCGCTTTTGCCCAAGTCGACAATATCATCCCACTCCTTATGGTATTGAAGACGGTAGAGCTCAATATCAAGCAGCGTTCCATCGGGTCGTTTTAGCTCAATTCTTGTCATAGATTCTTCGTTGAAAATGGGCTTAGGTGCACGCATAATGTACTGCTGGAGTTCAATAGAAGGATCAAGAATATGAGCCATTCTTTTTAGCGTGAATATTTGGGAAAATAAAAGTAGATAAAGGAAAGTCGTTCTCTGGATAAAGAAATGAATATCTTTTGTTTAGTGACGTGTCTGCATCTTGCCAAGATAAGTGAGCACGGTACATCCCGTCGGCCCACTTCAAGGCAGATCACTGGGTAAGGTGAACCAACCTAGGCGGAATAACATTACACCGATAGAAGATGGCCCGCCGCCAAACGTTGAGAGACCAAAACCATGGGGCACAGGGGATGAACCCCAAAACGCTGATATGGTTAAGCTGTAGAATAGTTTTACAACAAGAAAGTAAGCTTCACCTTAGACGTGTTAAGATATTAAAGGTATTATTTTTAGGTAAGGACTGGCTACGGTCAAGAATTCTTCTCTACATCCAAGGCTCCTTCCTCCCTCTTTGACATTTCATCATAACCTGATTTAGTCATCCAAACTTCCACTGTGACCATCGTCCGTCATGACATCGTCCATAGATGCTGTGTTGTTTTCGTACTGATCTGCACCGTCTGCGTTGTCCTGTGGGTGTTGTTCTTCGGTCTCTTCTCTGACATGATTTTGAGTTGTCTCGCCTTCAGTGTCTCCGCCTCCCTGACTTGGCTTTTCCCCATTGACAACAACTTCGTTTTCGGACATGACGAAATGCTGTGTGCCGCAATGTATTACACTTTCGTGGCTCAGAACTTTGCCAGGTTTATGCGTCCCGGGCTGGATGGGTTCTATGAATTGTATAGTGTTAGTATGATATTAGCCCAAGGCAAGAAACACAAAGTATATAAGACTTACCTTTAATTTTTCTAGCATAAGAGATCCCTATAACACACGTTTTGCAGTGTGACAATGTGAAAGCAAATGAAGCAAGGGTAAGGTGCTGAGAACCTGTCAAAAAGAACAGCAGATAAGTTCCAATTGCTGAGAATGACAATATACTTATACTTTTCAGATACACTGTTAACAATATGAAAGTCCACTGGATTTCCTCTTTAGACGAACCTCAACCGCTACTATTATCGTTTCTTCCAAGAACCAACAGCATTACAGATATGCGTTGCTTGTTCGTTAGTGAAATCGGTTAACATTCTTCCATCTGCAAGATATCATGCACTGCACAGGGCTCTGCATCAGCGGAATTAGCCTGGATGTAAGAACATGTGAGATATCCTTGCACATGCAAATTAGGAACAATCACCGTTTTGTGATGAGGCTGGCCGTCCAGCATCACATTGAATCAAATGAGTGCTCATCTCCAAGTTGGCTTCCTGATTTAGAAATTCAAGTGCCTTCTCAATTTCGTGATAAAAAAATAATCGGATGGACTGGCTTGTTCTCAGCATCCTGAATCTACCTCCCTAGCTGTTCGTTTACTTTTCTATCAAAGTGATAGCAATAATGGTGCATAAGGGAAGCTTAACTGCAAAGCGTTACAATTCTGCACGATGCCACGTTAGCTAGAAATTTATTAGTCTTTACCTTCTGCGTCCATCTTCGTCTTATTAAAATAGACTATAATAAGGGTTTACCATCATCCTACATTATTATTATTTCACGCATTGGCCGATGTTTGCAAAGCGATATGTCTATAGGGCATCAGTCCTGCGAGCAGTGGTCGGCGGTGGGAATGGCAAAGAAACACCATATCGAGATAGACCTCACCATTTTTCATATTATCCATGCACATGGGACCCCAGGCCGCTGTAGAGTCGCGAAAACACATGCACATAAAACATCCGCCTAATATTGCAATGATACTTTCCTTAAACAAAGTCATCCCATCACCACAAAACACAAAAGCCTTTCCGGTAGTGTACGGACAAGTTGCTTTACCTATCAATTAAAAACATCCTATTGAATATCTTCTGTAGCTTGACTGAAAAAAAACTAGTATGCTTATCAAAGACCGCGGCTCTAGGAAACTGGGTGACTTGAATACGGTTCACATGGCTATCGTAGACAACTATTTCTTCCTTGCGCCATAGTAAACTGTCTTCATTTGTACGCGTTGTATGCTGCATAGCATCCTTCCGACACCATGAGGCGAAGGGTTTTGAGGGGGCCCGTCTCCGGCTTCATTATCCCAGCCCACTTTACTTGGGATGCCGATGCTCCTTCAATGGTGGGTTTCTCCGCCGCCATCCCTTCATCCTTGCCACATATGGGCCCACTATTAGGGTGGTTGTAGTAGACCTGTCTACCATCGTATCACAAATTTGTGAAAACTATGGCTACCCTTGCACTTGCATGGGTGCTGGCGTGATTGGCATGCATATTAACAATTCATCACAAATTTGTGATAATAGAGGTTATTTTTGGATATGTGTAGGCCATGTATTATCACAAAAGTGGGACATGCTACTCTTAATACAGTGTTGATATAGAGCTACCTCGGTCGTGACCACCATGGCCCCCCATTCCATAATCACCAAGCATCAGTCTCAGAGCGGAGCCATGCTGAGTTCCCTATTGTGCCTCCTGCTCGTGGATAGGTACGTTATTTGCGGCACTGTGGTTGCTTGATCGGAACGTCGTGATGAAATGTCTTCTTTTTAGCATCAGAGACATGTTTGTCTGCAAAGTGACTTTGATTCTAGTAGAGGGCAGGGGGTTAGAATATAGCCAACGAACCTTCGACGCAGTGGGACAACAGCTAAGCAAACCGCTACACCTTGCCTGTGCCCTTGCACGTGGTGCATATGTAACCACTTTTCGTGCCTTCGCCGTCGCAGACATCACATTTGGCCATTTTAAGGTCTGTGTCTTGTGGTGTATTCGAAATTGATAGTGTAATAATGTTGGTGTAGAAATTGTAATGGGGAATGGAGCTATAGACAGAGTTGCGAGAATTTTAATATGCTTTTAGTTCGTCAGGCATCGCCCGCCTTCCAAAAAAAAAAAAAAAAAAAAAGAGAGATTGGGAGTAAATGATGGTGTGTCGCGTGCGGCGCATGACAGTTTGGACCCACACGGACTACTTCCTGGAACCTTCTGAACGCTCGACTCTGCCACTCATCCATCACACATTCTCAACCATGTCGAATGAACACAGAATACACCGCCAGTGTCAGACTTGCTATGTAGAGTTTGCAGGGAACAGTCAGTTGTTAGCGCATATAGAAGAGTACAAGGTAAGCACGCCGCAATATTTTTAATTCTCTACTGACCATCAAGTTTCGAGAGCAATTGCTTATCCAAGAATTGCATCAATGCCGCTTACACATGGAACGAGCCGCTTCCAATGGCTACGACAACAGTGACCTCAGCGACGATGGTGATAACACAGATGAAATCACTCACCTAAGTGATACACACAACGACCGAAAGCCCCCATTTTATTGCCCACATATTGAATGCGACCAAAAACAGCCATACACCACTCGGGGGAATCTTGTGCGACATTTTGCAACGCGTACGTTCACAAGCTTTTGATCAAGAGCTTTACTAAGGTCACGCCAGACATAGCATGCTATGAGCTGTGTACTTGTGGCGAAGTATTCACAAGAGCTCACCGTTTCCTCCGACATAATTGCCAAAAGTCCACAGAGGCCAACGATGTTTACATACAGCGGAGAATTGGACACCTCAACGCGAAGGTGAAAATAAACTTGGATCGGCTAGAGAGAGGTGGAAGATACACAAGGAAACGGAAGCAAACACAGGCAGAATTTCAATCGATCAAGAAACGCAAACCCGTCACATCGAGAAATAATATCTTATCAATGGATCCGATTTCACAAAATCATGATGCTATTCCCAGTAACGCGTATATCAACGGCGGGCCTTCTAAGGTACCAGGTCTGTCACCTGTTGCGAGTACGAACAATGTAAACTTGTCCCCTTCCGAAGGCACGGCGACGAACACAATGCCGGACAATACCAACTGGGAGCCCGTGATAACATGTCAAGCTGCTGACAGTGGTGGTGGATGGGCTTTCATGGAACCAGCGGCAGTCGTGCCTAGTGTTAATGACGGCTGGGCTTTTGCAGAGCCTGCGTCAACTTTACGTGCGGGCGACAATGGCTGGGCCTTTGCGGAGCCCTTAGTAGCCATATCAACTGACATCGCAGGATGGGCATTTACTGAAGATCCGTGTCATCATTTACCACTGTCCCTGAATCCAGCCGGCGTTGAAGTGAATAATGCCATTGTTGGGAATGAGGAAACCTAGTTCGAACAGAGACACACCAGCTCATGAAGACGATAGCCTCTGGGACGAGTTTCACATTATCAATACAATGGATTAAAATGTGAAGTTTGTTTAGTGTATGCCACCACAATTCTCTTTTCTAATCTTTCTATTCAAAGTGTACGCCAATCATGTCGCTCGATACACTGGCCATCTGGTGCCTTTGCTGTACGTTAGGTACTTTCAACTTTGGCCACCTTTGCAACTCCTCCTCTGTTGCGAAGCCGCAGGTCACTGGTGATCCATGGGGCATTTCCAGTGCGAGTCGTGCATCGAGAATGGCGCTGTAACCAACTATATCTTAGTCGAGAACTTTAGGTAGGATATCCGACTTACAGGCCACCTTCTTCAAATTCGACAATAGTCCCATGTATGCCGGCTTTATCGAGAGCAGCATATGGGACCTCCCACAGGCGATTGGCAGCTCGGACGCTATTAAGTGGGATGAGATGCGAGCCTGGAAAGTATACTGCTCGCGAGCCCTTGCCCCAGAGATGGACAAGCAGTATATCCGGGTTCTGACCTCCTTTTCTGAGCTGAAAGACATGGCCCGAGTCCTCGGCGATTCGCTGATAGTAACCTAGACGGCATCGTGGAAGACAAGACTGAAGGATCGTGCGGATACGCTGTTGTTGTCAGGTTTGGTCTACCAGGGTTTTCCGATATGTTACATACCGCATCATTTAGGACATTATCCTGGCAGAAATCCCACCCGGCTTTAGACGTACTAGAGAACTGAGATGCATTCTGCTCCATTGCTGACATCTGGGAACCGATTGTTGCGTCTTGTATACAGAAAAACCCAACATCCCGGAGTGCGGTTTGGGCTATTTCATCATGGCCAAGACTGCCGATAGGTCTGCCTGACATGGTAGTTGCCTCGCACGGTGATGTACTCAAATGACGTGAAATGCAGCCATGAAAATAAGATTTCCGGAGAATCCTTATGACTAGACTTGCAGCTTAGGTATGAGGTTTTTCACGTTTTTGTGAACAACCCCGCACCAAGTAGTGCCATTCTTGGCACCAGTCTCGCCTCCAGAACACCCTCCCCATGCTTCAATGCGCATACGCGAGGCACACGACAATGCAATTATTCGAATGGCGTACCACTTCCTTCTTCTTGAATATCATAGCTGCAAGGAGAGTGGAACTGTCCTAAGCGTGTAGTCATTTCAGTAATGTTGGCCTAGATGGAGGCCATTCGTATTGGGCGGTTGCTTGTGGGTCCTCGGAATGCGACCTATCCTTATTAGGCTATAGACGTATTAGTCTGATCTTTAGGTATCCCTTTAGGCATCTAGGCATAAATGAACGCGACATATGACGCGTTTTGTTATCTGGCGGTTTGCTTGGAACTTAATGAGCTTGGTGCTTATCGGATCTCAGAGGTACTAGCAGCCCCAAAAAGACTAACTAGACCAGGCGCACTCCGGCTTCCAGCTGGGCCTCGACTAGATCAAAGCGACCTCGAAGGAGGTCACTCGCATACGAGTAAACGCAAAGCCGGTCCTTTGCCTTGCCACCAGAAATGCCTCTGTCACAACAAGCGAAAGATATCATTTCCGAGCTCCCACTCGACGATACGCTCGATTCCTCTCAACGTAAGTTGGGCAAAAATCTCGACAATCCACGACGCGAGGACATCGCGAGCCTTCTGGGAGCTCTTGTCATATCACCAACCGCATTCAAGCTTTCGTCTCCCGATGGAAGCGGCAATGTGGCAGCTAAACTATTTTCCATACAACAGCATGTCCGAGGGGGCTTGATGAAGCTTGACCACTTCTACTCGCTCTTCCATCACGTCGTCTCCAACTCGTCCGACATCGACATCTGGGAAGCTGTTTTCGACATCATCGACAACCTCGGCGTCCTCACGCCTCCCCCATCCAGTATCGCTCCGACCTTCCAAGGAACGCCTGTTAGGTCTAGCTCGAGTCGACTTTCGGATCGCGAACCGCGCAACATTGTCGAAAGGGAGCTCTTTTTTGAGATCAGGGACTGCACTTTCCGTGACGTGGGGGGGTTCTGCGACAAATTTTTCAATACGAAGAGCTGGGACGAGAGACAGAAAGAGATGTTGGAGTCTGTAATGGCAGAACATGACGGAAACAGGTGGAAGACATTCCCGACCGTTCCCGCCGAACGACTGGTTTGGGACTGGCTTCGTTCCCTAGAAGACGGCGCGCTGAGCGGTGCGCCACACAAGCTCTATACTACTAAGACGGCCCATGAGTTTAAGGAACCCAAAGGCCAAATAGATCTATTTTTCCAGTTACCTGCGCCAGAACCGAGCGGCAAACTCGAGTACAAGCACGTCCTTGTAGTTGGAGAACAGAAGTCGTCCTACGACACGGGCCGCTTTAAAGCGGACTTCCTCCAGCTCACGCGTCTCGTACGAGGTGTTTTCACCGACCAGCCAACACGCCGATTTGTCCATGCATTTACCCTTATTGCTTCCATGATGGAGCTGTGGGTCTTCGACCGATCCGGGGCGTATAGCTCAGGCGCTTTTGACATTCACAACGAGCCTGGCAGATTTGCGCGCGCTCTTATCAGCTACGCCACGATGGATGATAATGCCATGGGCTTGGACACGTTCATCGAGCGGGAGGGCAAGCATCACTACGTTACGGTGGACGATGTAGACAGCAATAAAGCGAGAATCAGGCTGTTGAGACCAATCGTGAGGCAGAGTGCTATCGTCTGCCGCGGGACCACGTGTTATGAGACCCAAGATGGTCATGTTGCGAAGTTCTCATGGGCATCAGACAAGCGCAAGCTGGAGGTGAAACAGCTGAGGCTAGCCGAGACTAAGGGCGTCAGGGGGGTAGCGAGGGTCGTCGCACACAGTCAGATCACCACTATTGACGAGCTGCGGCAAGGTCTGGAGTTTGAGAAGCGTCATAAGTTCCGTAATGACGATGTCCACTTTGAAGATATACCATCGGTTGGAACCATAGATATATCAAGCCAGAAGCGAAAGTCGGCGTCCGATCATTGGTCTGATGCGTCGGAATCTAAAAAGCCACGGTCCAACAGCCAACAGTCAACACTGGTGGTCCGAAAGCAGAACAGCAAACAGAGAATCAGCACGGGCAAGCCCAGCCTATACAACTCCGACGGGGACATGTGGGAAAATAGGATTTATTCCTGCCTCGTCATCTCGCCGGCCGGCCGGGTGATCAGCGACTTCCGGACGATCAAGGAACTGCTGGGGGCGGTACGGGATGCCATTAGGGGACACCAGTCACTATATGAGACGGGCAATATACTCCACCGCGACATTTCGTCTAATAACATTATTATAACGAAACCCGAGATGGCAGGCGGCTTCAACGGCATGCTCATCGACCTCGACCTGGCCAAGGTAAGAGATAGCGGCCCGAGCGGAGCGCGACATCAGACCGGCACGATGCAATTTATGGCGGTGCAGGTGCTGCGCAAGACCGATCACACCTACCGCCACGACCTCGAGTCCTTTTTCTACGTACTGCTCTGGATGTGCGCGCGCCAATCGTGGAGGAATGGGTTCGCTAGTAGTGGGGAGAAGCCGCCTAAGGAAAGCGTTCTACGGGGGTGGGAGATAGGTAGTTTTAAAGACATTGCCCGGACGAAGGCAGGCGATATGACCGTGGACGGACTAGAAGGTATTATGACCGAATTTCCAGGCATGTTCAACCATGTTCAGCCGCTCTGCTTGCGGATCAGGAAGATCCTCTTTCCCCTCGATAAAGACGAAAGAATGAGCTTTGGAACCCCTGCTGGCGATCCTAATCAACTCTACAGCCCTATCATCGCGGCGTTTGATGATGCTGTTAACAATATGTAGGGAATTCTTCTTAGCATCACCGATTCGTTACTGGGTCAGGATAAGGGTGGTGCATCAGTACTTAGTAATACATCTATTATTTATCAAATAGGCTGTCTGATGCGTGAAGCCGCGCGGCTAGGCGATGAAGAGACGTTAGTACGAGGTGTGTGTGTGGATCAACCATCTATATTAGCCAACCCAGGTCAAGGTCAGATTCTAAATGTAGCGGCGGTTATATCTATATAAACACTTAATGTTCTGTCTCGAGGTTTTGTCAGAATTCCAGCAGTTGCTAGACTCCGTTTCAAAATACTCATTTCTGCATCTTACAAGACAAGCTACTTGAAATACAGAATCAGACCCTATCACACCTGAGTCAAATATGGCTCTAGAAGGTCAAAAACTACCTGCGCAAATTACGTGCGCCCCCAAGCACTACTCCGAGAAGTCGTACGCATCCCAAGAAATCATTCGACAGGACGGCGAACGGCCGGGGAATCGCCTGCCGTCCGATATTCACCCCCTCGGAGTGTTCGCCGCCGTAATGATCTTTACGCTCCTTGTTCTCGTGATCTTCTTGATTGCTCAGCTATGGGAACAACAGGGCGCATACCTAGCTCGTGTCAATTTTCTATGTCTCTCAATCGAGAAGGCAGATAGACGCATAGGATGACAGAAATCAAGCAGGAAATGGAATCTATCCAGCGCGTATTAAGGAGTTATTCCGGACAGCTGTAATAGTATATATATTAGGCATTATTTTCCACCAAATTCGTCACATCGTTCAATCAATCAAATTATATACTACGCCATGTTCTGATTGCCTAGTAGAAATGCGATAATCTGATGTGTTGCTCTATTAGCTCAAAGCGACAATAGTACAGCAAAAGCTACACCTCAGCGCGACAAAAAAAAAGCCCGTCTATTCGTAACACTAAGAGAGTCTACCTACCCACCCCAACACAAGACTAACGCCGACAGCGATCGCATCGAAAGGTAGCAACAGTTTCCATAAATAAATTAGGTCAGTCACCAAGGGCGTGGCGCAAACAAGCAGCCATACATGCAAATGGAATGCTACGCTTTCTTATGAAATGGAAATGGCGCCCACGGAACGCTTACAGGAAGAGAGGTTTACAACAGGGTAACAGGGTAACATCCTCAGTATTGCTTGTGCGCATTGCATCAACGAAGGGGGGAGAGGCATTGGGGACGAAATCGAGGGAGAGAGTATTTGAGAAATCACTTGTAAAACATCTGGAACTATCGCAGCTTACTCGTTATCATTACTGCAAAAAATGCATGTATCGACTGTACCCATTTGTTCCTCTGACTCCATCATCCAAGCAACCATAACAGGAACGAGCGCTGTAGCAATACGTTCGACCAAGAATTCGAGCCGGCGAGTAGTATGGGCACCAGTGTTCTCGGCAATCCAGAAAACCTCCATATTTTCGTCTCCGTCGCCAACTATAACCTTTATCTTCTTGAGGTACTGCTGAACCTCGGGGTCGAATCGAGAAGGGTGGGCGGCAATGTATTGATAAGCTCGCTGGTTAGCATCAATGGTAGCACAAAACGCCGCCAAAATGTACGCTTTGTTCCGATTGTCGAATCTGGCGAAGACTCTACTATTTTCTGCCATGACCGCTAACGCTTCATCTACAATTTTCGCAGCATCAGGTCCAGTCTGGTGGATATCGAAACTACGCGGGGTCTGGATGCCATAATGAGAAGCTAGGCGTTCCATTTCTATAAATTTTATGAGCTTTTAAACTTTCCACGCAAAACAATGAACCAAAGGCCGGGGCAGCGTGAACCCTACCGTGATGACAATCTAAGAGGGTGAACAGTTTAGTTTCATGGGGCACGAAGCGGATAATACTCTTTGCACTATATTACAAAGATTAGTAATTATAGAGAGAGGGCAAGTAGGTACTACCCTTAAGATGATACGAACTGTATACACTCTTGCTGAACAATCTTCTAAAAATGATCAACGTAAAGGCAAGGTACCGTGACGACTGGTGCTTCGGGCTTGACCTCTATGAAGCGACAAGTCGTGCATAGACGTCCAGCCGTAATGCTAATCTGATCTTGAGCCTCCAGTCTGGTATGGTAGACCGGTATTTCGGGTGCCATGGCGGGTGATCGACCGTATACGAACGGATGACTGAACAGACGGAGGGGCAGGCAAGTGAGACGGGCGTGCGGGCGGTACGGTCGGCGTAGAAGATACGGGAGTGCCGGCTGCCCGTGCTAGGCACGCAAGTAGGAGAAGTCTGTGTCGTCGATCGCTATCACTGTGAGTCAGTGGAACCAACAAATGGCAAGAATGAAGAGAAAGAGGATTGTACATACGTAAGTAACCGCGAGGTTGAGAGGTAAAGCAGCAGACACGTGGGCGAGCCTACCTACCTAACTACCGAAAGTGCGGCCGAAGAGGAGAGAGAGGCGGAGGCAGCTTGATAGTGGAACTTGACCGCAGCAGTGACGGTACGTGAAATCGTAGTGGCAGTAGCGGAATGGAAGCTTGATGTAACGAAGATGAAGATGCAGAACAGAACAGAACCTCTGAGCTCTGAGAAAACCTTGAAGTGGCGTGGAAGGTTGGAGGTGATGGGGAGGAATGTGAGGGGTAGTGCACTAATCAGTCGAGGAACGCGGAAAAGCAGCGCTCTTGCTGGCTAACTCCCAGGCCATGCGATAGGTACATACAAAATGCGGGGTATAGAACGCGGGGCAATAAAGTAGCAGGCTTCGCGCCTAGTTACAGAACGCGCCCTCTTTACGCGCCCTGGCACTTACTTGTCTTATACGGCCCAGAGGTGAAAAGGACATGCTAAGGCAGAGAGGTAGCTGCATTGCCACAGTGGTTGGGGACGGTACACCCATTGATTTCGAATAGGCCTTACTGTTTTACTTTCTAGGTACAAACAGGAGAGCTCTGCTCACCGATAGCAAGAGATACAAAGTCGCCCAATGGATAGCTAGCAGTCGACGCGACGGAGGCTCAATTGTTCGCTCGGGAGTCAGATAAAGCTCACAGATAATAGGGACTGCTGCTCGCTGGACAAAGTATCTAGGATAGAACGTCTTGATCGTACAGATATGATCCTTTTCAGGAACAGGTTCAAAGTAGACCTGGAAATCACCAAATGACCGATGGTAGTGAGTAGTCAGCGTAATAGCGTTACGTGGCCGGTCAATCTCAGGGCCCTGGATCAATTCTGCAACACCAACATCAAACACGTTTAAGATCGCGAGTACAGATTGTTTAGAGTGATCCTAAGAGGAAAGTTTAGTTGGGGAGAACGTCTGAAGTGAAGATATATACATACTAGTTCGCCACCTTGGTTGACCTTTGTGAGCGAGTGTGGCAGAATATGGGCCACCTCCAGAAACTCCGGGTCATCTGGGTCATTCTCCAGCAGATTCCCCTCGTCGTCTCGAGCGTCGCCGGGCGTATTACGGCGTTCCCACGCCTCGGCATGATCGAATCTTCGCGATATTACACAGCGATGACGGTCACGGATGAGGCAGTCCCTCCGGAGGACTGATGGTCGGGGTCCAGTTCCAATATACTGTTGCCCGCCACGACCTTGTGCTTCTTGCACGGCAGAATGCAACGCTGGTGAAGGCTGCGGAGTCTTCTTTGTAGAAGCTTTCGTTAAGAGACATTATGAGTAACTAGCTAGTATGGCAGCTGGGCTGTAGCAAAGCCTTACCGGGCAGGGAAAAGTTGTTGAAAAGATGATCCCCGAAGTCGAAGAATTTCAAGCGGATATCTTCAAAACTGATATCAAACTTTATTTCCACTAATCCGGATATCGACGGCTTAGAAAAAGGCGCGTGGGAAGTGATCTCCAGATTGTGAAGAAAGCAAATATATATAGATGTAACGAACAAGCCGAGCACGACTGAACTCTCCCTGCGTCAGCCCGGTGTCGAAGTACTCGCAAATGCTGTAGAATCTACGACTGCCATGGTCGCGCAGCTCTGTCTCCAAGAGTGGTTCTGGAGAAAAGTTGATACCGTTTTCAAGCAATGATTAATGGCGGTGAAGCGGCAATGCCATTTTGCCTGGACCCTCTGGAAAGGTGCGGGGAGAGGGATAGGTAGGAACGTTTAAAAGGTCAACTAGCACTAGGAAAAGCAGGAAAGCAACACCAACGTCAATAGACTTATAAGTGAAGAATCCAAGCTAAATCTCAACCTGACGAGATATGATGCTACTTAAGTGTGCATTGATTGGCTCATTTATACTCCATTTCAGCCACACTCTTTATCTGTGGCCCGCTAACACTGATGTGGCTTGAAGATGAATCTATGCTGCCTGCCCTACTGAACTTTTATTAAGTATCCGAAAACGAGCTAACTATAAGAAAAAGAAGTGAAATATAAAATATGCGACCTAACACTCGAGAATAATCTCTTACTCGTAACCCACGTTACTCTGGAAACGCTGCTAGTATAAGCATAATGTTATAGTCAACACCGCTTTCGCTGTTATAGTTCAATGCTTTATCCTTGTCACTTCTTCTTCCTAGTATTATACTTTTGCCGCTTATAGTAAGAAATCTAAGCATTATGTACACATGTCTTAGGTAAGTTCAATTAGATGATCACGTGTCCCAACCAACGCTCCTGAAAAGATATCTCTGATCTGTTTCGCAGAGTCTGCCGAAGCGTGGTATTTCTTGACCCGTTTAACCGAGCTATCCAATACCGGAGCATGCCTTTTCTTCTCCCTAGCTCTTGATGCCGTCCAAGAAAACGGATATTCTCCGACTCGGTCAGCCTTGTCATCGGCTATGACAGCCAGAAGACCTGACCCTTTAGGGGTTAATAGTAAAAAGAGAAGACGATCTCACTTCCTTAGGTCACGTACCCAGGCGTCACAATCCCACATGACCCAGTAGTCGATCACGCCGCTCCCTTTGTTTTTAGCTGGTCCTTCACGGTTTATGAACAGTGCTATGCCTTTGCTTTTTTGGACAAGTCTTGCAAAGCCCTTCGTCGGCCCCCAGATACCGTAAACCGCAAGGCTTGTACCGAGGATTAAAAGGAGATCGATATCGAGACATAGGTCATGCTATATGATCTCCGAAATCGAGTCAGCTCGTTATATAAGAGTATGTTTAGCTGGAGGAGCCCTGGCTTGATTCGGCCTCCCCTTATCGTCGTTTTGGGACAGGCAGATATTTATTTGTGCTCTTTTTTAGTTTTGCGATAGATTGACTTGAAACTTTCAATTTACGACTTTCTTACGGCTACAAAGATATCCGTTAAAACCTACTTATAGTATGCTTATCTTTCTTAAGAAAGACATCCCGACTTGCCAGAACAAGAGGTCAATATTGCACCATGTCTTGCAAGCGTCCACCTCGGTCGCCTATAATTATTCCGCCTCACTTAGCAAGCCAGACTCCTCACACCGAATAGAACGGTAGCAATTTATATCACAGTCACTCTTTTGACAGCAATGCTTGCGGCAACATGGGCACCTCCGCCCCTGATGTTCCCGTGCCCTCTGTAAACATTGCTTGCAAAACACATGCCCTGCCCTTATGGTTAGATATAGGCTTCAGTCCTAGGTATTGCTCATTGGCTCACCACAGCTCTGCGGCCTTGTAGGCCATCGTAATACATCCTGGCAGAGGACACAGGGGTCGAAAATGCCATAAACACGAAGAGACTCCTGCTGGCCAAGATGCGCATGCCCACTGGCATTGCAGACACTGGTTCTCTGGGCAGGGGCGCATATATCACAAAAGAGCTATTATATATGATCAGCCCGACTGATGCGCACGGTTTATCGTATGCGGAGTGTGGGGAAGAAATAGGACTCACACATCCACAGCGGCTATATACAGTGGTATGAGACTCCTCGAGGATTCCCTGGCACTTGCGGCAACGTGGCCCAGGCTGCGTTAGGTCGATAATGGTCTGATCGCCGCGAGACGTAGTTGCCTCAACAGGAAAGGGAACAGATCCCCTTGTAAGACGCCCAATATCCATCTCACGCACCAAGTCGTCTAGGGTGCGGTCCAGCATGGCCGCCAAGGAATTTCTCGATTGCTCTAGAACTTGGGCAGATCTTCTCGTGTAATCCACGAGTTGGTCGACAAAGAAACGAACTGGGTCGGGATGATCACCGATAACTCGTAAGGCGTCGTCTCGCTGCTGTTGAACCGCCCTCAGCTGTTGGGACACCCAACAGCGCATGACTGCCTCTACCGCTGCCTCGCTAACGTTGTTACCGTTATGGTGACGGTCAGGAATGTGGCTTGCCATATCGAGAGGGATGCTAGGCTGCGGATGAAAAGAAGGTTCAAAAAAGGGTTTGTGGATGGGAGCTTAAAAACAGTATAGGGTCAAGTCAAGACGGTAGAGGACATAGGGTTTATAATTGTCCTCTATCAGGAGTTGGTATCTCTGGAGTGAAGCTGGGTTATAGGAGGTTCACAGGTAGGCAGCAGATAAGTAGAATGGAAGGGTAAGGGTTCAGTAATATTGATTCTTGAGCCTCTCTTTCTGTAGAATGGGCGTAGCCTCTCCTTTTATATCCAATTTCTAACGAAGCACTGGCTTCGAAGCGGCTATCTAGCTAGGGTGACCGATTACCCTTACATCCTCCTCCTCAGCATGCGGCCACTCCAGACTAACAGGCACAATGCATACTGAGGCCTCCTATCGTTGAACATACCGGTTCAAGAATTGGCCTTGCTTACGACGCATGCCGTTGTCAGGAGGCCTTTCTCGCTTAACGCCCATCAACGGAGAGGGTCCCTAGCAAATCAAACGGCCAAAGCCGCACGTTTTACAGGAAATGTAAGGGGCTAAGCCTGCGGCGTTGCCGTTATCAGCTTCAGATGTGCCCTCTCTTCTGCGACCTCCTTTCGGCTGCAAAAAGGAGGCCGTCATGTGCTTATGAGTCCTACCATCTGATAGGTTAAGGATAATGCGAGGTAACGGTGAGCCCTCCCAAGGACACGATGAAACGTTAAGTTGGCCAACATTACGGGTGAGGCAGACCGCTCATGATAACGATCTTGACGAAGACTGGGTACGATCATCGTACGCGCCGTGATAACAAGCCTGCGCCTCCCAAAGCACTACGTAGTTCCTATGGAGAAAAGGGAGAGGCTGGATCACAAGGTTGTGCATGACTTTGATTCAGGGGTTCAGGAGGAGTATACTCTAGGGACAGCGGTAAAAGCGAGGAGGTAATAGGCTGGCCATAGACGTGTTGGTCCAGAAGGCCAGGAGTTTCATCGTGGATAGTGAGAAGCGATAAACGATTGGGGGAGAGAGCGGAGGGTAGGTTCAGGGAAGTAGGAACGACTTCCTAGGAAGTCGGTATGGCCGAGAGAAGGATAGACTGGCCACAGACTGTCGGTTCAAGGGATGTGGACTATCTTCATTGATAGTCAGCAGAGGTGGGGAGACGGTAAACCATGAGCGGATAGGATTCGTGGAACTGAGAGTGACTTCCTAGGAAGTCGGTACAGCAGAGAGGATGATAGGCCAATAAGGGAGTGTTGGCTCTAAGCAAGAAAGGGGCAGTGACTTCCTAGGAAGTCAGGAGAAAAGGGATTGTGACGTGGCAAGGCATACTACGTTACGATGTGCCATGTTCGAGACAGAGAGCTTGGGGTTTCTGGTGACTCAGAGGCTATAAAGCGCCTGCCTTCCTCTAGATAATGTGTTGACCTTTTCTTCCCTCCCATCTATTCTTTTTTCCAAGTGAGCACGAACAAAACACTACACTTTTCCAAACTCTATAACCCGCCCCCTATCTAAAATAACGATGGCCACCCCTTGTAAAATACACAGATGGACCGCCCCCAGCACACCTGAAGTTGAACGCCTCACTCCTGACCGACTGGCCGACAAATATAGGGCTGGCAGTGAATCACTTGATTCCAATACGGCCCAAACTGTGGTCTCCTTATTACGCCTTCCAGTAGTTCTTACTGAGCTTCTTCATGTTTCCAGCGAGCTCGTGGATACAGAGACCTTGAGCTTATTTTTATCTCAGCGCCCTTTTTCTGATAGGTACCAACTCCTAGATGTACTCGAGAAACTTTACCAATGTTGCGGCAATCTATGCGCAGACAGCCAGAAGACACCTAGAAGCACACCAACACCGCTTTTTAAGAGCAGCAACGAGCCTGAAAAACGTGTTGAAAGCCAGCCAGGCTATTCTAACAAGGTCCAACACGTCGATTCGGAATCCAACAGTATAGCCGCTAGTAGTGATCACCAGCCCAAAGACGAGCTCGAGAATGATTTCATAAACAATACGCCATCTCCTGTTGAATTTGAAGAACATATGTTGGATCCTAACACTAAAGCTGCCTACGAGAACCTAAGACCACATGAGCTTAGGGACCAAGGTTTTATAAATCCTGTCGCTATACAGAAGGATTGGGATATTAGTCCGAAATATGAGATCGACAGCATGTTCAGATGTGAATCGATAGCAGCTCCTTCTTCTGGAACAGAGGATTCTGCTCAATCTGAGCTTGTACGGGAGACGATCGAGAACCCAAGCACTGCGAGAGAGCTTCCGGTAACACAACTACGAACTCCTTTGAAGACTCCTTTGAAAACTCCTTTGAAGACTTTAAAACGCCACGATATACTGGCACCAGAAGATAACCCAACCACAAGCTATGATCAACCTATTCAGCGAATGATAGAGCAATCTGCTACCGAATTTGCTAGGTCTAGCCTGGAGGAAATCGAACAATTGCAGTTTCCTATGGACTCGATAAAAACCTACAAGAGCCTCCTTGGTGCTTTGAAAGCAACACATCAAGTACGAGCCACATGGTCGAGCGGCTTGGAATGGAGTTCTATCGTGGAATCGGGATTTGCCGAACGACACAAGAGCTCTATTCGCTATGCCTTGACCGCGATTACGTTTGCTCGATGGCACCGTGGCCAAGCCGATCTCCTATCTTCGTTATCTCCCACAGAGGCGGCGCAAGAAGTCTCCAGCAGGATCCTCGGACCAGTACCCAAAGACGCAGGCGAGAAAAGGGCGCGAGAGATTCGTCGCAAAAGACTTGCTACTCATTTAACGAGGGGTAGAATTTGGGATGAACTGGTGTCTACATTAGGCTTTGGTATTCTTTTTAGGGATGCGTGGTAGGTTCAGTACTTGGTCCGTTTAAACATAGCTTGCTAATTTTCCCGCAGGAATCTTGCCAAATCTAAAAAGCATGTCATAAAGGGCTTGATCTCTCAGCTTGAACATGACCTAAAAAAGATGGATATTCTTAAGCTCTTACAAAAGCAGATGGATGAGCTTTTAGAGACCGGACGGACAGACCCTGTCGCTTTTAAGCAAGCTCTAGAGGGCCAGGAATTACTCGGTACCTCAGGGCAGACCTCTGATATTTCTAAAGCAGTGATCTCGCTTCAAAGAGATATAAAAATTTCAGCACCTAGCAACATGCTTCTGGTTAAGAGCACCGAATTCCGTTTTAACATCAAAACACTTGATCGGCTAAACGGAACAGAATGGTTCAACGACGAGCTTATCCTGCTCTGTTTGCATTTGGCTGATAAACTACCATATGTTCGCGTTGGCTTTTCTGTTCCCGTCCACCAACAGGATCGACCGAGAAAGATGGTAGCGAAGCCATTCGAGAGGGCCGCGCGGGTCATCGAGGAATGGAAGAAGGCGGAACCGGATCATAGCCTTGTATGCTTTTTCCCACTTTTTCAGCATGGAGATCACTTTAGCCTCCTTGAAGTGAACTACAGAGATAATGCAATTTATCACTATGATTCACTTAGGAAAGGGATCCGCACAGAGATCAAGGTAAAAAATACCCCAGAGCTTTTATACTTCTTACTAGCCAATACTAATTTTATGGTAGAAAGCATGCAAAGATCAATTTCCCGGATTGCAATATGTTGAGCAGGTTTGTGTGTTATTCTATCAAACAGTGTTCCGTACTAACCATAATAGACGGCTCCCCATCAACTTGATACTTTCAGTTGTGGCCCATTGGTCGTTACATCTGCGTACTACCGTATGCTAGGCCGAACAGTTGTCTCTAGAGATGTTACGCTCCCAGATGCTACAGCGATAAGGGCTGCTGCTTTGAGTCTGATAAGAACGGCCTGGCATGACAATATTTTAATCCCGGTAGAACAGTCTACGGGAAGGAAACGAACGGGCGAGTCAGTTCACCAGAGGCAAGGGAAACGGCAGAAGACGGATAAACCGGCCGAAGTTGAAAACCTAACTATCTAGAGACGCGATGGACTACCCAGAGATACAAGACACTGCCTAGAGACACATAAACCCAAAGGCGACGGCCGTGACAGCAAATAAGGACCAGACCTGCTGAACTAGAGCATTCTTCCCCGGACCGGTTGATACTGTAGGCGACAGGATCGGCGTTGTACCTGTCTTGAAAGACACTGTACTCCCTGCGCTAGCTGGGGTGTTGAACGACAGGCTGAGCGGTGTACCCGTCCTGAGAGAGACTGTACTATTCCGCCCCGAACTAGTCGTGGGCGATGGAATTGGTAGCGTGCCCATCTTGAAAGACCTAAAAGAGGCCGTATTGTTCCACGTTGAATGTGTCGGGGTTGTCCCGAGCAAGCTGGTCTTGGGGGAGGAGGTTACAGGCGGGGCAGTCCCAGGGAGCGGGGTGCAGAGCTGTGCAGTAGTAGTGACGAGAGTGATTTGGGAAATGGTTTTGGTGATAGTTTGGACTGATGGTTCGGTTGATATGAGTGGTGGGCTGCTTGCGTGACTGCTAGGGTCCCCCGTGTGGGGTAGGCTCGTGGCGGCTTGGCTGGTAGTAGTTGGCGATGGCGAAAGCCAGTGGTCGTCGAGTGGACTAGTCCTTGTTCCGATCTCAACCTCTAAATTAACTGTCCCAGCTGCGGAGATATCCAAGCCAGGGATGCCCAGGACACCCATTGTCAAGTACACGAAGATGAAAAGAAGCATATTTGTCTCAGATGTAAAAGCAGTTACTGGAAAGCCATCCTGGAAAGTATTCTTGCCATGATTGAAATGGGCCTTGATAAATAACAATGTTCCAGAGCTGGCCGATTCTAGACACCTAGTCTAGTAGTGTCTGTTTCTTAACCATTCTAAAAATAGCATGCGGGTTTGGCTGCGATCAGCCTTGTACGGAATCGGCCTCTAGGAAGGGAGTCAACAACGCATCTATCCGACAGCCTTTAAAAATATGGCAAGTCGGCAAAAGCCGCTGCAACAGAATGTAAGGTTAAGCGTTTGTTCGTTTGTTCGCATCAGTTCAATACCTATACCCACAACAAATTGCATCAATATTCCACCTGCTGCCGCAATGTCTCTCCGTTTTCTCCACGAGCTGAACAACGCAAGTACCACTCCACAGCCAGGCAGTAGATGGCGACCGGAAGAAGACGAGAAACTTGTAAGGCTTCTGGCTTGGGGCAGTACCTGGGCAGCAATCAGCAATGCGCTCCCGGGGCGAAGTCAAACGAGCTGCATGATGCACTATCGCCAAACCTTGGCTCATCGAATGCGGCTCGGCTTAAATCCGGTTGTTCAAACATATGCCCGGTACGTTGCAACCAGTCATTGGAATACCAGACAGCTGACATGATGGTTTAGACACCGAGCGCGAATCTGGGAAGACATCGGCAAGGAATTATCGGTCTCGGCGGATGAAGCAGAGACCATGTTTCTGTACCTATGCCGGGAAAGCCCGACCATGTTGCAGAAAAACGGAACACTGCCTCCTATAGCTAGTCAAACGAATGAGGAAGTAGCTTATCGCTTAGCTCGGAACACGCCTCAGATCAAAAAAGAACCCTTAGTAATGGAAGACCCAGGGGAGGAAATGCTTTGGGAGATGCAGTAAATATGCTCATAGAAAATGTTCCTAGCTTTAAGAACAAAATTAGTAACTTATCTTTTATTCTTTTTTTACTATAGCAACTTTAAAATGATTTTTAAATTATTTGCATATGCTTTTCTTATAGAAGTATAAAAATTAAGCAAGTGTAACGAACTAGTGCTGAGAAAACGGTGGGTAAATGCTGCTACAGCTCAGTACGTGGCCGCGAGTTATGCGTCCGACACTGGCTAGCGCGAGCGTGAAAAGACCCGATAGCGTGCATACTAGCGAAGCGCATACCTAAGGGAAGAATTCTGTAAACAGAGATGAAAGAATAGCTTTTAGTATATACGACTTACATTACGTACCAGTACGAGCTTGGAACAGGGACCAGTACGTTATTTGGACTAGTACGGCTTGTATCAAGGACTGGTACGATATTCGAACCATTACGACCACAGGCCCAGTACTAGTACGGCTTGGACCAGTACAGGCTCGGATCAGTCCAAGTTTCGTACCAGTACGGGTTCCAATCACGGACTGGTACGGTATTCGAACTAGTACGGACTGGGACCCCGTACCAGTACCATCTGCGACCGGTACGGTTGTGGACTCCGTTCCAGTACGACCCGGGACCAGTACAGCGTGGAGCCCGTACCAGTACCATCTTGGACCAGTGCGGTCTAGGACCAGTACGGGTGTAAGCTCTGGACTAGTACGAAATCTAGACCAGTACGGCATGGGACCACGGACTGGTACGATATCCGAACTAGTACGGTTGTCGGCTCCGTACCAGTACGATCCCAGATCAGTACGACCTTGGAACAGCACGGATTAGGACCACGTACTGGTGCGAACCCAGACCAGTACGACTCGAGACTAGTACAGCCTTGGATGGCGGACCAGTACGTGCCCAACCCACCGACTGGTACGATACCCGTACCAGTACGGCACTAGACCAGTACAGCTATGGACCCCGTACTAGTACGTCCTCAGACTGGTACGTGCTCGCAGTACGGACTAGTACAAGATTTGGACCAGTACAGTCATCTGCGCCGTGCCAGGCTCGGATCGCCTATAGATTAGCACCCCGTACTAGCACAGCTTCGCACTACGTACTAGTACGAGATTTGGGCCAGTACGACCTTGGACTGGTACAGGAGACAGGAGACCGGCCCCTTACGGGATCCGCCAATGCCTTTTCAGAACGAGCTTGAGAAGCGAGGCACTTGCCTTGTGAAAGAAAGAGGTTCTTCAGCCGCACAACAACCGTTGCGAAACCATGCCTCACAATCTATCGACAACCACCGCCCTCAGCACTCTTTTTATGGTTCAGGAGGAGTCATTCTAATACTACTTTATTTTTTTGCTCTTAAAGTCTATCCTTACAAAGACGCCTGGCTAGCCTGCCCTGCGTGCGATGGCCGAGTTAGATCCTGAGCTCTATACTGTCGCATGGCTCGCACCACTTGAGATCGAGGCACAAGCTGCATTGCATATGTTGGATAAAAGGCACCAAGGTAGATTTCCCATGGGCCGCGGCGATGACTATGTGTTCCAAGCTGGTGAGATGTGTGGACATTATGTCATAGTTGCAACCTTTCCGGCAGGTCAAGAATACGGCACGGGCTCCGCTGCCGTCCTCGCCAGTCAAGTCAAGAAGTTCTTCCCCAAGCTCTGGTTCGGCCTGTTGGTCGGCGTTGCCGCCGGCCTCCCCAATCTCACGCAAAGTCCACCGCGCGATATCCGTCTAGGTGACGTTCTCGTCGGTCTCTCTACGGGTGAAAGTGCGGGCCTCATAGCCTACGACTGGGGGAAAGAGACCGCAAAGGACGGGTTTCAACTGCTGCGCTTCGGACACGTATTGGCCGACACAGAAACTGTTGTCCGATCGGCGATCGGTAGCATTAAACTCAAAGCACTAAAGGATGCAGAAGCGTTCTTGCCGTACTATAAGACAATTAAATACAAAGAGCACTCCAGTGGCACGTTTGTTGACCTTGGACAAGAGCGAGATAAGCTCTACCTAGTTGACAATAGCGGGACCGAGCGACTAATAGAACGGGAGAGGCGACCGGATGATATGCGCACTCGAGTATAGTACGGACCGATAGGATCAGGAGAGAAGCTGATAAAGAATGCCTAAAAACGGAATGAGCTGAGAGACAAGCACGGCATCATCGGTTTAGAGATGGAGGCAGCTGGAACTATAAACCGCATTCCCGTCGGCGTCATTCGGGGAGCCTGCGACTATGGAGATGAACATAAGAATAAGGAATGGCAGCCATACGCTGCGGCTATAGCTGCTGCCTATGCCAAGGTGCTCTTGTCTAAGATTCCGCCGAGAACTAAGAAGCGTAGATTCGACGTTAAAGATCCTGCTTCATTTATGGATAACAAACGCAAGAAGCACCGTGGCTGCGAAGAGGTTTCTGAGGCATCTAGCAGCAATGGACGACCGACACAGTCCATCCCTCGAGGACAAGGCATTCAACAGACAGGTGAGAACTTCTCGGTCGGGAGGGACCTGAATTCCTTAGCCTCTCTACCAGATATGACCTGGCATATAGTATTGTCCGTAGCTGATTTGATGCTTTAGTTCCAGACGATCTATGGGAAGAGTTCTTGGGAGACCTTTACGAAAGCAACCCCTGTACCGACATGTGCCGCATCGAGAACGATAAGGGCAGCTTTCTAAAAGACTGCTTTTCTTGGATTCTTGAGGATCCTTAATTAAAGGATTGGCAGGATAACCGAGACACTCAACTTCTATGGATAAAAGGCGATCCCGGCAAAGGAAAGACAATGCTAATGATCGGCCTCATTAACGGAATAACAGATCAACTAAAACGTTACAAGTCCTATGCGTTCTTCTTTTGTCAAAACATAGAGCCGCATTTTAATAACGGCGTATCGGTACTTCGAGGTTTTATCTGGAAGCTTTTAAGTAAGAACCTTACCTTAAGCTGTTACATCCTGGCCGAATACTACTTTGCAACTAAGGACAAGCGCAAGGCTTTGTTTAAGTTAAACTTGAACAAATTTTTTATTCTAAAGACGATGCTCTTTGCAATACTAAAAGATAACGGCTTTAAAGCGATTTATCTTTTAGTAAACGCATTGGATAAATGTGACGAAGATTCGGACAAACTCGTGGAGTGGATTGCTAATAACGCGGCTAACCCCTAATCCAAGGCAAAGTAGCTCGTATTAGGTCGCTTTACTATAAAACTTGACCGGACTTTAAAACCAAAGCACTACTAAAAAAAACTTATTCTAGAACTGAACAACGAGCATATATCTTAAGCGGTAGCTTTATTTATCGAATAAAAGGTAGATAGTTTAGCGAATAAAGCTAGATACAGCGAAGAACTCAGAAGCACGGTCCAAATAACGTTGGAGAAAAAGGCCAAATTAACGTTTCTTTAGGCCGCCTTAGTGTGCAAACACCTGAAAGGAGTTGCAAAGTTTACAATTATAACGGAACTCGACAAATTCCTACCTGGATTGCCATCCCTCTATGAAAGAATAATGCAACTGATTAAAAGGCAAAGCAGCGTTATTAATAAGCCCTGCAAACGGATCCTTTGCGCTACTACTATCGCCTATAGCCCGCCAACACTTAACGAAATTGCCCCAATAGCAGGGCTCGATGAATAGTTAATCGAAGACATTCGCGAGCTCGTAAGCCTCTGCAGCTCGTATATAATCCTCCAAAAGAAGACGATCCGTTTTGTACACCAGTCCGCTAAAGACTACCTCAACGGTATTACTGAATTCTTTCCGGGTAGATGTGAACAAGAACATGGCCGAATAGTAAAGCGCTCTTTGCAAGCTATGTCCAAAACCTTGCAGCGGAATATCTACGGCTTACACCATCTTGGACTTTTAATCGGCGAAATCGAAACACCAGAACCCAATCCGTTAGCAGCCATACGGTACTCCTGCGTCTACTGGATCAGCCATTTCTGCGATGCCTACAACCGTAGCCGTCCTGAGGTCGAGACTATCGGCCAGTTCCTTCGAGAGAAGTTCCTCTACTGGCTCGAGGCTTTAGGTCTTATTTAGCACATAGGAGACGTTATTCTTTCGATAACAAGACTAAAGAGCTTACTAAGAGTCAGTCTCTATAGCGCTATACTTAAGAATGAAACTGATCAGTATAGGAACAATCATACTATAGCGAATTACTAGATCTTGTCCAGGACTCACGCCGGTTCCTTCTCCAGAATAGATGGGTAATTGAGAATGCTCCACTCCAGGCATACGCATTAGCTCTTATATTCAGTCCGGTCAACTGCCTAATGCGGAAGATATTTGAGAAAGAGGCGGAATGGATAAAGACAAAACCTGTAGTAGCAAGCGCCTGGAGTTCTTGTTTGCAAACGCTCAAGGGCCATAGCGGTTGGGTCTGGTCGGTTATATTCTCTCATGACTCGAAGCTATTGGCATCGGGGTCAGATGACAAGACCATCAAGATTTGGGATGCGGCAACGGGATCCCTCCAACAAACGCTCGAGGGCCATAGCCCTACAGTACAAATCATGTCATTCGAAGATACCGGCTTATATCTAGATACCAACATCGGCCGTATTGATCTAGCTGCTAAGACAAAGAAAATCCAATCGTTACTTCAAATTCCGCAACCAGATCAAACTCAGCAAGCACAATACTATGGTTACGCCTTAAGCCGCGATAGATCCTGGATTACCTGGAACAAACATAACGTGCTGTGGCTTCCGACCAGCTACCGGCCTTCTATCTACTCCATTTCGTCTTTTGCGTCATCATCAACGCTGTCGACGATTACAAGGATTGGCCTCGGTTATGATTCGGGGAGGGTGGTGGTGATTGGGCTCTTGGGTTCGGGGCCGTTATAAGTTTCGGAGCTATAGAAAAACCCTATTCCACAAGATCCACTGGCTTTTGAAAGAATGTATATAGTACCGCGTATTGCTCTGATCCCTCTCTCTTTCTCTTTCTTTTTTTTATAACTTTGTTAATAGAAGGTCGTAGGGGTTCGTGTTAATATATATTCTTATTCTTCCGCGTTAGAGTTGCGTGTAGCGATTTTTGCGATTTCTAGAAGTATCTATGACGTAGTCTACACTTTGTATAACCTGGCTCCTTTCTTTTGAAGTGGATGCAAGACCTTCCTAGTAGATCGCCTTGGAAAAGTTATATCCATTATAGCAATGAATTTTCTAATTTATTTATTATTATTTGCTCATGGGCTAAGTCAACCATTTAACCTTAGCGCGTAACTAACAACATTTATAAAAAAGATTTCTACGATATAGGTACTAACGTCCTGGCATGCCTTGTCTTGGAAACTGGTACTGAACTCTATGTCATGGAGATGGTAGGGCTTAGCACCCGCTATGCGCCGTCTCTGGCGCTGCATGTAAGAGCCTGTACTTGAAGAAGCAGCGTGATCTGATTAACCGGTCTTTACAAGGCAGAACAACTAAAAACGAAGAAGCTGGCCAGGACTCCCCCGCGTTGCTAGTTGGTGGACAGTGCTCACTAAGCCTTACCAACATCTGACATTAACTGACCTACTCTTAGATCTTCCTTCTAGATGACAGCTATGTCTGCCTATACTTTACTGGCTCTTAGGGAGACTACCATTGACCTCGAGTTGTTTTTCTGGGTTTTATTCTGGACTTGTGTTCATTACGACAGAAAGGGCCATGGCCAAGAGACTGATTTTACCAAATGGAATGAAGTAGACACAAAGACATTAGCCGGTCTTAAGAAAGCAGTAATTGATGATGAGAAGGACTTCATTTACATAGCAAACGAATACTTCAGACTACTATAAGCCCTTGATCCCCTGGGTCGATAAGTTGCGAAAAGTAGTGTTCCCTAATAGCAAAAGATAGCAACAAGCAGATAAGACTCTTTATTTACAAGTGACGCAAATCCTTCATGGCGCCCAGAACGATCCCCAAATCTAGTAATAGCAGATTAATAAATGCCTTTTTATACGCTACTGTACTTGAGAATTCTAAGCGTCTACTCCACTAAATCAGACTTGATTATATCGAGCAGTTTATATTCTATGTGGGTAAATAAACGTGAATTTAAATAAAAAAACAACGCGCGTCGACAAGTGGTTGCTTAATATAAACTAATCTAAGGGCAATGCTGGCAACCGTCCACTGTACCAACATCCGTTTTAGAGTAGTGTAGGAACCACGGCCGTAGCTATGCGCTTAACCAAGAACTTGAGCCGACGAGTTGTAGCCGTTTGAGTGTTGTCGGCAACCCAGTTGCACTCCCACACGTCTCCTGCCGGGTTCGTGAGCTCGATCTTGACCATCTTTATATGCTGCTGAGCCTCGGCGCCGAATTGGTCGGGCAAGGCCTCCACGGCCTGGAACGCGCGCTGGTGACAATCGATTGTGTAGCAGTACATGGCTAGGAGGTAGGCCCTATCTTTCTCAGACGGCCTGGCGATCGTAGTCGTATTCCTGGCAATTACCTCGAGGGCTCGATTATTCGTCTGCGAAGCCTCGGGACCCGTCTCGTGTATGTTGAAATGTGAAGGGGTCTGGAGTCCGTAGTGGGTGGCGAGGGCTTCTATCTCTGTGGCTGCTCTTAGCATTCCATCCTTAACACCAGTTAGGCAGCAGAAGCACTACAAGACTTACGGCCTACGGTATTAAGCAAGGCCGACATCAGAGTCTCGGGGGGGGGGGGGGGGGGGGGGGGGTGGTTTACTTTGGGATTTTGGACAATTTAAAGTGGATACACACGACAGAAAAACAAAAAACCAGTTGAAGTGTGGAGACAAAGGACAAAGCAA